CAAAATCGGGATTATGGTCAAGATCTTGAAGCTACGAGAGTCACTGTCAGATTTATCTTCGGGCTAGTCTGCACAGTCTGCATGGTATTTGGGACTCCTGCTAACATTTTGTCATTCCTGTACTTTATTAAACGTAAAACTGTGGCTGCTACTAACAAAGCCTACATGACCTATCTCTACCGGATGATAACTTTCATTGATGTTCTCATCTGCTTCCTGGTCTTCCCTCTGATTGAAGCCGCCTTTAGTGATTTTAACCAACTTCAGCTTCGTAAGCCTGATTTGAAGATAAACCCAGCAATTTTTGATGATGCAACTTTTTGCACCATCTGGGGACTACTCTGGAACATTCTGCCCGTTTTGTCTGTTTTTCTTGTTGCCATTCTCAGCTACTCTAGATGTGTCATTCTTCTCTATCCCCTCAAAAAGCTGCATATCAAAAAACCTGCCATCTTCCTAGCTGTCCTAACATCGCTTATTCTTACCGAGAAGCTTGTAGCTCACTTTGCTTCAACCCCATCAGTGTATGAAGATGTAAGATACAGGTACAACAGAAAGGTTAAGGTGTGTTATATTCTATCCACCACTGACAAATCAGACTACATATTAGCTCAATCAATCGTCTTCACCATCCTACTGGGGCTTCCAGTCGTCCCAATTCTGGGCAGTTTCATCGTTTCTGTTCACAAATTGAGAACTGCCCATAAGATTGAACGTAGGGTCAAGTCTACATCAAACGAACAAAGCAAGCATCGAGAAGCGACCATAACAGTTATTATCATCACTGGAATTTACATTCTTTGTAACATTCCCGTGCTGTGCTTCTACCTTTATGTATGGGCACAAGACAAAGGTAATTTCTTCAAAAAGGGAGATGAAGTTTGGTCTTTGCAAATGGAAGATAAAGGTGCACACGATTACCATCTAGGTCAGAAATACCATTACATGATCATTTCCCTTCTCTGGATTACTTGTTACACATTGCTTGTTGCAATAAACTCTAGTTTCAATCCGATAGTCTATTATACAAGAATGAAGGAGTTCAGAGATACCATGGTAAAATGGAAAAAGATAACCACGAAGTTCCTGGTAACTCGTGGTGAGAAAAGAACGCGTACTAGTGAGGTTTAACTGCACTAGTGATCAACACCATCTCAAGTCTTGTGAAACATTACCAATAAAGTCAGAACAGTAACGAATCTAGCGATGCACTGGTGACTTTCTGTAAGGACTACGTGAAAAGTTGAAATTCATTTTCCAATATTGTTATCTAGATCTTGATTATTAAACGGGACTTTCGATTCCTTGCAATCAATTTTGTTTCATTTTAGCTTTTCAATCTTTACTTGTGGTGACTCTTGAATCTTTTTCTATAGCCTCATTATGTTTTTGAAGAGCGCACTGTTAAGTGTTAATGAATAAATGAGTAGTAAATCTTTTACTTTACTTGTGCTCGAACTTTGACATTTTATTTTTAATGTGCTATACCTTTGGTTTTTTTACCCCTGTTTTTTTGGCTTAGTCAATTCTGGTGATACTTTTATGCTAAAAAACTGGTAACCAACCAGTTTTCAAACTTTGATGTGTTAATTAAAATTGTTTTTGTGTATCTCTGACAAAGTTCTTCAATCATTTACAATGTAAAGTTTAAAATACAATATAGTTTTTCAGTTTGATTAAAGTTCTTTTAGACGCCATAAGAAATCGTTATAAATAAGTCATTCATAACATATAAACCTATCTTAAAATTACTGTTATAATTGGTAATAATTTGCACAGTTAAAATTTGAACACAAATAATCAAAGTGTGCATAATTTTAAACGATCAAAAATAAAGCATTAAAAATGTTGATCGTGCTGAACTAATTCTCGACGTTCATCAAGTAAAGCAATTAAACTATTAAAGTCTAGTCGATGATAAAATACCATTTCGTTAGATATCTTTAACATGTTTAATATTAATTATTGAAAATTGTGATGCCCGGCTAATGTGAAGGATGACATTAAAATGTTGCTCTTAAACCTTTATCTGCTTAAACTGAGATGAAGATTTAAAATATGCACTGTCTAAATGGAATATTTGATGTTTGTGAGGTTTGTTCCATTCATCAGATTGTTAAGCAAAGCATGCAGGTGTTGTTTATTATGAACTGTTGTGTGTTGTGTTCATTTTCATTACACTGGCAATATTACTTCTAAACATTGAATATTGAAGATATGCCGAATTTTCTATATCGATCAGGCGCTTTGTTCAATTGGCCAACAACTGAACACCTCATTGGGTAAAAACTCCCCAATAAAGGTTATTGTGGAGGAAAGGGTGCATTTCATGGCACATTTCATGGCGCGATATCTAATCAATATTGCTCCTACATATTACCTCTGCAGCCCGCTGCAGCTTAGGCAATCACAATTCCAATAGCCAAAATTTGCGACGTAGTCAGCTTCATATCGCTTCTTACTTTGTAGTTGATGCATGTGTTCTTTTATAACCAGGCCACATATTATGTTGAGTGGATTGGATGGTCCCAGTAACCCTCCGATCATTACACTTATCTCTTTTGTGCACCGTGTGACGCGATAGTCGGGGTAACCAAGCTTGGGGACTGGCTTATTAGCCAGCCAATGTTTACTAATATTAGTAGAAATACGTCGCACGTCATTTCAAATAACATACCGCGAATAATTTTTCACGGTTGTTAAGGACGCATACAATGAGTTCTTCCGTAGCGAACTAACTCTCCATTTTTGACTGACGTTCTAACTTTCTATCTGGCAGGACAAACCTTAGAGAAAGTTATCTAGACACATAATGTCAAAATTCTACTAATTAGTAATTACTCTACAATATGTCTCCAGCTGCAGCCTTTTCAAAAAGTATCATTAAGAAATGCCAAAAAAAGGTGAAGAAGAAAGAAAATGGTAGATCAGATAATAAGACTAAGTATTGTAACTTTGTTAAGTGTCAGTTAGATATCAACACAATATACTGGACTGTTGATTGTAATAGTGATAACAGTCTACAGGGGAAAGTTATTAATTAAATACTATTGCTACTTTATTTTGATCCTCGTTCGGTGCACGTATTGCATTTTACTGATAACTTTACACCTACAGAAGTATTCCAGTAAAAACAGCAATCCTCAAAAGACGAGTAGAATAGTTGTGTGTGCAGTGTGACGCTATCACCGCCTACATAGGTCCATTGTGCCAGTAATTACGCGTGTGAAAGTCGAGACTTGTAACCATCTCTACTCTGCTGTGAACTGCTATAAGGGCAATATGATTATAAACACTTAAACACCTTGTAATGAAGGTCACAATGTTTGTTGGGACAATTGTGCAGAAGTTTTAAAAACAATGTTTGTGTTATTCATCGACGTGAGACTACGACATTGTGATATGAGTCACAAGACTAGTTAAGTAAACTGTGACCTATTCTATTTCACAACAACCAAATGGACATTGAAAAGTGACAATAAACGTAGCTCTCCTATCAATGTAGAAGTTTCATTGTTTAGTCAGCACATATTACATGTCCTTTCATCTTTTCATCTTAACACAGCGCACCATAATATATTTAGTTTCATTTTCGTATAAATAAAATATGATATAATCAGATATAATGTAATGAGATATAATATTATAAATTATAATGAGATATGGTTAAAACATTACAAATATTAATAAACTTTAGCTTGCTCTCATTAGTTGTACTTGAACCATTGTTAAATTACGCTAGTTATAACTTTACCTCGTCGTTGCTAAGTTAATTTTACATAGCATGAGTTGCAAAACCACCTATAATCTGGCAGTTGCTAGTTCATTTGCTAGCTCCCAGGATTGCAGTGAATTGGAATACTAGTGTAACCCATGCCTTCGGCCGGGACTTCGTTATTGCAGTTGAATTGCAAAAGTATAAACGGTGCAAAGCATGAACTCACCCAGTCCAAACCGGCCGCATAACAAACCAGTCCCATAACTCTTACCGTTTTTTTTTTATTAAGCCGTTCGGAAATTACACGCGCACAGACAGACGCACATTTTGGGATTATTAATATAGATTTTGATTGAAGACTTTCATTCACTCAAATAACCGTTTAGTCAATATTTGATGTGCATGCTTTGAATAGTTTTAATTGCTGCAGAGTGCAGCATTCGATTAAAGAAAATTGTAAGATACCAAAAGTTGGAAAATAGCTTAAAATCATAATCAGACAATTAATAGTAATACTAAGAAAACTGTGCACTCTCTTGGCCCAGTTAAATTAATAATGCGAGCATGTCCTAGCGAAAATTCATAATTAAAACAAACTTATGCATATCAAAACCTTAGTGTTTTACCAACAATATAACATATTATTTGAAATCTTATGTGCACAAAATATGTGAAATATGCGAATAGTAGGAGACTATAACACATACTCTCAATGATTGAGAGCTTCAAATACTTTCATTTAGAGGTTAGCCGTCAACCACAAACTAACAGTAACACACAACCAGCACAGCCACACGAAAATCAAAGTTGGTGTTTGTATTGAGGGAAAAAATAATACACAATACGTCAACCACAAACCAATACTAACTTAAAACTGACCACAACATATTGCCATTATTTAAAATACGTCCCATAGCGAACTGTGTATTTCTGTGTCAGGTTCTATACTCCACAAGCTCCATCGCCTTCCGATTAAGCTAATAATTGTCTACCATTAACATCTTAATTATTCATCAATAATTCTATCCCTCATCTTTTAGACTCTTCTAATATGATGAACAGTTCAGCACCATGTGTCTCCCTACTACCAGGTAACTCTAGCTACAGTGGGGTGCTATATGTACCTCACTACAGTGGGGTGCTATATGTACCTCACCCGTAGATTACAGCTCTTTTATCTTACCGCTTTATTTCAGCAAAAATGGCAGCGAGGTGCCAAGATAATTACTGCTAACTTTAACTTCATTTATTTACCCATTAACTCACTTTGATCATAACTTACTTTATTTGCTTTAGCTAGAGATTTCAAATTGTTGTTCGTTGCTCATCTTCGTTTTTCTTTGGTCGTTTATACTTGTCTTCTGATCCGTTTCTTGCATGTGACATATTCATTTGTTACTGCACGACGGTATTCTGTCAATAAGATATTCCGATCCATCTGAAAAAAGGTCGGTATCAGATAAAAGAATAATAAATACCATCAAATCTTATTGAAACTCTTGAGTTAAGATTTAAAATTTAATTATTGGAACCTAAGAGTTAAGATGTTGAAGCAACGTTAACATAGAGGCGGTTTATATCTCCCAAGATTAGTCTCAACTGGCCTCACTGCGTTAATAATTATATTGGTATAATTCTGCGCAGTAGATTAATTGTCGCCAGTCCAGGTTTTAATGGTGAATAATTTTATCAAGTAGTTATAGCTAACCTTTCCAGTTCCACTAGCGCAAGCATAATACGAATTTGTAAGAATTTGATATACGATTTATGGACAAAGAAACATTGGCCACAGTTTTTTTGAGAAATATTTATATTTACAACTTCAAACTTTTAAAGGTGTAAATGTGAAGACTCCTAAAATGGAACTGGATATAAAACGCAAGACGGTAATGGTACCAGTACCACGTGACTATGTGAATACAGTTTGTGGAAAAAAGCGATTCGAGGCAGAAGAAATAGAACTTTTCTGTAGAACCAGAATATGCATAATCTGCTTAAATTGTATATTATAAATATAGCATTATTGATAACACTGCTTGTACTTAGTAACCTCTAAGTACCGATAAGTAGCGTCGGGGGTGGCCGCCTTGCGACCGTAAACCAATCAAGAAAAACTTGATTCATTTATAGAAATATAGCTAAATAGTATAATAGTAAGATTTATTGGTACCGTAACTTTTTAATCGCACAAGCCCTCGAACCAGCACAAACCTTTTAACGATCCCTCTTTAGTCTTTATATAGATTATCGTGACGCGTCTAGGACGTGCTTTTAAAGAACCCTGCAGCTTGATTATTGATTAAAGATAATAAAGGTGCACTTTTGCTGCGGGTTATCATTATAACTCAGTTTGAAGATACTTATTGTTGTAATTCTCATCTTATTTTAAAAATTGGCACTCGGTTGTCGCTGCAGAGCAGGAAAATTAACGCTTAATATATATAACACTTTGCAGGCATGATAAGTTAATTGAGCGTGGTTCGAAATAATAATTTTTGAGAAAGTTGACTACAAAGCTACAATGTGCACAATTTTCACTTTGTTTTAGTTTTCCTTTTCACGTTTGCATTATGTGGGCTGCCACCTAGATTGAATATAAGTTTAACCTACTGTAGGTTAAACTTATAGCCTGTAACAGGCTACAACTGTGTTTCGTTCCTAGTAACCGTCCTACTCCTATCATGACGAATTGAATAGGATAGGCAATATAACCAATTTAAGTTTAGCAAGGCCCTCCGTCATTTAATTTAGAAAAATAAGTTATATTAGCTCATAAGAAAAATCAGTTATATTAGCTCAACCACTTGGAACAGATTTCTGGTCAACGTACGTAAGGAACCAGAAATATGAACCATAAAACTGTAAGTGGCTGGGAATTGGAAATTACCAGAACCGGGGATTAAGTTGAGACTGGGATTACTTTATATCTTTATAGCAAGGTGGAGCATACAGACTGGGGTCATTAATTCGAATATAAATTATTGTAGTACTCATTTTACAGTCATTCAAGTCTAGACCCAACTACATGTGGTAAAAAGTAAAGCCAAAGGTCAAATTGTTAATAAAAATCAGTCATTTAAGTTTAACTACCTTTGGTTGCTCGTGATTCCTGATATAACGAATTGCAGGATTGAACGTTTATTGTAAATTCGGGCCTTGTCTCCACGTACCCAAGTTTGGGGTAATGGCTTACTAGTTACTATTATACCCTCGTGCTCTTAAAACATAATATCTATTGTTGGTTATCCTGAATGCGAAGAGAGACAAGATGATTTATTCCAATTACTTATGGCCAATTTCAGAAAACCGATTCGAGTTTAATTTGTTTAAATTTTGTTTAATGTTACAACTAACACTAACAATCAGGTTATCTCTCCAAGGCTGTAAAATTCGCCAAATTTTCGTCAAAAATGCGGCTGTGGGAACGCACAGCATTCTCGAGTCTGATCTCTATCTCTCTTAAGCCGCGGCTCCGCAGTAATTTTAGAATTATTTGTGATTTCCTGTTCCCGTAAATATTTTAAATGCGGATTTAATTCGAATAATACGTTTAGTGTGAATTTCACTGCATTGTCAGTTGTATCTCTCAACGTTTTTTTGGCTTAATTATCTTTTTGGCTTTTTGGTCTTGTTCGATAACATTAACCTACGTGCCTCCTGAGCAGTGATCTCTTGCCACACTCCTACTAATAGAGTAGTAGGAGCCCAATTGAACGGTGAGCTCGTACAATGACAAAATACACGCGACCGTTTCAACCGCACCATAAAAATATTACAAAGACAAAAGAGTCATGCGTTTCATTCTCGATGTTTTCTCTGAATTTTGCTTTATTTTCTACGAGTTATGAGACGATAGATATTTATCTTTAATCTGATCAGATAATCGGATCACAGGGTCCAATGGCATCTCTCGATAGATAGAATTAGATATGCTGGGCGCTGGCCATATTCAAACTCCTTTTATGGTCAAAGAATGCCATACCCCGATAATCGATATCCATTGTCCTAACTCCTAGCTTACTCCTTTTAGTTTTAAACAAATGATTCATCCCGTGGATATAGAAGAACAGACAATGGACCACCGTCGATTTCACTCCTCAAATTTAAATCGTTTTTGTTGTAAATTTATTGGTCTCTATCAGTATCATGTTAGTATTAAAAATGTTGGTTATTTTGTATAATAACAGAGAAATATTATGCCAGGGTAATCTAGAAATGCTCATTGCTCATGAGTGGGCGTTGAATTTTCAAATTGATGTTCTTATTTAATTTCGGAAGCTTTTTTAAAGAGGTAACCATATATAATATAAAATGGAAATATATTTATAGAGCGCACATCTAAAACCTGTAACCTATAATATGTCTGTTAGAATCATCCACCACATTTATTGAATGGCATTAAATCACGTAAATGATGAGAAACTGAGAACAAATAAAGCGTCCGGTTTGTAAGCTTCCTTAAAGTTAAATAGAAATATAAATATATTTTTATAAATAAATATTTATAAATAAATATTTGTATCTCTTGCTATAATACAACAAAATATCGGTTTTTTTATTCTGACAGAACTGAACTATGACTTATCGTTTCTTAAAATTGTGTGTTGGGTGTGTTTCTTGACGAATTCGATATTTTTGTTAATCATATCTATACTACTATACAAATTCTGGCCAATGATCAAAAGCATACCATCATTTCAACACAATTTCTTGATACTAATTATTAACAGTCTTGAAGCCCAAAAAAACTTTCTCACCATAAATAAGAATCAACCAGGGATATGCAAATTTCGGAACCGGTTTTAAACTGCTGTGTGACCCCACGTTCTGAATAGGTGTAGGTTGCTTGATCTACCTGGAAATCAATTTCCTGCCGGAGGTATATCACAACGTGATAAGTTTGTTATATTTATAATCTGCCAGCTAATATATTTGAATGATATTGAATGATGAGAAACACTAAAAACGTTTGCCAGCTCACTTTATATGGGGATTTGAGTCTGCGGCCCTTAAATTCAATACTAATTGTTAATAAAAATGTAATACAGCATAATACGTATGATACTTCATAACATAATATAATAGCTTACACTATAATTTCATACATTCTTTTTGTGATAGAACACTCAATAATTACATCTCATATGATAATTGCGTGTGTTTTGTCGTATTAGATTTTAGTTGTTTATTGTATAAGCCCTTTTGATTAGGGTTAACTTTACTGGAGATGACAATGTTGTTTATGATGAAAATATGTACGACTACGTGAGCCAGTATTAATAACTTGAATGATGTTGGATTAAGGGAAACAATGAAAGCGTTTTCAAAAGCTCCCCTTTACTCCATACCTAAGGATTTGTGTCTCCCAATTATACTATGTACTATATAGTGTTGAGATTAACAGAATTGTATTGTATAATAGTAACTATTAGCTATTATATTATACAATATAATTCTCATAGTATTGATGTTTGCCATGTACACATGAAAACAAAATCTCGAGGCGACCCGCTTGTAATTATCATAATAGAAATATATAATATGAGATGAAATGAGGTATTTATATCCGGATTTCCCGCTCATATGATTAACCAACAACACAAGGAAGGTGGTTAACCATGTCAGAGCGGCTGACCGTGAGTGATGTGAGCAAATGTGTAAAAGTGAACAAAAGTATATATTATATATATTTTTTCTATATATATATAACATATAATAGACATATAATAGAATACAGTATTTTGTTTTGCGATAGAGCACTGCAGTGATGGTTTGTCATACTACGTCTAATTTTGCTTTATTTTGTTTATTATAGACCCTCTGTAACCAGTTATATTTTGCATATCTGTGTGATCTACAAAAGCAGGGCTCAACAATAATATGGCACTTCTTGATGCAAAACATAAGAACTTAGATTAATTTTTATAAAGTTATATAAAACTTTGTCTATCCTGAACATCTTACATCCCCCTTAAAGCTATTATCGGCTTCCTAACTTGCTTTTTAATAAAATACATATATGCGTCACGTCACATACCATATCTACCATAAGCTCTTTAATCATGGAATCAAAAATTAATTTAAAAAAGTTCAATTTAGGTGTTTAAGATCCGTTAACATATGTATAATTATATGTCAACGCATTGATTTACATCACTTTACCTACACGTCAACCAGTGACCCCAAGATAGCGCTCGTTTATGTCAGGGCAGTTGCTCTGAAGTCTGAAGGTTTATATCCCTTCGGAGCAACTGCTTAATTATTTAACCCATAAAACCTTGCCAGGAACCTGACAGAACTGTCCACAGTATTTTATCTAGTACGTGGGTACTGATCCATCTACAAGTGTATTTTTCAGCGTAGATGTATCCGGCTCAAAATTTTGATTGCATAATATTAAATATTGTTGTCGAGTGCTAGTAGGAAACGTTTGCAATATTTCGTGAATTTCACAGCATAGACTTTCTCTAAGCTGAACTAATCCGAACAAATCTATGCAGACACCGCGTACACTGTACGATAGTGAAACGTTATATACCTGACACAGGACAACAGTCCCGCTCTGACATTGGCGCAATATCACAAACTCGCTATTTTATAGTAGCATTATATAGGGGGGGAGCCAAGTAGATATTTCTAGATATTTCTAGATTAATGTAGAATGGATAATCCACGAAAAAAGTGGATGACATTCTACAAATTTATACATTTATCTCCAAAAATTCAGTAGAATTTCTGGGCACATATTTGAGATTACATTTTTTGTAGATAAATGTAGATATTTGTAGATTATTGTCAATGGATAATTCACGAAAATTCTACAAATTCTACAAATTTATACATTTATCTCCAAAAATTCAGTAGAATTTCTGGGCACATATTTGAGATATATCTCAAAAAAATGTATAAATACATTTTTTGTAGATAAATGTAGATATTTGTAGATTATTGTCAATGGATAATTCACGAAAAAAGTGGATGACATTATCCAAATATCTACAAAAATCTACTTGGCTCCCCCCCCCCTATATAACGGGAGCTGCGATGTATCAAAATTATAAAAACATTATGATACATTGATACGACGGGACATGACCGTGTCGTCCGACTATCGTTAGTGTGACGAAGCTCTTTTCTGTTGTACCTGATTTTAAATGTATCGTAATAGTGAGGCCGGGTTATATTCCATGTGTTCCATTGGATTACAAGTGGTGATGAAGTAACACATGGTTAATTGTCGACTCATAAGGGCCTCATCTAATAACCTCCGGACTGACCACCAGATGTGAGGCTCTACCAAGATTTAGAGACTCTCTCTCTCTCTCCCAGATTTAGAGACAACAGAACACGAGCTATGAAGTCGATGCTAATTTGGGCTGCTCTAAGTCTAATGTTGATATATTTGTTAACACTTGGTTAACTAATTTGTCTATGACAACAGTACATGACGTGTTTCTTACTGATGTCCCCTGTGTTTTGTTATTTTGTATTTCATCAACTAATCAAGCCTTAACTTAGAGAGCGAAAATGCCGTCCATTACTGAATATTATGTGTAAAACTTGGCAGTTCTCACTATGACCAAACTGTTGTTTAAATGTTGAAGCAGTCAATTTACCATATGAACGGACTGATTTCATATGTGCAACGCGCATGCACTGACAAAGTCTCATTAATCTTAGCTGCAATGTTACCCATAGCAAGATCGGCTAATAGATTAGATTTTGTTGTTCGATACTCTTTGTTTCAGTCAAAGAGCAATGTCGGACTTGTCTCGAACATTAATTTGAGTTCCAAATATATATCTGTCCGAGTAATGATTCGTTACACGAATAGTTAAATTGTTAACGCGGAGATTCAGTCGTGATCGTAACCACTTTACAGGAGCATTTTACAGGAGCTATAAAGATACTGAGAATTGGCCATTATTTCTATAAATTAAACACGTATCACGTATGGTTGTAAGTCTTGGGATTACATCTTCTTGGTAACTTTATTAGCTCTCAAGCAGGTGGGACGGTTGGATTTTACAAATTGCGCAACGTTTAGAGTTCAGAATCTGGGAATAACATTCGATATCGGGTATCTTCCCAGTATAACTTTAATCAATAATAGGGGTTTGTCCCAATATAATTTGACAAGAGGCATCTCTGACTGTAAGGAAGACAGGATTGACAAACTCCCGATCTAGATTGGTTGCATTATTGGTATTTCATTTGCCGGTGACACAGCAGATATCTAATATATAATATATACATATTATAAGGCATTTCCATTTTGTTCGCTTAAATTTTATATTCGCAGCTGGTAATTATTAGTTTTGTTTTACCGTAAACGACTTTCCCACTACTCACACTAGCGAGTGTAAGCTTATATTCGCATTTGGTTTTAAAGTGTATATTATGAAGTCGTTATATATTTTACAGTCGTTAATCCAGAGTCTTCGCCAATTGTGTGTTCCGCGGCTTATGCACTTAAGGTGAAACTCACAATGGGCGAGGAATCTGGATTAACGACTTTGTAATAACTTCACCATTCTAGTTCGATCGAAATAATAATGACCGATAAGAACCCTAAAATTTGTTAAACAGTGGTATCACTAATTAGCTCTGTATTATTTCGTGGAGCAGACATTTTTATAATTGCAGACACTATCATTGTACGTATACATGCAAAAGAAACCACAGAGTAGTGCAAATTGCGGGCCATTGTTAAGATTTGAGATGAACACTGGATTGAGATCCATATCGTACCGCGTATGATAAAAATTGGTATCTCATTTAACACAATTCTGCACTGTATTGTTTGATTTGGAAATTACTTATACATTTCGCAAGATTCAGAGTATAAAAATGGTCCGTCGGTGTGCTGGATCATCCCAGAGGCGTATGTCCGCCACTGCTGAACCAATCGGTAATTTTGTTGTGACTTTATAAATTAATATATCTTGGATTTTTTATCTCTGATCTTTAATATGTAATTTGTCATTGTTATAATAAAGAAGTCAATGATTCAAGATTTAATAAGGTTCAAGTGTATGTTTAAGAAACTCACGGGTATCCTCACGTCAGGTAGTTCCGGAAGCAGATCATCAAGAAGACGCTCGTCAGTTATACAACCATCATCATACGAGTTACCCGAACACAGCACCAGTCCTATCAACCTTAACAGACGCAGCTCTGTTGTGGACCTCAACCGGAGAACTTCCGTTGCTTCAAACAGTTCCAGTACTGATCTAGATCAGGTAGGTAGTATTGTTAATTTGCATTACCATTAAAGGGGTTTAATGTTGTTAAAAGCAAGTCAAACCTTAAATTGTTATGATGCGCAATCTGGGAAACTGTTTTTAATTAGTATAATCAGCAGCTATGTGTTAGTTGTGCATTGATCTTACCCGAATTCTTAAACTCAGGTAAAATACAGGTCGAAGTTTATTAAAAATCTGAAAACAGTTTACATTTTTTATAAATCGAACAGTTTAGGGGTGTTTTATGTTTTAAATGCTAATGCTAAGCATGAATCATCTTCACACAATCTGTAACTTTTGCTTCTTTCTTTACAATTAAAATTGAAAGTAATCATGTTAAATGGTTCAACGATTTCACAGATAACAGACAAAGAAATGGAACGGCTGCTGACTCTTTACAATTCAAGGAAAATCGAATTTAATCCTATGACTATGAGTGTTCGAGAGGAAAAATTAAAGTCAGTTAACAGTAAGGTAAATCGGCAATTTAAATTAACATCCAGAAATAGATAGATTGTATAAGAATGGACGAAGGTAATACATATAATAGGTTATGGGGATGATAGGGCTACCGGTAAATTCTAAATCTAATACAAGGCCCTTGTATTTATAGTAAAACACAAATAGTTTAGAAAAGTTTTAATTGAGTCTCTCACGATAAAAGGTATGCTACAAGGACGGTGGAAATAGGGCCGTCGAAATCGGGTTATCATCCCCGATACAACATGCAGTCAATACCCAAACCACAAAACTGGTTACAAACTATGGTTTTATCTCCTAGGTATATTTTCTTGCCCAGAATATCGCATACGAATTTCCGGTATTACATTTTGAGAAAAAGATTCTGCTTTCGGGATTTTTGAAGCCACGGTTTTTTAAACTGAAAAATTTAAGAATAATGAAAACTCGGTCAAGCCTTGCAGCATGATCATATTCTTTGCTAGAAACTTGCTGACGGAGCACATGAACACCTGTGTAGCAGCAGCAGCAACTGCAGACACCACGGTCAATTTACATTTTATGTTATAAGATTGCTAGTATCATACGAATTCTCGAGACATATACTATCATGTTCTCACCAATATTTAATAACTGGACGCTGAACATCCTGTCATTTCTGGATGTTCAACAATTAATGTGGCATGTTACGTCGTAATTCAAATTAAATTGAAGTTCATTTCTCAATGATAGTAAATTGAACGTTGCCCTGCCGTTTTTATCTGGAATGCAGAACTAATAACACATTTCAGGGATCAGATAGTGTAACACTGATGATACTCCTCGTTCTTGGAATTCTAGCCATATTAGCGTACGTTATATGCAGCTAGATGTTCATAGGACAGACACAATTCATAAATCAGTCTGATGCAGCTCTAAGGGCAAAAGAAGAAAAGACAATAATCCTTAAACTTAGAGACTTTCGCCAACTTCAGCAGTTTTCATATTCGAGTCACTGACTGAGCCCAAAACCAGATTTGACAGACTCGAGAGTCGAGATGTGCATAGACAGCAACGCGGGTGTAACCTTCGTATAAGATATCGTTGTTCAAATATAAGGGCACCTCAATCCTTATCGATTATGAACAAAGTTTACCAAGAATACTTCGATTTGTGATGTGAAATTGACGACATTTCAGATATGTTAGGATGATATAAACTTCATCAAGGTTTCAAACTTGATTTTTTTAATTCAAAAAGTTGATTGATAAATTCCCAACAAGAAGGTCTCCTAGACTATTTAAACATTTTACTGTCTTTCATAAGTTTGTTCAAGAATGTAGATATATTTGATTGCTTACAAGCAAACAGTATGTTGTTTAATGTAGAGCCCTGATCATATTTTATTTAGAATTTTCGACAAAACTATCTTGATTCGGGAAATCTTCTCTGATATAAACAATAAATAATTCACCACATTTAACAGTATGGGTCATAGAAGTAATCTGGCGTTGGCTCTCATTTAGCAGCCTTTATTCATATCAATGAATCCTCAGTTCCCATGACTAATAGTAATGTTGGCTATAACTTTTTATTAACGTAATTTATGATCTAATTTAAATTAGTCGGAGTAAATTAAGAAATTATGCAGCGCATGGCCGGCCGGACGGGCGGGCGGCGCGCGCACTGTACTGTACGCGCGCGCCCTAAAAATGGGTGGTCGCTTTAATCTTCAAAATGAAAAGCCGTCGCGCCTTCCAAATATGTGCGTTTTTTTTCAATCTTAGATTGTTCCGACTAAAGTGTACCCTATAATTGACAAGGCCAAAGCCGTTACTAATAATAACAGTAAAATTTTGCGAAAACTAATTTAGTCCCAAATGTCATTCCTCGGAACAAATGGAACAGAAAGTTCATCTCCAATCAATATAACTTCTCAACACGTCGGACGATTACGATCTTCTGTCACTCCACTCAATTATTTTGGACAGACGCTCTAATCCGACATATTTACAATGTTTTAGCATCTCCACACAGAAGAGAACATCTTCCCTCAACTGAGAGCTCGGAGTCCTATTTTCAAGAGCATCAATTCGAATATCACACGATTTCAAAAGTTCTATGGCGTACGTTTGGGTCTGTTTACCAGTAGCAGCCTCTATGACCTGACAACTTGCTTTAGAACATTCAATAGCTTTATCCCAGATCTTGTTTGCAGCATAAAATAATGCACAAGTATCCATAATATTTCCGAACATTACGCTATCTGAACTATACAAATGTTTGGCTTCTTCGACGATACTATCGACATAATGAATGCTTGAAGACGAATTATCTTGCAAACAACTAAGTTTCTGATGTAGTAATTCGATTCGAAGATGGAATTTTTGGACATTAGTAACTCTTGCACATGAGTCACATTTTGGGGCATCATATTCCAACCACACGGGAGATGAGCAATGTTCGCACTGCAGAGCATACTGTGGCTCCTTTGAACCATCAACTGAACATGCATTACAATCACATGTAAACTGATACTGACGCTCTAGAATTTGTTGCCGCAGATGCTTAGGGAAATGTAAAACATCAGGTCCGTAGTTGTGAAAAAGTTCCTCTCCCTGCTTCACTTTAACTGTGGTCACAACCACAACGTCAGAGTTTTCAAAATATATCCTTGTATTTGGGAAGCAAGAATGGTTCATAAGAGCTAGCGTTAAGTAAAGTCCACTTCCAATTCTCTCCTCTGAAATGGCTCCGTGTTTTTCAGTTATACAACGAACGCCTTGTACAGTGCATGGTAACGATGAAAACACATGTCGAACCACAAGCTGTAACTGGTCCCAGGAAAGCTGATCAGTTCGCTTCTTTATCAACCTACAAACTTTATCAATATCAGAGGAAGAGACTTCCAGATCTATGGTAAACAACTTAGCAACTGCCCTGAAATCTGCTATGTAACCACCAGACAGTAACTCCTTTGAATCAAAATAATCCTTGAGGAATATTTCGTAGGAGAAATTAGACTCTGATACCATCCGGAGAACAATTTTATAACACAGAATTACTAAACTCTTATCGTTAATACTAAATCCGTCCTCAGCACTTTCTTTGGAACATCTATTACAGACAAATGGTCGATCTTCAGCAGGTTCTAAGAGCCTTGAGAAACAGGGAGAGCAAAAGAGGGGAGATTTGCTGACAGAAGCATACGGAGGTTCCTTTATGATAATTGTACCAGCGGGTATGTCCGACTTAGCGAGTAAATATCTGCCTTTATTGTCAGATCTGGCTATCTTGACATGAAACGCGTGCTCAATCATTGTGGTAGAGGACAGCTAAAAATTAAAAACTTTAGAGTATTTCAAGGTAGCTAGAAGATTTACCAATAAGTGCGGTTAAATTTCTTGATTCATATTTTATTTGTACTCAGGCTAAATTTTCAATGTCAGCTCTGCTCCTATTATTCAAGAGGCGAGATTATAACTAAAAAACGGTTCATAGCTTTATCTAACGTATTAATCTTCAAACAACAGAAGTATTCAAAAGAATAAAAGAATTTAACACGAATAAGTATCACTCAATAATAGGGTCTACAAAATGCGGAAATAAATATATTCTACGCATCATTCTGCACAGTATACTATATCTTCATTTTTACTGGAATATAATGTAAATAAAAACAGTATAAATGCTACTACATACAGTGAAATGCTATGGTGTCAGATGTATTTAAATTAAAATATTTCTTAATTTATATCGGTTTATTTCAGCATATTTACACACAAATAAGTTTTCATATAATTAATATGGCATATCATGTTCCATAATAATCAAGTAATCAATAGCGTTTCTTGTGGTAGCAGGATTTGACCACAAAATCAACAAATCATAACTCAAAGTTTAACTTCTTCCAGCTGCTTTTGGAAGTTCTTTTATAACTATACCTCAATGTACGCATTCTTAACAGTGAATAATGAATGCGCTGTAAAACTTCTTGTTACTTCATATCAAACCTGACATCTGATTTACACAGGGTATCTAGCTACAAGCTATATAGTATATACTTGAATTGTTCGTTATCTCAGTAAGAATCCTCAACACGCCCGAATTTAAATATAATAGTAGCCATGAATATGAGGAGATTCTGCATGAAGAACCCCGTACCTGGGTACGACGGTTCTATTTTCTTGTAAACATATTCTCCAAATAAGATAAAACTAGCTCCAATAAGCGCACCAAAGGAACACAGGAACCCTATAACCATCCAGACCCGCGTGCCAGACGTACCCAGCGCACCTGGCACGTAAGCATCACCACGTAACTGGGAATTAGAGACAGCGTTAACCATGAGCAGGCCTATTGTCCCGAACACACCACACGTCCAGTACGCTTTACTAAAGTGATCAGAGTCCACTGCGCCCACGTCAATAGCAATCCACCACCCCACAGCAAACAGGGAACCAGCCAGGATGGAGGAGATGGCATTGCGCCGCTCTGCTAACCAGTCTGTGTCAATGATACCACAGGTGCAGGAGATGTTGGAGCAGCACTCGCCACAATTGTCTAGACAGCCACTCATTGCCTAGAAAAGTAAAGTTGGGTTTAAATAAATTTAAAATAGCTAACATATAGTAATGGCCCAGAATTGACAAAATATAAGCTCCTGCTAAGATTGATTATAGCTTTTATTTTAAAATCTGTACATTTTGATAAGCAATGAAAGTGTCACAAACGGGTTATAAATATCATATTAACAATAAATAATATACACATCACGACGAATCCAAGTAATTGAAAGTATAACAATTCAACCTAACATACCTTAAACATATCTTAACCATTTAACAATACAGGCAAAACTTACGGCCATTATATTTAGAAGCAGAATAAACTTTCTGGTAATGCTGATTTATTAGTATTCCGACCCAGTTAGTTTGCTGCCTTCTTAACAAAGGGTATGTAATGAGGAGCAACCACTAACTATTATTTTAGAAATAACATTTGTAAGTATCTTGCCAAGCTAAATTGTCTCCAAACGAACCTATGCGGATAAAACATTTAAATAGTAAATCGTAAAACGCTTATCATTCAGTATACAGTTAGAATTATTATAGCAATTAGAATATTTTTAATTTCTTTTTATCTGTTCTCATCTTCAGCTCATTTTCAACTGATCTCTGTCTACTCAACAAGCCATCTAGTTTCTTAGATTCTGCATCAATCTGACCCTTCACTCTACTACAATGACCACTGTCTTGCCGATTTCTAGTAAGTGATTTCTTCAGTTCTGCAATTCTCCTCCTACAGCGACCAATATCATTCTCAATACTCACACTCTTCACTCGGACAGTTTTCTCTGAAACTTTATTGATAGGCTTCTTATTTTTAGGTCGTTGTTTCTGTTTTGATCCTCGAGCCTTGAACATGCTGTCCATCATAGCGAACATAGACTGAGACTTCTGAGTTTTTGTTAGAGCACTTCCAGTTCTTTGGTCAGCTTTTTTCTTTAATATAGAATTCAGTTTGTTAACAGTTCTGATGAGTCGCTTCTCACGAAGTTCTCTGACAGTATCCAAAGATACTCCTGGAGGAATGATATCTGCCTCAATTGGCTCCACAATGCCATCTCCTCTAGGTCCAAGACCAGAACCAAGTTTGTAGCCCATTTTGAACAACATTTTTGACCCAAATGAGTTTGTGTGCTCCTCCCAACTACCAAAATGCATGTTTGGAGTTGATGTTTCGAATGGTTGATACTCCTCCTCCGATAAGTCTGATATATTTAATTCTGTATCTGATTCACTGTCTCCATCTACCCCTTGAAGAGGAAACACATTTTCATACACACAGTCTACTTCTGTTCCAGAGCCATCTAATTTAATGTAAATTTTGTCTGTTTTGACACTGGTAACTGTTCCTGGTACCCATAACTCATCCTCATTCTTACACAAACATCTCTTGCCACGAACAAAGTTCTCAAAGTTTGGCTCTACGTAATCTTTAAGGGAAGAAATTTTGACTTCATAGCCATGAGAATATTTACACTTATCGAAATTACAAGTTGAGTTCAAGTAGTGCTTACAAGGAAGCATTTCTTTAGAAGAAGGAGTGAGAAAAAGGACATGTTCAAACCTGGTTGGTGGTTTTGTTTCACTGCCAAAATGGGCGATTTTCTCATTTTTACAATAATTCCATTAATAATTACTTGATGGTCTTGAAACTTTCAGAGATGATTATAATTGTGATAACAAATAGTCTCAGGTCATTGGCTATGAATAATATTGTAAAATGGCCAAGTTATGTTGAAAAATGTAACATTTGGTTACACTTTTCAATCGCTCAGCCAATTATTAAATTTTAAAGATTCTTGCTTCACAAAAATGTACTTTAGGTATTTGCTTAGCTGTGGAATGAAAAAAGGCCCACTTTTGATTACATAAAAAGGCCCAAAATGGACATTTTGTAACATCTTGTTTTCATGATATCTTTATAGTTTGTTACAACCACAGCTAGTGTAGGATATGTATTTAACTCTCAAACCAGGTTATTAGTGCAGCAATTCTTGTATAAAGGCATTACCACAATCTTGGTATATGGTTCATAATCAATAAAAGGCCCATTTCTTTGAATAACGTAACATGGTTACAAATGAGTATGTTATACAGAGTTGTTTGATCTAGTATTGGTTTTAAGTTGGTTGATGCATTAAAATAGAGACATGAAGCAACTTAACAAATTAAAAAAAATGATAATTGGGACCAAATTATTGAATTTTGTAACAATTTAAATGTAATGTAATTTAAATTGACAATCCGCGACAGAATGCGGTAAATTTGATCAAATGAATATAGCTAATTAGATTGAAGGTTGGATATTTAAAAACTTTTAATTTATATATGAAATTGTATAGAAAATAGAAATTGGGCCCTATATATTGAAATTTGTAACAATAAAATGCCAGGTCACGAGTTTATCCACTGAAATGGCAGAGTTCCATGTCCATCTATGGACTAACAAAATTCAATGTTTTGGGCCCAAGTACAAAATATGGTCAATAATATGGTTGATGGAACCCTTTAAATGACCTAGGCAAACTGGTCTGAACTTCAAAAACTATAATATAGCTTGCCTAACACCCCTCACACTAGGATACATACTCTATATAATACTTACTTTCTAATGTTACATAATTCAAGTTCCGCAGCCATTTTATCAAATTATACGAATAAGGATTGCTTTACAATTCTGTATGAGAATCTAAAAACCATGTTACCAGTACAAGAATAAATTGAACATTCCAGAAATGAGCTTTGTAGTCAGAACATAAATATGTTACAAAATTCAATGTTTTGGGCCCAAGTACAAAATTTGGTCAAGAATATGGTTGATGGAACCCTTTGTGACCTAGAAAAACTAGTCTGAACTTCAAAAACTATAATATAGCTTACCTAACACCCCTCACACTAGGGTACATACTCTATACACTTACTTTCTAATGTTACATAATTCAAGTTCCGCAGCCATTTTATCAAATTATATGAATAAGGATTGCTTCAGAATTTTGTATGAGAATCTAAAAAACATGTTACCAATACAAAAATATATTGAATATTCCAGATATGACCTTGGCAGTGAAAACATAAATATGTTACAGAATTCAATGTTTTGGGCCCAAGTACAAAATTTGGTCAAGAATATGGTTGATGGAACCCTTTGTGACCTAGAAAAACTGGTCTGAACTTGAAAAACTATCAAGAAGCTTCTCTAAAAACCCATTGAAAAAGTGTAACATAGAAATGTGTTACAAAATTCAATATCCAGGGCCCCCAACTAAACCGCTATATCTCAGGACCTGAATATGTTACAAAAATTCTGATTCAAGGGTGCCCTCAGTCAAAGGGTCTAGTTTTTGTCAGTAGTTTCAGTTTTTCTTAAAATGTAACAGATTTCAATCTGGGGGCCCAGAAGTAATGAGTGGGAAAAATGAAACAAAACCACCAACCAGGTTTGAACACGTCCAAAAGAACCTTGACAACGGTCTCAGAATCATCTGAAATATCAACAGATAAAATAACACAGTTTTGTTGCTGAACTGTGCCCCATGCTGATGTGTATTTGATGCTACACTTCGTTCCCACAAAAGAATCTATACTATTTTCGTCATCGTCTGAATTTTCATCAGGCTCTTCAGGCTCACGAAGGCTCAGTAGTAATTGATTTTTCTTGAGATTGAGCAGCTCATTTTCGGTGATAGTGATCAATTCAGTTAAGTCAGTTTGAAGGGTAATGAGCTCCTCATCACCAGGAGCAGCTAAGAGAGCAGAACTGACCGCTGACAGCTGAGTTTTGTAAGTCTCATAGTTGAGTTCTACCTGTTCTATGTCTGACATATTTCATCAGCGTTACAGTCCATTACTGAAATATTAGTGCTGGTTAGGATTGATAGAAATATGCAGTAGTTAATTAGTCAAATAGCTATATAATACATACAGATATCCAGCGCTTGGAATGCACTGCAAAGACACATACAGAAAGCTCCAAGATCAAGCTAAATCTTTTTAGACGGTATGATATAAATATTAAAGTTTATTTTCAAATTCACAAAATTCACAAAATTCTGTGAATAGTATGAGAATCAGTAAAACAATAAATAAAATGTAATAAATTAAGTTCCAACTGATTTTAGAGTTTTCACAATAAATACCGATCATGTCAAGATGTTTTCAGTTTGATATTAAAAGCCGCACCTTAAAAATGGAAAAAATGTTAAAAGAAATAGATATTTTACTGTAACTATGTTAAAATGTGCCCCAAACTGAAAAGATAAACTTTCATAGTCTGATTCAAATAATCACTTTGTTAATTAGTCATAACAACTCAACACCTTTCTAGATAAAGTAGGTAAATCAGGAAATTTACCCGCAATTTGCGACATACCAACAGATTCTATAACATTCCTAACATCACTGTTCAAGGGGTTGATGGTTAACTCTAACTTGGTAGAAACAGCATGAAGTTTCAAACACAGCTTCAAACACTCTCTGATGTGATGTGGACTTGGCTTTTCATTCTCGAGGATCTTTGTAAGTAGGGAACTCAGAGCACCCAGAATCTCATCTTGTGAACTATGTACAGATGTATCAGCAAATGATAAAACTCTTTGAAGGAGGATGATTGCTTGCATTTTGGCATAGATCGTTATGTCCTGGTTGATGAATGTAGTAACATCTTGCACAAAATTCGGCCGGACGATTGGAAACCGCTCAATGATCTGGAAGAAAATATTTTTGTCCTGTTTTGTGTTCTTGTTTGTAAAGAAGTCGTTTAACATTGGACTGAAAACTGAATAAATTGTGTCAGCAATCGGTGTGACGTTTTTGCTAACCTTTCTTTTCTTCTTTGTTGGCTGCTCAGATGCATTGAGATGGACTTTGCACAACATAAACAAGGTTTTGATAGCTAGTTGTTGAGCTTTACGGTTGGCAGTTTTGGAAATAAACTCTTGGATAGCAGGGACATCAGTCTTCAAAGAGTCTTCAAAATTGACTGTCAGCTTGTCAGATTTCATTACAAACATATTTTTGAAAATACCCAGAACTTTGTTACAAACAGGAACTGAGGTAACACTCGGACTTGCAACCAGCTGCAATAATCTAGGAAGAATGTTCATTGTGGCTGATGAAAATCCGATATCCTTGACGATTATTTCTATAAAGTCCAATATCTTTACCTTGAATTGAACCATCTTAACTTTCTTCAATGCCTTTTGTTTCTTTTCGTTTTTTTTGTCCTTTTTCAAATTGATTGCAAATTTAATTGCAGCACCAAGTGTTTTGTCTACTTCGTTCAATTCTTCTTCATCTGCATCTGATAAATTTATATCATCATCTGCTTCATCATCAGCCTTTTCCACAACAGGCTCTTGATTTTCGTCATCTGCTTCCATATCACTTTCTTCATCCTCTTCGTCATCCTCCTCATCTTCTTCAATCTCTTCTTCATCTGAACTTTCTTCGTTATCATCTCCTTCACTTTCATCAGATTCAGAATCATCTTCCATCTCTTCATCATCATCATCTTTATCACTCGATTCCAATGCAGTCATGACCAATTGGATAGATTCACTATCTAAGTCATGGCATACCATTTTGAAGCACTCATTTGCCATATTCCTTAGCATCAGTGACTCATATGATAGAATACTTATCAAAAGGTCGACAAGAATAGATTTCCAGTTCTCAGTACTTCCTGTTTTGTGCTTCTCATAACATTGGAATACGTCATTGAGCACAACTTTGGCCTGCTCCTGTTCATCAAAAAATAGAATACCAGCGTGCAAGAATAGGAGCTCAAATGCCCAGTCCTCATTTGATCTAGATTCAGGACTTTTAGCTTCTATCTCATCAATGACAGACCAAAGAGATGTCCACTCCTCAAAACCTGTTATGTCACATAACATTGGAAATTGTTCATTTGTGAACAGCACCAGTGACGAGCTCATAAGATGATAAACCCAATACCTTCCATCTTCAGCGGTACCTTTGCGCTTAGACTTAACATCGGCTATTTGAATTGAAAGAAGTTTTAAACATGAATTAAACCTTGCTTTACAAATTTCAATAGTAGCTGGAGACAGTTTTGGCTCTGCAGGTTTAACTTGAGGAAACTCTACACATTCAGCTTTTACTTCAAAATAAGAGTAGATGAATAAGAACTTAGTGACCTGATACACTACTTTTGGGCTGGAATGCCTGATTATATTCATCACCCATGACAAACAGTCACTTCTAAATTCTGTTGTTATTTTGGAGCTGGCGTCATTATTTGATGTAATAAAGGAGCTCTCTAACAGAGAGACACAGTCATCTACAACATCAGAAGGACAATTTCCAAAAAGACTGTCAAGAATCTCATGAAAGCATGATGCTCTTCGAGGAGATAGAGCTAAGAAGGATCTTGCAATAGATACTTTAGCTTCTGATGACTCCACCTTGGAAATTCTTGCGCTAACTGAGTCTGTCATATATGTTATGCAGTCAGGAGATGATGGATGAGCTTTCTTTAAATGCTCAGCCATGTGTTTGCAAACAAAGGACCCTACTTTGTCGTCTGGGAGGCAATTAAGGAAATGAACCATTGTAAATATCACTGTGTTTTTGTTTTCACCAGCTTCCATCACAGAAAAGAAATGTTTACTAGCTTTTTTAATCTTGAAATGGGATGATGATGTACAACTATCAAGAATGATAGAAAGTTGAGGCTTAGCTCTTTCTTCACAATGGATTCCTTTTAACACAGCAGCAATATTCTCATAGTTGTGAGGATGATGTAAATGGGAGAAGTTCCAGTGCTTCTTAATAATCTTACCAGCATTTGTAGCATCTTTCTTTTCTAGGTAAGACATAAGGGCTAATCGCTCTGGGCTACATTGTGTCCAGCCTTTCTTTAGTTCCTCACTGAAAGCCTCAAAAACTTTGTCCATATTTTCCAGTTTAATAGTGTCTAAAACATCTATGAATACCTTAAAAACAACATCTTTGATTGTAAGTTTATTTTTAAGAAGTATCTGTAGCAGGTCTTTCAGAACCTCAATACACAGCTCATTGTCCTCCAGTCTGTTGGATCTCTGCAATGCAGAAACACAGAATACAAAACCAGAGTAAAGATCCCTAATCTCTTTCTGACTAACATGACCTGATGGAAGGTTAGTTTCTTTGCACAGTGCATAAACTTCCTTCACATCAACATCAGGAAATTGGAGTAGGATTTCAGTCAATGCAACAGCAAATCCTTGCCTGGCATTTTTCCTGTTAGATGACATTCCTTTCACTAGACGTTTCCATGAATAACCCAGGTTGTCTTTGGCTGTGGTTTGCAGTTTATCAACAAGAAGACTTGCAGCTGCTATAGAAGTTGACCTTTCCTCTGCAAGGTCATAAAATGACTGCATGACTGCACCATCCATGACTACCTGGTAAAGAATTTATAATCAGAATATATCAATGTAATAAATAAAAAATCATATCAATATAATGCCATAAAATTTAGAAAAAAAAACAGTGAAGATTGTGCTGTAAACTAAAATTATAAAGAACCGTGGTGGTGTTCTCATTTTAAAATCTACTATTGTGATGAAAGAATGTATGGTAGTAAGGAATAGAATGACAATTTTTGGGATGAGTGCAATTGTGAAAACTGAGATTTATTCACTATCATTTTTATTTTCCCATTGTGACATAATGGAAGATGTTAGGTCAATTAATAATGCAAGCTGATTGGTACTGTTGTCACATGTCTAAAAACATGTCTCACCTCCCCACCAGAATCCTGATCTATTAGATCAGTACTTGTTATGATTGCAAAATATATCTTCATTGAATGTGAACTATGTAAATTTCGATAAATTTTAGGACAACCTCATACAGAAAGTTGTATTGTGAACTTTGTATAATGTATACGTTGTATAATAGAGCGATTGAAATTTACCAATCTTGGGCTTACTAAGTTATGAAATGTCCCTTAACTATGCAACACTTGTAGGTTTCAAGGTTCGACCGAAGGCAGGTTTTGCGACTGAGGACGAGGCCGAGGAAATTTTGCTTTGATAAAACCGAGGCAGAGGCAAACCAAGGAATTGTCCTCTTTACCGAGGCAGAGGTAAAATCGCTATTCCTTGATAAAACCAAGGCCGAGGCTGAGGACTCTGTCAACCCTTAAAATCTTCAAAATTTCGCAGAGGCCGAGGAATAGCAACTTAATTTTTAACCGAGGCCGAGGCAAACCGAAAACTGATTACGGAGGGGGGAGGGGTTACAAATTGTCCAAAAAGTGATTACGTAATGTGTGAACTACTCCTGAAAAACTATCCCAGAAGAGAGGAGAAGACTATGCGGCTATTATGAGTTACATGCGCACCAGGATTAGATTCTCAATCCTCAGGAGCACCCTGATAGCGGTCAGGGGTGATAAGGTTTTTTTTTATAGGGTGCCAAGGGTGCCAGCACCCTTGCCTCAAATTTTTTCATCGAAAAATTAAAATTGGCTGAAACGAAAAAAAAACATATTTTCTTGGGGGGGGGGGGGGGGGGGGGGGTGGTGAGGTTAGGATTGAATTGACCATGGTTAATGAGGGTCTGTACATGCTCAAATAGTGGGCCTGTTGATAGCTTGGATGTGTTTTATTATAGTGTAGACTTACTTACATGGGTCTATACTCTATATTCTATAAGGTGGAATAGTGGGTCTGTTGATATTGATAGTGGGTCTGTTGTTATTAAGTGTGTGTCTACTCGCTTAATAGTGGGTCTTTGCTACTCTGAAATGGGTCTGTAGATTGACTTGTGGGTCTGTAAGATGAAATAGTGGGCCTGTTGATATTGATAGTGGGTCTGTTGTTATTAAGTGTGTGTCTACTCGCTTAATAGTGGGTCTTTGCTACTCTGAAATGGGTCTGTAGGTTGACTTGTGGGTCTGTAAGATGAAATAGTGGGCCTGTTGATATTGATAGTGGGTCTGTTGTTATTAAGTGTGTGTCTACTCGCTTAATAGTGGGTCTTTGCTACTCTGAAATGGGTCTGTAGGTTGACTTGTGGGTCTGTAAGATGAAATAGTGGGCCTGTTGATATTGATAGTGGGTCTGTTGTTATTAAGTGTGTGTCTACTCGCTTGATAGTGGGTCTTTGCTACTCTGAAATGGGTCTGTAGGTTGACTTGTGGGTCTGTAAGATGAAATAGTGGGCCTGTTGATATCGATAGTGGGTCTGTTGTTATTAAGTGTGTGTCTACTCCCCCATGGTCGCCTGGTAACTGGGCTGTGTTTATGACTGCAGTCAGTCAAAGATTTGAACTGTGGATTAGTCATTAGTAAATATCTGTCATAACATCCAAGCAAACATTCTAGAAGACTTCTATAAATAGTCAATAGTGTCCCCTTGACCGTAGGAAATGTAAAAATTTTAAGACGATGAGGCCTGAGTAAGTCGTAAATTCTGATTGGAGAATGCAGATTGCTGTTGTGAAGTTACCAACTTTACGTGAGTACTTGATTCTTTTCAATCCCAGTTTATTGCTGTCCTACAAATTTCTTTGCCAAATGTCGTCTAAAACACCCTGTTTCGCAAAAAATTTCCGGGGGGCTGCGCCCCCCTAGCCCCCGCCAAGGGGCTCTGCCCCTGGACCCCGCTGGGGGCTGCGCCCCCCAGACCCCTGCTACAGCTTGCACGCTTCGCTCGCTGCGCAGCTGGATTAAAAAACCTGGCTACGTCCCTGACCTATACCTACATCTTTATACTATAAGTTGTAAGTATAAAGCCAGCATTTTAACCTGGGGTATTTGTAAGTTTTCCACATATGTATGAGTGGACTTTGGAAATCAAATTATCAACCAAAATGTGGTGGAATATTGCATATATGAATAGTACAAGAGTATTATACCCAACAATGACCGGCGAACTGATAGCTACTTCAGAAGCAATGAAACTACGATCTTCTAAATAAAATGAGTCATACGGTAGTACCGTAGTACTTTCAGCCGGAGCCATCATAAGTGACATAAATCTAAAAGATAGTATGGTTAGTTTCTAAATATAAACTCAAACTCTGGAAAGGAAACTGCTGTGATAAATAGTACATATAATTATTCTGACGGAAGAAGGTCATCAACTTCAAGTCCTAAATTATGGAATGTAATATTTAGTCCAATCTCTAAGATTGTTGATAGGGAAAGTTCAAAAAATTGGATTAAAAAATTTGCGAAAAAAGTTACTGCGAGCGCAGCTCAGCCAGCGAGCCACATTCAATGGAAAAGTGGGTCTTTAACCCAAAAAAGTCAGCACCATTGGGTGGGTCTGTGGCACCCAGAAAAAAAAAAACCTTAAGGGGTGAGAGAGGGAGACGGCAATCGTATACATTGCCAGTCAGTGTAACTTCGTTTAACTTGATACCTGCCACCATGGACTATGAATGTTTCTAGACACTATCCTTTTGATATTGAGATATTGGTATCTCAGATCACGTGTACATCGTTCCTTTTTTTATGACACAGTAATTTATTGACACTCACAGCTATAATTTTAATCATTGAATCAGTATTTTTATCTGTGCTCTGCGTAATGCATCACATGAATAAGTTTTTTAATCTATTAACTTATTACACATTTGTGCTCTGCTTTAGCATCACTTGACTATTTAAAAAAAAATGTTTGTTCAGGCCATGACCTTATAGTCAGCCAATTGGCCATTGCTATATTATGTGTATATGGAAGAAGAATATTCAAACAATATACACATAATATAGCAATGGCCAATTGGCTGACTATAAGGTCATGGCCTGAACAAACAATTTTTTTAAAAAAAATAGTCAAGTGATGCTAAAGCAGAGCACAAATGTGTAATAAGTTAATAGATAAAAATACTGATTCAATGATTAAAAATTTAGCTGTGAGTGTCAATAAATTACTGTGTCATAAAAAAAAGGAACGATGTACACGTGATCTGAGATACCAATATCTCAATATCAAAAGGATAGTGTCTAGAAACATTCATAGTCCATGGTGGCAGGTATCAAGTTAAACGAAGTTACACTGACTGGCAATGTATACGATTGCCGTCTCCCTCTCTCACCCCTGACCGCTATCAGGGTGCTCCTGAGGATTGAGAATCTAATCCTGGTGCGCATGTAGCACATAATAGCCGCATAATCTTCTCCTCTCTTCTGGGATAGTTTTTCAGCGAGTCTCTTGTGGTATCTTGTGGCTTGTGGACCCCATCCGCCATTTGTTGAGTATATAAGTTGAGTACATAATATTATGTGTATATTGTTTGAATATTCTTTCTCCTATTATACATTAGAGCAATATGATAGTCAAAAGGTAAGTATTGGACCAAATTGAAAATGAAACATGCCTTCGTGATAAAAATCCCCATATCTTTGCGTTGCCGATGCCCAAATGAGAAGAAAAATAGGATGGTTCGTGGCCAAAGTAAATGTGACGTGCTGCTTCAAAGTAAACAATTGATTTTTGTGGGTAGTATAACATGTTAAATTGGCATCGTCAATCAATAAAAGACTTAAATTGTAAATAATTATTGCTAAAATTTCCATTCTCCCAGTTAATGGTTAAGTTCTTTAAGAAATTTTCGATGAAACAAGAAATTTAATTTTAGCACATTTTACAGAATCAACAAATTTACAACATGAACAATCAAAATATAATGCTCATTTAGTGTATGATTTTCTGTCCTTCACTGCATTGTGCAAATTTGGCTGTAAAAGGATATGGAACTAATGTGTAACAGGGCAATACTATACAAAGAATGTACGGCAATACATGGAATGTGCGGGCCTGGAAGCTTTTGCAAACACTGAACATTATTCCAAATGATTATTTGGAGACAAGGATCTTACTTGGACCAAATTGTTGGAAGATATATAAAGTGTTGTTACTGAGGATTTCAGTCTTGTTGTGACAGAAACTTTATACACTATATTATGCTCAAATTTATGTTGTGTAAATCTTACTGGGCCGCGCTCAGCCTGTCATTCCGCTTAATCTCTATTCGGGTTACTGGGCCGCACTCAGCCTGTCATTCCACTTAATCTCTATTCATATGTTTATGAACATGATAGCCTGAGGTCCCCAGGTAATGTAAATCAAAAAATAAAATGCCACTTGAAGGTGAATATTATCTATTGATGAACTGGCGAAAAATTATGAGCATTGCATTGATGGTTATAATAACAAATAAGAGTTTTGGTTAATTATTTTTGCTTTTAATTGACGATGTCAATTCATCTCAGATCGGCGCGGCACAGCTTAGCGCATCTCGCGCTACAATTATTGCTTATAATTTTATTACTTATAATCTTATTGCTAACCTGGCACGTCAATCCCAAATATGCACGGCGCCCTTTTTGTCCTTCTTGCATTATACGTGAAAGTAGCGAGCAATAACAAAAATATCTCCCGTTAACATCCTAATAATGCGCGGCTTCACATAGCCATGTGCCTACGCGTACTGCGTGACGCGCTTGTTTCACAAGTAGGATGATCTTTTGCCGCCTACGGCGGTCGCGCGCTACTGCAAGCGAGAGGGCTCTGGTTAGAGCAAATGCGCGGCGCGTAAAAACTCCCAAATAAAAGACTCGTTGACAGTTGCAGATGGGATCAGGAAATGAAGTGGTTTGGTGTCCATTTCAGTAGGCCACAGATATACATATTTTATCTGGTGAATAAATCCTTGGGGTTGGGGAGATGGACTGGAATAGAGGATTGACATTTTATTTGAGTTCGAAAATTCGAATTGAAAAAAGTAGTTTATTTTAATGTTTAATTGGGGCGCCGCGCGCGCGGTATAAGTACGTGTTGCGCAAGTGAGTTTTTTAATAATATGTTCACGCGTTACGGCTAGTCACATACTTTGTGCCACATTTTATCATCACAGAGGGTGTTTTCTCAGATTTTGTGGCGGATATGAATCTTGCCCCCATCATGTATTTTGCTTATTATTGAGCTATTATTCTACCTTATTCAAACTCATTCTGACAAAAGTTATTATCAACAACTATGATTGGAATTATCGAGAATTCAGCAAGTAACTAGCCGGCTAGTGACCACTTACTAGCTACTAGCCGGTCACTATAAGTGACCAGCTATTAGTATAATTAATGCTCCTTCTTTATTATTAGTAGCCACTCTTAATTTGATAGAGAGGGAGCATTTCAACTAGTAGCCGGATAGTAACCGCCTAGTGACCGGCCAGTTATCGGCTAGTGACCACTTTAGAAGTACCGAATAGTGACCACTTTTTAGTTGTGATATAGTTATGACTTGGTTATGACATGGTTCTAACATGGTTATGGCATGGTTATGCAATGGTTATTGGTTATGCAATGGTTATTGAATGGTTATGACACGGTTGTGACATGGTTATGCAGATGGGACCATCGTGTAATTTGCCTAATATTGAGATATGAACAGTTTCAATCTACCTTATTCTAACTAATTCTACAAGTGCAAAGTAGTGCATATTAATTTTAACAACAATCCTAATTTAAATTATAAGGTAAATGGTATAGAACTTGAAGTATCTGCACAGGAAAAAGATTTAGGGGTTATTACCCATAACTCCCTACTTTGGAACGAACAGATCAAAGCATGTATCGCTAAGGCAAATCGTATGATTTGTTGGATTGTAAGGAATTTAGTTATTAGAGAAAAGGTTGTTATGATTGCTATATGGACACGTTCATTGAAGTTTGAGGATATTGGTAAATATTAGTGACCCTACTGAATGGCACGATGATGTAAAATGTGTCACACTATGAAACTATATAAACCCTCTAACCCTAAGATAATCGTTTTATCCTCTAGATAAACTTTGTCGCATAACGATATCTTTATCAGACGATAAGATATCGCTTAAATGCGGCCGGCAGTGAGTTGTAAACTTTGTCACACTATAAAAACGTGACGGAGTTTATATGGATCCCTTGTTGCCGTGTTTGACCAAATTTTCGAATTTCCAATTCATAGAATAGCTGTATATGACTATTATCTACATATTTAGCGACTTTTTTCCTTAAATGGTAGCACCATGTAAACTCCGTCACACATTTAAGAAATTTATATGAGGGATGTTTATGACATCCTGACAAGAAATGCCGAATAGTCTACCATTATTTTGTGAGCTGAATGTGTTTGGAATTGTTCACATACTTCATTGTTATAGGCAAATACAAATACAGAAGGCAGAAATAGGTAAATTTAGTCACATAAATTTGTATGATATCTCAACATGTGTGAAATTGAGTAAATATTAGTATACCAACTTAAACACCCTAGAGTTGAGACACAGTTAATAAACTGCGGAGTGACTAAAATGCTATACAGCACAAACAGAACGCTCCAACCAAACACTCCACCTACTGATCCTAACCACCCTAACAACTCTCTAGCTCTCTCTCTTCAACCCTCATTCCCTCACTCCTCTTGGTGCACAAAACCATTCTAACCTATGTATGTCCCCCATACGGGTTCCACAAGCCCAACGGTACATAGTTAGACGAAAAACAGAGAAGCCTTGATTGCCAGACCAAGGACTGCATCAGTAGCAGCGAAATACGGATATACCTTCTCCCTTACAGTCAGCGAGCTGACAACTATCTGACTGTGTCTTTTAGGCCTTGCCACACCACCTTCGCTATTGCATCCGCTCGCCCGTATTCACTGACACATGCCACACCTGGGTTTAGTATGAAGATGTACGCATATTCACCCAAGATGCGGAGATGCCTCAGTTTAGCGAGTTGAGATACAACAGCAAACTCACAGGAGCATGGATCAGAATCATCAGTTACCAACCTGACACCGTTTCGGGGCTTTAATCGCAATACGGTTTCCTGTCAGGCGCCCCAGCAGTCCACCCTTGAACCACCATCTGATCCGAGAGTCACTTGAGGAGACCCGTTAGAGCTCGCAATTGGCGACGAGATAACGTTTATGGTACCTCTAGATGTTATAGTGAACTCTCAAGCTCCAACCTTCCTGAACTCCCACTCCCTCTTTCTCGATAACAAGTAAATCCATCTGGAACAGTGGGCTGCCTCTTTCCCGCTGTCCCGTACCAGCTTCTTCAGCTCTCTTCCCCTAAAACCAATCCTCCTCGCAGCTCTCTCCAAACTCTGCGCAACCACTCCCCTAGCTCCAACTTCGACTGCGGCATTATAACAGCACCAACCTTTCGCCTGAATCTCAGCCTGCAGACCGCTGTATCGGTCGAGCTTGTACTCGTGCGATTCAGCGATCCGCTCTTCAGATGGTACTGTTAGCTCCCACCAAATAACTGTCTTTGCCGACCTTGAGAATATCACAAGGTCCGGCCTCAGCCGTGTTTCCACAATCTCACTGGGAAACTTAAGCTGCCCCTCAAGGTCTGACAGCACTATCCAATCCCGATACCCACTCAGGATCCCAAAACCACGACTCTCCTTCCGGTCGTCTGTACCTGCTTTTCTTTTCCCAGCAGGAACAAAATCAATGAACTGCCTTCCATCGCCGGCCTTGTTCTTATAAGTGTTCACTCGGCGATCACAATGGAAGACAACCTGTTCAGAGATCTGCTTCAGAACCTTGTCGTGCCGCCATCTATACCTTCCTTGACTAAGGGCCACCTTACACCCAGCCAAAATGTGCTGAATGGTGCCCATCCTCTCCTCACATAACTTGCACTTCCCATCCTCATCTTCACTCCACTTGGAAACCATAGAGGGGGTTAAGAGGGTGCCGTACACAGCACTTAGCATGAACCCAATAAGTGAGTCACCATACTTAAAAAGTGTATGCCAGCTCAAATCCGTCTTCATTACGAGCTCTCTCCACTCACCCCACCTGCTCTGCATCTCCAGAGAACCTACTTGCACCTCCCTCTCTCTTTCAATGTTCTCTTTCACTCTCAGCATAACCTCCCTCTCTCTTTCCCGCTCATCCATCCTCTCCCAAGGTTTTTTTCCAGTCACCAAAACCGATGCCAACTCTTTTTTGAGGTTGCACCATCCCTCGCACCGATTCACAGACCAAATCTCTTCTGGCCTCTTCCAGTTCTGTCTCAGGCCTCCAAACTCTACCAGAACGAACTTGGGGCTGGACTGCTTTAATCAGGTCATCCTTAGATGTCTGATAGGATTGCAACAGTCGACACTTCTCTATCTTCCATGTATCTGTCAAACTGCTCACCGGTAAGGCCACACTGGATGATTGACTGAACAGACAAAGACCACTCAGAGTGTGCCCCACCCCTAACCACTTCCTGAGGAAACTATTGGTATTCTGTTCCCATCTGGTAACTGTTGTGATCGGAATATCATAGATGGCAAGAGGCCACTTCATTTTTGGAAGGACCATGTACTGATATCCCCAGCACTTCTGGAGTCCAGTAAGGGAACTTTCATCGAGTCTCCGAAGAAAAGTGTTAAGGTCGACCTTGGTTGAGTCGATGACTGATTTGTCATTTCCTTCCACTCTTATCCATCTCCCAAGGAATTTTATCGGCTTCTCTGACACATTCGGAATCACCTCACCACCCAACTGCAAACACAACTCTTCTCTCTCCACCTCCTCCTCTCCTACCACTACCTCCTCACCCCACCTCACAGCCACTCCCTTCTTCAACACCAGTGCTCTGGACTTGGAGGACTTTAACTTAAATCTGGACCAGTCCACGTACTTCTGAAACACATTGAGTAACGTTTGCATATCCTCTGCACGTGCGGTCGTCAGACAGCTATCGTCCATAAACAGCTTCAGAGTTGGTATCGGTGTGTCATCCTTGATGTACTCAATGCTTCTCGGAACCTTAGACTTTAGGTGTTCATGCCCAAGGTTCATGCACAAGACAAACAAGATGACTGATATCACACACCCCATGAAGATTCCTATCTCAAACTGCTGCCAGTCTGATGTCACCGTTCTTGAGGAGAACCTTCCGAATACCCCGGAGAAGTACCGTAGGATAATATTGATAACCTTCTCGGGGACGTTGTAGAAACGGAGGGCCCTGGCAATCAGAACATGGGGTACCGCTCCGTAAGCGTTAGCCAGGTCAAGCCATACCACACTCAGGTCCTTCTTCTTGACCTTTGCTTCCTTCAGTACCTCCCACATGGCACCAAAATGCTCCGTGCACCCACGGACGCCTGGCACACCACCCTTCTGTATAGAGAGGTCTACATATCCATTCGAGACAACAAAGCTGGTCAACCTCTTCGCCAGGATCGCCAAATAAATCTTCCCTTGAATGTTACCCAGGGAAATAGGCCGTCCTGAACTTGGTGAAAAGTCGCCATCCGCCTTTGGGATGTAGACACCCTCGAAATACCTACAATTGTGTGTGAAATTGAGTAAATATTAGTATACCAACTTAAACACCCTATATTACGTACTATGAATCAATTAACAATATTTCAACCATACGCCGGTCATATAAATTATTATATGGCAGTGATATGTTAACATTGGATAAATTTCAACACCTGAACAGGGTAAAAATTTGTAAATTTCGTCACAAAAAAATATTACAACTTTATTTGCTCCGTGTTGGCAAAATAACTAATTTATCGACATAGTGATGGTGATAAAGTGACATTATATACTAATTGAGGTATGATTCTTCAAAATAGGGGCAAGAAATGTAAATTTCGTCACATCAGCCATTGCATTAGTTAGATAGATTTTCTTTCATATCAACTGCCCTTATTATAGTTGGAATGGATTTATACAGGAAATATAGAAACCCATGCCCATTTTTCATCACATTGAAATTATACTGTTGGGGCAGGAAAAGTAAATTTCGTCACATTTCGGTAAATTAGTGATATTAAACTCAGCATTGTTCAACTCGAGTTCTGATTTGCTGAAAAATAACCTACCAATAATTCCTGGAAGAATATTGAATTCTAATCGGGGTATGGTTCTTCAAAATAGGGTCAAGAAATGTAAATTTCGTCACATACGTCATTGTAAAATTTAGATACATTTTCTTTCACATCAACAGTCCTAATTATAGTTTGAAATGAATAATTCAGAGATGAAGGAAATATAGAAACCCAAGCCCATTTTTCATCACATTGAAATTATACTTTTGGGGCAGAAATAGTGAATTTCGTCACATTTCGGTTACTTAGTATAATTAAACTCAGAATTGTCAAACTTGAGTTCTGATGATCTGCTGAATAATAACCTACTAATAATTCATGGAAGAATATTTAATTCTAATCGGAGTATGGTTCTTCAAAATAGGGTCAAGAAATGTAAATTTTGTCACATACGTCATTGTAAAATTTAGATACACTTTCTTTCACATCAACAGTCCTAATTATGGTTTGAAATGATTAATTCAGAGATAAGGAAATATTGAACCCATGCCCATTTTTCATCACATTGAAATTATACTGTTGGGGCAGGAAAATTGAATTTCGTCACATCTCGGTAACTTAGTAAAATTAAACTCAGAATTGTTAAACTTGAGTTCTGATTTGCTGAATAATAACCTACTAATAATTCCTGGAAGAATATTGAATTCTAATCGAGGCATGTTTCTTCAAAATAGGGTCAAGAAATGTAAATTTCGTCACATCAGCCATTGCATTAGTTAGATAGATTTTTTTCTTCATATCAACTGCCCTTATTATTAATTCAGAGGCACATATTAGGTGCGATGGGTGCGGGATCGCACAATTTACCGTTTTCCGCACATGTCCGCATAATTTATTGTTTTCCGCACATGTCCGCACATTTTGTAATTTTCTGCATATTTCCGCATAATCTAGCATTTTCCGCGTAATTTCGCATAATTTTGAAATTTTCGCGTTAAGATTTTCGAGTGTAAAAACCAAAATATGTTATAGTCGGGCCCTTTTAGGACCGTGACTCAGGCCCTTTCGGGACCCTGACCCAGGCCCTTTTAGGACCGTGACTCAGGCCCTTTCGGGACCCTGACCCAGGCCCTTTTAGGACCGTGATTCAGGCCCTTTCGGGACCGTGACCCAGGCCCTTTTGGAACTCATACCTAGGCCACGTGACCCAGTTACCACGTGACACAGGCCCTTTCGGGACCCTGACCCAGGCCCTTTCGGGACCGTGACCCAGGCCCTTTTGGAACTCATGCCAAGGCCACGTGACCCAGTTACCACGTGACACAGGCCCTTTCGGGACCCTGACCCAGGCCCTTTCGGGACCGTGACCCAGGCCCTTTCGGGACCGTTACCCAGGCCCTTTTGGGACCGTGACCCAGGCCCTTTCGGGACCGTTACCCAGGCCCTTTCGGGACCGTGATCCAGGCCCTTTCGGACCGTGACCCAGGCCCTTTCGGACCGTGACCCAGGCCTTTTCGGGACCGTGACCCAGGCCGTTATGAAACCCTCGTCGTTACCATACTTTGATTATAGTTTATCAGTTATCATTCGTAACTTCACCACATCATCTGATTACTCTAAGTCACTGTTCTCAGATAACTGAATCTCAATATAGGTTCAATCATGGTCTTAGTAAAGAACGACACCCTCAGTAACACATAAACAGACCTATTTTTGATAAGAGCGGCGGTTATACGTTTAGAATTTCCAAAGTCCTTGAGAAAATGCAAAAGAAAACCGCACAATTCCCGCACAAATTTCGAAAAAATCGCCGCACATTTGCCGCATAATTGGTAAAAATTTACCGCAACTTACCGCACATTTTACCTTTATAGTCGGGTGCGGTACCGCATAATTTCGATTTTTTTACCGCACCTAATATGTGCCTCTGAATTTATTATTGTGACAATTTTTACATCAACTGCCCTTAACTTGAATCAGCTCTATCCGTGCATCGTCCTTATATACAGTTTTCCCGCCTTCCAAACCAAAATCAGATATAAATGATCTCGGCAATTCACCCAGAATTTTAAATTCCATATAATGTGACAGAATTTACATCATTTCCCAATAAGTGCATGTATTTGCTAACTTTTCAAAACAACATATTTTAGGGCTATGATTGGTAGAAGAACCATCAAATAATGAGTTGAAAGGGTTTTGAGGACACCTCACAGTAGAAAAGAGGTATCGTATTCTGAGTGTGACAAAGTTTACGAAATATTGCCTTAAAACCGTTCGATCCCTGCCCTTTAGCCAAATGTTGTATCATAATTGTAAATTGTTAGAATGACCTAATCTACTATATTTTAAACCAAAAAATGCTAATTGGGCAGCTATGGTTAACACAGTCACAAAAATGTGACATTTTTTACATTATAGTGCCTAAAAACAATAAATTGTATTTCTGAGCCGTGTATATGGAAGTATGGGTCACGTGGCTAATGTCCAGAACTTCTGAACACGCTATATTTTTTGGTTTACCAATATCCTTAAACTTCAACATGAACGTGTCCATTTACGATTTCGTATCATTTTGTGACGATGTTTACATCAACTGCCCTATACTTCAATCAACTGTATCCGTGTATCGTCCTCATATATAGAGTTTTCCCGCCTTCCAAACCAAAATCAGATATAAATGATTTCGGAAATTCACCCAGAATTTCAAATTCCATATAATGTGACAGAATTTACATCATTTCCCAATAGCCAAGTGCATGTATTTGTTAACTTTTCAAAACAACATATTTTATGGCTATGATTGGCAGAAGAACTATCAAATAATGAGTTGAAAGGGTTTTGAGGACACCTCACAGTAGAAAAGAGGTCTCGTATTCTGAGTGTGACAAAGTTTACGAAATGTTGCCTTAAAGCCGTTCGATCACTGCCCTTTAGGCCTACATTGTATCATAATTGTTAGATTGACCTAATCTACTATATTTTAGACCAAAAAATGCTAATTGGGCAGCTATGGTAAACAATGTCACAAAAATGTGACATTCTTTACATAATAGTGCCTAAAAGCAATACATTTTATTTTTGAGCAGTGCATATGGGAGTATGGGTCACGTGGCTAATGGTCAGAACTTATGAACACGCTAGATTAATATAATATGTTAAAATTAAACCACTATCGTCAAAAACGCTGTTTTAGAAATTTACCAATTTCCTCAAACTTCAATGAACGTGTCCATATATAAAGCTTTAATAAGACCTCATCTTGAGTATTGTGTCCAATTGTGGAATCCACCTGCGGCTCATGGAAGTTGGGGGACTGTTTTGGAGCTGGAGAGCGTCCAGATGCGGTTTACCGCATGCTAGGTACCGCCTAATGAGGCTCATTATTGCCCGCTACTGAATACTTGAATAGCTCCCGATAAGATCACTGATTGGGTGACGAAATCACTGATTAAGTGCAGAGATCACGTATCCGAAAGACCTTAAAAGCTTAAAAGGGTCATAACTCGGCTTAGTTATAAACAACCAACTTGAATTATCAAACCACATGTGTCTGGAAATTTTGGAGTTCTTAACTCAAAACGTTCTCACTTTATGGTGACAAAAGAGAAAAAGAGGGAGTGGTGTGCCACACCCTCTGTAATTGATGGAAATTTCAGGAAATTTAAGTTTGACCCATATCTATATTCTCTGAAATTTGTAAGCAATTCTGATGCCAATTACGTGAGTTATTAAAGGGTTGCGTGTGGGTAGTTACTTTTGGGCCACCCTGTAGTATATAATATGACCATTTTAGAGTGGTTCAGTGAATTTTTTGGTATAATGTATTATATTAATCATAATAATACTATGAAGGTAAACCAATACTTTTAGATCGTAAAGTTAATCATCTTATAAGACGTTTTAAGGTTTTTCTGAAATTTGTGGCGGTTTTCGCCCCCGTTTGGCAAAATTGCCCCCATTCCGGTTAAGAGTGGTTCTGTGTATGTTTTTGGTATGGTATGTTCACAGTAGTTGCTCCTAAGGTCAACCAACAATATAAGATCGCGAAATAAACCATCTTAAGACGTTTTATGGTTTTTCTGAAATTTGTGGCGGTTTTCGCCCCCGTTTGTCAAAATTACCCCCATCCGGTTTATAGAGTGGTTCTGTGTATGCTTTTGGTATGGTATGTTCACACTTCACAGTAGTTGCTCCTAAGGTCAACCAACAATATAAGATCGCGAAATAAACCATCTTAAGACGTTTTATGGTTTTTCTGAAATTTGTGGCGGTTTTCGCCCCCGTTTGTCAAAATTGTCCCCATCCGGTTAAGAGTGGTTATGTGTATGTTTTTGATATGGTATGTTCACAGTAGTTGCTCCTAAGGACAACCAACAATATAAGACCGTGAAATAAACCATCTCAAAACGTTTTATGGTTTTTCTGAAATTTGTGGCGGTTTTCGCCCCCGTTTGTCAAAATTACCCCCATCCGGTTTATAGAGTGGTTCTGTGTATGCTTTTGGTATGGTATGTTCACACTTCACAGTAGTTGCTCCTAAGGTCAACCAACAATATAAGATCGCGAAATAAACCATCTTAAGACGTTTTATGGTTTTTTTGAATTATCTGGTGGTTTTCACCCCCGTTTGGCAAAATTGCCCCCATCCGGTTTAGGTGGCTCTGTGTATGTTTTTAGGACTTTTCTGAAATTTGTAGGAGCAACTACTGTGAACATACCATATCAAAAAAATACACAGAACCACTCTAAACTGGATGGGGGCAATTTTGCCAAACGGGGGCGAAAACCGCCACAAATTTCAGAAAAACCATAAAACATCTTAAGATGGTTTAGTTCGCCACCTTATATTGTTGGTTGACCTTAGGAGCAACTACTGTGAACATACCATACCAAAAACATACACAGAACCACTCTAAACCGGATGGGGGCAATTTTGCCAAACGGGGGCGAAAACCGCCACAAATTTCAGAAAAACCCTAAAACGTCTTAAGATCGTTTATTTCACCACCTTATATTGTTGGTTGACCTTAGGAGCCACTACTGTGAACATACCATACCAAAAACATACACAGAACCAACTTTAACTCTCTAAACCGGATGGGGGCAATTTTGCCAAACGGGGGCGAAAACCGCCACAAATTTCAGAAAAACCCTTAAACGTCTTAAGATGGTTTATTTCACCACCTTATATTGTTGGTTGACCTTAGGAGCCACTACTGTGAACATACCATACCAAAAACATACACAGAACCACTCTAAACCGGATGGGGGCAATTTTTCCAAATGGGGGCGAAAACCGCCACAAATTTCAGAATAACCCTAAAACGTCTTAAGATCGTTTATTTCACCACCTTATATTGTTGGTTGACCTTAGGAGCAATTACTGTGAACACACCACACCAAAAACATACCCAGAACCACTCTAAACCGGATGGGGGCAATTTTTCCAAATGGGGGCGAAAACCGCCACAAATTTCAGAAAAACCCTAAAACGTCTTAAGATGGTTTATTTTACTACCTTATATTGTTGGTTGACCTTAGGAGCAACTACTGTGAACATACCATACCAAAAACATACACAGAACCACTCTAAACTTGATGGGGGCAATTTTGCCAAACGGGGGCAAAAACCGCCACAAATTTCAAAAAAACCATAAAACGTCTTAAGATGGTTTATTTCACCACCTTATATTGTTGGTTGACCTTAGGAGCAATTACTGTGAACATACCATACCAAAAAAATACACAGAAACACTCTAAACCGGAAAAATAGGATGGGGGCAAAACCCGCCACAAATGGGGGCAAGAATATGGGGGCCGCCACAAATGCGCCACAAATTTTGAGAAAACATCGCCTCTATCATCATCTGACCTGAACAGTGAACTGTTGCAACTTGCAGTGCAAGGGAGCAGCATCCACACGTATTATAAATAAAGTAATGCTTAATCGTTCTCTTTCTGTTTAAATTCTTTATTGGTAAAATTGAATTTATCAACTGTAAGAACAATTAACTACGCATGATTATTGAGATGGAAACATCGATAAAAATGAAGAATTCTGTAAACTATGCACCGTCCACCGTTGGCAATCATTTGGTTCATTTACAGAAAAGAATCTTCTTTCTCTAGTGTTAAAATGTTAAGCTACACCCAGCAATCAATGCATCATATAGAAATGAACTAATAAGAGTTTTAAATTCAGTATCCGATATATAACCATAATCCGATTGAATCTTAAAGTCACCTAAATTACTTACGTAAACATAAACTGCTCAACTAAATTCCTTTAAATATCTTACTTAGACACCACTTTTATTCGAAATATTGATAATATTAAATACACTGAAGCAACGGCTATTTTACAGTAAGTTTAACAGACTGGTCACGTTCATGTAAGATAACACGAGTGACAGCCAAACGATGATAATACTAGTTTACAATTAGAAGTTAATCATCTAAGCTCCAGGTAGCAGCTCAACGATTTTACAAATATAAAAGTTTGATGAGGGTTACTGGTGACGTCAGATTATAATAGCGTCACCGTCACAGTAGTAACTTGTGACGTCATAACGCGACAGGAAATATTACAAGAAGTAGTCTGGTTGAGGTTTCTTACACGGCACTCCGCGACTTTCCTGTGAATATTGATCTGTTTATATCAATACCATGTACACAGAAATATGTATGTACTAAACAGAAATATGCACAATACAAATGTGTATATGACAGATATTGTACATGAGGCTGTGTAGTGTCAACAAGTTAAGAATAGTGGACCACCTACAAAGCCCAGCTTGCTAACTTCCAATCAAGTTAACCTGTGCTCTGCTACGATCATGAGGTAGCAATGAAATAAAGATGCGGTAAAGTCATGCTTCTAACAAATAACCCACAAATAATCGACTATTTGAAATCTCATAGCTCATATGATAAAACACCATGATAAGAGCAATAGCTCAAAAATGTTAAAAAATCTAAATCTTTTGACTTACGGTTGGCGCCGCTTCAAATATAGTGAACTCCTTCTGAAGATTCTCATCCAACTCTAGGATTGCTGCCACGTTCCCGCACCTGCAGTGTGTTACTGTTAGGTGTTGATATTTCCAGTCAGTCATGTGGATACGAGATAAACAGTAAAGACATGAAATCACAACATGACAGCATCACAATTACTTAAAATCAGTGATAAGATACTACGTCATACTATATCAAATGTAGAAGTATGAGTTCTGATATAATATCAGTGTGATTGCCAGCAACCACGACCTTTACAATAGTCTAAATATGCAAGCCTCTTGATTTATAATCAGCGTGTACTGGTGTGATTTAAGCAGGTGAACTGCGGAGTGTTAAAATGATGCGTGGCAAGCAGAGTCTGGTAAAGAGGTTAAACAGAGAGACACGCTGGAGCAGCAGGGATATTGTAGGCAGACGCGATCTTAATCTACATTAATCTTGGTCCGTAGTGCAAGATTACAGAACCAGGAGCCGAAGATCAGTCGCAGAGAACATAAGCCATAGATAAAGCTATTGTGTAAAATGTTTACTAGTATTTCTAAACCTTCTGCGGTTTTTGCTGTTTACGAAATCTCTTATTTAAACTATTCATTTACCTCTAATCAATTCACTATTACCCCCACATGAGACCATGTGTCACTTTCAAACAAGTTAAAAGCTTTGTAGTACATTTCTCGACAGATCTAACACTAAACAACCCACAAGATTTTGTGATTTGGAAAGTGTCCAAAACAATAGAAAACAACAGAAAACAACAATATACGCTACCTGTAGCAGTAATTAGGAGCTGACCACACTGTAAGGACCATGTTGTTGAAGTGCCACTTGAAGCCCTCCATGACCAACTGATGAGCCCGACAGATCATATCCACATTGTTCGTCTCGTTGAACTGCTGGACCACGTCCACTCCAAACAGGTAGCCTGCACCACGCGGGGATAGACCCCAACCCTCTATATCTGTGTGGTGGGGAGTTTTATGTTATAATATAGATTTGTTATTATATTTTGTATATTATTTAGTAGTACATAGTATAGCGACTGCAAGTTTCTCATGAAATCAATGCGTCATTATCAAGACTATGAGTCAAAACAAATCATTTCGTTCAAGTCATAACTTTTAGTTTGTACAGTGAGTGGTATTGGTAGTGTGGTGAGATAGATTACATCGCAACGCCGCAAAAAACATGGCATGTAAAACACTCCATTTTCAACGATAAGAACGAGCGGATTAAACCATAAGTCAAGCACGTTAGACCATCCATTCAAAGAATTTACCCACTTATTTTTGACCACACCACGCTCTGGAAGAAATAAAGGAAATTCTCATTATTGAGATAGAGCATGATAGTTTGGGGTTTAGACCACAATAATGGTGGGAGTGGTGACCTAGTATGTAGCAAAACAAGCAGGCACGCTAAAACACAGTACGTACCCTCAGGATCCGACCAGAGGAGATCACACATGGGACCATCGTGGGGCACTTCCTGCTTCCTGTTGATAACCCTGATCTGATCAATAGTCTGAACAGAGGGAGACAGTCCACCGTGAACACAGAATATCTTGTTGTCAATCATTGCCGAGAGGGACAGGTAGTCGAATACCTGAGTGGGAGCTCGTCATTAAACGTTCAGTAAATACAGTTATAACTGTGGAGAGTTTCTTTTTGTGCCACTTAGTAAGTAGATAGAATGCGGAATCTTGAGATACGTGCTTCATAAAAGTTGAGGATTTTTAAATTTCCCTCTGCACATTGTTGCTGCCCTACTTTGTGACATTGTTCAGGGTGAGCTAGAATAATCTACGGTTAATAATAATAATAATAGGATTATGGCCACATGGCCATCTCGACAAAACTTGAAACCCAACTGCACTCTACGCTATTGCAGTTCGCACAATATTATCAAAAAGAAAATTGTTCCTATCCGGAACATTTAATGATTAATTATTTTTAGGACGTTAACATGTAGTTCTGAATTTAACAATCAAGAAACATTGATTCCTCGGTATTTAGCAATCAATGGGTTATTAGACATGAAATGTGCATATGAATCATGCTCACATGTATTTATTTTTGACATCAAGGTTTCGCTGAGATCCCAGAAGTGACCCTTTGACGATGCTCCACTCGCTATCAGTTCATTTTTATAACATTGAAGTCGAGCTTTGAATGCGTCTACTGAACTGGCTTCTTTAACCGAACTTGGTACTTTGTTCCAGTAATTGGCAACACGGTTACTGAGGACCTGATTTCCTCTTTTATCTTTTAGGATCTTGGTACCGCTACGTGATATCCTGAAAAGATCTTGTCCATAGTCCACTTTACCCGTCGTTATTTTAAAGGTTTCAATAAGATCACCCCTCATACGGCGCTCCAGTAGTGTTGTTAACTGGAGGATTCTCAGTCTCTCATCGTATGGTAGGATACCAATCCCGTCGATTATTCGTGTAAATTCTCTCTGAACGTCTTCTATCTTTTTAATAGTCCTCCAGTTTCCGTGCTCTGCTGGTAGATTCCACACTTGCACAGCGTATTCGATGTGAGGTCGAACTAGAGTTCTGTAGACATTTAGCATAACAAATTTGTTACGGCAGATCAAACTTCGTTTGATCCAGCCTATAACAGACTTTGCTTTTTTCACGGACTTATCTATATGATCACTCCAGTCCAGGTTTCTGGTAGTTAGAACTCCAAGATCCTTTTCTGCCTTCACTTGGGGGAGGCGTTCCCCATTCATGAAGTACTCGTGCATTGGATTGTTACGCCCAATATGTAGTACCTTACACTTGCCATCCTTCACATTGAATCTTAGGAGCCATTCCTTCTCCCACGCATTGAGTTTCAGTATATCATCTTGTGCAACACTGTGCTTAGCTGTGCTCGTTACTAGCTTAAGATCGTCCGCAAAGAGTGATACGAAGCTCTCAATTCCATCAGGGAGATCATTTATGAAGAGCAGGAAGAGCAGGGGGCCCAGCACCTAATGCTTTTATCTACAGTCTAGATATAAGTATTATATATGTAGTATTATATAGACTGGGCATTATATAGACTGTACAAGAGTAGACATCATCCATATTCTATCAACACAAAAAGATAAGCTAAATCTGGGCCGCCCAGTATAAGCCCATTGCTCTGTGTTAATTACAAAGAACTCCAGAGTTGGAAACGGTTTAGCAGTAGTGCTTGTCCACCGTTATTCACACAAAGTAACAGTCATTAATACTCGAATATCAACGATAAGCACATAATAAGTATATGTCAATTTTCCTGATTAAGGTCTCCTAAAATGTAAAGATCCCATAAAGCTGTACAAGAAAATATGGTAACATGGCTTACCTCGGTACAGTAGTACCAGACGTTGATACTGCCGTATTTTCTGAGACACTCGTCATAGAACCCGTAAACCTGTGTGATCTGCCTACTCTCGTGGTTACCTCTGATCAGTGTGATACGGTCTGGGTATCGTACCTGGGTCACGTGTTCTGTGTTAATATCTTTTACTCTATTAGATCATGATAAAAAGGGACAGAGACATCATATTCAGTTGAGGGGATTTGTAGAAAATTACGCTGCAACTTCGAGAGAAAGAAAGTTATACTTCAAGTTGCGGTGAATTTTGATAAAATATGCGGTGATGATGAATGTACTGGATGAGACCCTTGTTGTAGTGGTCAACATTCGACAAAAGCTTTACACCATTCTTATTCGAGCCAAACTCTTGACCTCAAAAGGAAACTCCCGAGCCAACTGTTATAAACAATCAGTCAAAGCAGTGGGAGTTTTGAAAAAGTTGAATTGAACATTTTAACAGTTAAACGGAAGTAAATGAGTAAAGGGTTGGACGTCTTAACGGGGACCACATGTTTAGTATCAGTGATTAGTAAGCTATACTCATAAGGAATGGCCATCTACCCAGTTTCAAAAACACGCGGCTTAGAGCCCACATTGTAACAGCAAATCAACAGACTCAAAAGAACAGATGTAGTTTAAATTGGCATTATATGATATATGGGTATAAGAGTACTGGGTTTTTGTTATGAAATTAATCTCTTTAGCCGCCCATGTTAATTGTGATTTTAAATGTTAAATGATTTAAATTGTATGAACTTAACATCCAAATTTACAGTTTTAAACATATTTACTGAATTCGGTTAAGTTTTAATAATTAAGGGTAAGCGGGAGTGTGGCTGCCAGCCAAGGTAATATGACACTGGTAAGTAGACTCCTATAATTATTGTAGCATAACACGTACGGGCTAGGGTATATATTTAGAGTGAGAACGCGAGAATACTTAATTAGGTAAGTAGATTCTTACAAACTCTGTAAGTAATTAAAATGTATAGATATTCCATTAGAAAATGTATAAAAGTTTAAACAGCCGGTTTCACAATAATTTCTCTATTGTCAAGATAATCCAGCACTGATAACGGTTTCAGTCTTTGAACGAACCTTGAGAGCTAGGAGTAGGAGGAAGGTCTCGACGCTGTAAAAACCACGGTCCACGAAGTCGCCCATGAAGAGGTAGTTGGTGCTGGGCACATCGCCTCCCACCTGGGAGTAGAGGTCAGGTTACATACTGGTGACTACTGACTGTGTGTGTAACAGTACGTCATGCTTATGTGCAAATGACATACTACATACACAACCCATGGTAATAGGGTTACAACTACATAATTACTACATACTGAGTCATACTCACCATCTAAGGGAGATCTTATAATAGAAGTAGGGATTATTTGACATTGTACGTTTTCAATTATAAACATCTCCTGATCTAATGACCAGAGTATTAATTAATGTAACTATTACATCATTTATGAAATTACTAGTCAGGCGAGACATTTATTTTGGGTATTACAGAAAAACGAGAGTTAAAATTGCCTTTTACTAGTTTTATTTAGTCTCAGTAAGAGATCTGTCTGTCGTGTAAGTTGTTAATTTCATGATTTATGGCTAGATTATTAATAACAAAACTACTAAACCCGGTATGTAGTATAGTATTAATCTATAATAATAAGTAATAAATAAACCTATCAAGTCCGTATGAACTATGATAAGTATATTTCAAATTTAATGTTGGCAACAACACACTATGTGTGTTATGTCTAGACAAGATTAACATTGCAATCTACCAGCAGTCAACTGTACTGTGACAGTGTACTTCATCTGTAATATACTGATTTGTGATGTAGCTGATTAGTGATTACTTACTTGGAAGAGTTCCTTGAGATCGTAAAACTGGCCATGTATATCACCGCACACCTGAAAATAGAATTAGTAACGTTGTCTTTGGTTATTTTATACCTAACTTACATGGCAGGGATCAAAACATGAAAATGCGGAATAAGAAACTCAAAACTTACTAATTGCGGCGGAATCTAACTGTACGATCTTAATACGATTGTAATTGAATGCTTATTTTAGCATCTAATCAATGACAGCATTTTAAAGTTCTGTCTTGAGTCATTCTTACCGTGACAGGGGAGTCAACTCGCTGGATGTTAGATTCTTCAGAGAGAATCTCACGTGCTTTAGCGCATAGCGCTTTCACTTCAGACTCCTTGATAATCTCACACTGCTTCAGCTGCTCGATCTGCCTGGAAATTTATACATTTCATATAACCAGCTATCAATATTAAACTGAAAACTCATTCGTATTTGTAGGAAATTAATTATAAAATTGAGATATATGTCAATCTAATTTTATAATTTAAAATATTGCACATTGAACAATTGGTGAGGCTTATTATATGGAATGCAATTGTTGATAAAAGAATGTTTAGATCAACCAACCTGTCTAAATCACTGTATTCATGGCTCATGTTTTATCCGGAGAGGTGGACCTCCTAGTAGTGATTGTAATCAGGTCATCTTTAATAAATACTAAATGTCAAATATTTTGGAAGACAAATTATTGATATATTTAGATTGCAGCAGTCTTAGAAATTGGGAGAAACTAAATTGAATGAGGACACGGAGTAGTTGTAACTTAATACATTTATAATATTATTGTAAACTTAAGATGTTCATCATCATTGCATTGATAGCTAATAAATTATACCGATTCGATTGAAAAAAACATAATTCTCGTGAAAAAAAATCTAGAAAAATCAAACAAAATTGATGAGTTTCTTCAAGATCACATTTATATCAGAAGTGACTACTTACCAATTATCACCAGTAGTGTTAAGTGGACATTAATAAAAAATCGTATACAAACTAACAAAGTTGGTCTTTCTTTAAAAAAATGAAATAAATCAAAATTTTACAGTCAAATAGCAAAAGAAAGGCCTAGTAGACAATGGATAAAATATATAACATGCGATTCAAAATAGTTCACATTCCCACAAAATAGTTCACATTTCTACAAGATACTTCTTGTGGAAATGCAGAGCTCTCCCATAGCTAACTTCCATCGCAGTCTCTCTGTCCCTGCCTACAGTTTTAAAGTCGTATTTGCTCACCTTGTTATTTTCGTCCCTTTTCGCTATGGTTACAGTAGCAATGAACTTGTAGTGATCTCCAGGATACGATTCGGTCATTCTTCTCAAACCAGGATACAATTCATTTATCACAGCTTTGGGATTCTTTGGTATATTCTCACTGAAAGCAATGTAGAAAGGTTTGAACCAAGGCCAAATAACCTCCCATACCCTCAATATATCCTCACCACAGTCCAGATATATTGCCCCTATCACAGACTCAGTCAGGTCACCGAGTAGTTTAGGAGCTTGCACCACCTTGCTTTCTAAGTTTAGAACTGGTATCCTATCAGGAGTGTCACTTTCAACTGAGTCCACAAACACTCGTTCCAAAGAGAGGTCATTACACCATTCATTCAACTGGTCATTCTCAAAGTTCATGAAGAAGCGAGCTAGGACATTGTAAAGTTCAACACTGTCGTAAAGTAAAGATCTGTGTAGCTCAAGTTTAGTGCATACCTTGGAGAGGGTAGTGTTACACACAAGAGAAGAGAGTAAATCAGTCATCTGACCCTGATCGTAATGTGGTTTTTGCTCGTATATATGGAATACCATCAACGCATCAAGCACCGCATCGCCAAGGAATTCAAGTCTTTGATAACATGTATCTATATCATTAAATGATGCATGGGTCAGTGCCTCCAACAGGTAAAATGGTTCTTTAAACTTGTAACCGATAGCTTTCTCTACATTTCTAAGGTTCTCACAACGAGATCGAGCTAACCTAACAGCAACTGGTGGTAAAGAGCTAATCTGAGAAGGAGGGGTTGGTTCATAGAGGTGGTCATTTAAAATCTCTGGATCAGCTCCGTTTTTAGCTTGGAATGTGGAAATTCTAATCCTGTCGAGGAGGTCAACACCCTTTCTGTATCCGTATTTTGCTACACATAGCCCCAGCAATGCTTCCATACTATCTGCAACATCTTTAGTTTCCAACCTTTGAAGATGTCCATCTGGGATAAGTTCACATAACTGAACTACAGCATCGTTATAACTGTTATCATCTGATTGATTCCCTAAGAACTCCTTCACCTCCACGCACATTCGAGCCTTCTTAAGACGACTTACTTCCCGCAGAACCTCTGCAGACAACTCTGTATCGGGAAGAAGATCAAGAGAATTGAGGGTCTCTTCTGAAGCTGATGAGACTACTTCTTCTGCCTCTTTCAGTTTATCTATTGTGTATGAAGACAGAAAACACGGGGGAATCCAGTGCTCCTTAGGATCTATTTTCTTGTTGAGAATGTAACGAGGCAGCTTTATCTCTTTACAAGATCTCACAGCTAAATTTTGATTTGAGATCATTTCAGACCGATACCTGCTGAGCCATCCTTCATGCTTATCAGGCATGGTCCGGTAGTAGAATAAAGTTGAGACAAACTTGAGGAACCTATCTCCTAAGAACTCCAGTCTTTCCAAGTTATAATCCTCTCCACATGACTTATGTGTTATGGGATGTAGTGTCTCCAGCCAATCGATGTCCCCTTTGTATTCGAGATCACGTCTCAACTTCGCCATAAGATTACTAGTCTCTTCACTAAAATAATCTTTACAGTGTGAAGCAAGTAAACTGATATTGTGATTATAGTTTCCATACACGGTGTCAGTTAGTTCTTTACTAAGGCAAAATGTTTCCATTCTCCATAAAATTGAAGGTAAACAAGTAGCCTGGCTCCACAAGGATGATGGAATGGGGTGAACCTTACATATCTCTCCAATTAACTGCATTGGAGGCCGGTTTGACTTTTTACTAGCATGGGGTGTCAAAAAAGCATAGTGTCTAGTAATATTCCTGCACTCCAATAGTTGCTTTGAAGGGTTTTGAAGTTTAATTCCATGTTTTTCAAGGTGGTATTGTTCATATGTTTGGGTTTCCAGACCGTCAGCACTTGTATTAGCACGACCCCTCATCTTATCTGCAGCAGTTAATTCTGATTTCTGGATCACTGCATACAGATATCCGGATATATCTTTGTTATTAGGATGCTCAGAATGGTTATAAGCAGGGAAGATCACAGAATCCAAACACTTATTTAAATCAGATGGCATGTTACCGAATATCCAGTGATTATGCTCGAAATCCCACTGTTTCTGAAGTTGAGTTATAAATCTGGAGTCGATGTCCAAGAAACAGGATTTATTATTAGATGAAGAAAATTGCAACCCCTTTGCCTTCGATCTCCAGCACAACGGAAGTATAAAGTAACTCTTGAAAATGGCGTCAGAGCATTGTCTGACATGGTTCATATCAAGAGCATGTGTAAACACAGCCTCTTGAAACCAATAGTATGTTTGCAGGAGATGGATGGGTACATCGATCTTTCTTTCAAATTGAATACAGACTGTTACAGAACCAAATCGGGGGTGAACGGTAAATAGCGGAAAATTAGGCAGCTCTGCCTTGCACAAAATACCATAACACGCCACTCGGTGATCTTTTCCTTTGACGAAATGCTCAGCAAAATCACTATCATGTGGTGTCAGCTCCAGTCGGATTGAGTACAGATAAAATAATCCAGATTCTTCCTTCAGATCTTTTCTCCAAAGAACAGTTGGTATTTTTAGTTTTTGATCCAGGGTCATTGAGCGACCATCCTCTGATGCAATCATCAAAGGGTTGGCCTCTTTGTGCCTAAACTGGGGCAACAAAGCATCTGTTAGTTCATTGGCTGAATACAAAGCTTCAAGGGTTTTCATGGCAGCTGACATTTTAGCAAGCTTTTTGTTGGCCAAACAGTCTCCTTCCACTGATAACTTAACGGGACACAATTTTGGAAGGGTAATTGTAGTTTTGAAACCACTATTCTCCTCAGTTGTAAAATCAGATGGCATTACATCAGTATACTCATCTTTTGGAAGTTGACTGCAATAAAAGTTAAGCCGCTGTATAGCTGAAGTTGCTGTTATTTTTGCTCCAGTTCCCTCAACCTCCAATGGTGGAATCAAAGTGTTATAGTCTAGTTCATCATCATCCTCTTCAGCAACTTCTCTTGGAGATAAGTCAGACGCATATTCTCTTAGAAGCATTTCAATATCATGAAAACTTTTTAGAAGCCCTTCCTTTTCATCAATTTCTGACTTCTTTAAGAAAAACGTAAATTTGGCAGGCCTTTGGCGGGCTCTTCCTCTAGATTGAACATATGCACGATATGTTTGAGGAAAGTCATATCTGATGACAACATTACAGGCTGGTATATCTAAACCTTCTTCAACTACACTTGTTGCTAACAGTATGTTACTTTTACCCTCTCTAAAATCAATAAGAGCTTGCTCTTGCTGCTTCTTTATTGATATTAACTCATCTATTTCAAAGGAAGACATCTTCAAGTCATCCTCTTCTTTTCCACCACTTCCTGTAGAACCACCAAGAACATAAGAGGCTTTCAGGTTAGCACAACCCCTGACTTCTCTCCGAAGCTTACACAAGTATTTGTACATTGCATCCACAACTCTACGCCTCTCTATGAATATAATGATTCTTGGAGGATCTGCATTTTCACCAGTGTCATATTGAAGCTTTAAAACATATTTTAAAAGCTCATAAAATTTTACTGACATTCGCACCTCTTGAGAATTATCAACTACACTTTGAGTAGTTGTTTTTAGATATTCAAGTTGCTTCAAAATGGTTTGACCCACTTTATAAGTCACACATTCAATAATAGTGCCATCATCTTCCTTTGAAGGTGCAATATTAGGACTTGCAAGATAGTTACCAATTTCTGCGATAAAGCCTCTGTCATCCTCCAATATAGCTCTGAGAGCATCAATGCCTACTTCAGTTATTATAACAGGAATAGCTGTTACAATTTTCTTGATATGGTTATAAGTCGATTGTTCAACTTCAGGAAGAGCCTTCACAGTATACCTGCTCATAGTATCCAACAAGTTTTCTGTGATGACCAATAACTCATTTGCATAATTTCCCTGGTCAAAAGAATAAATCACTGGATCAGGGAGTTTTACATCTTTGATTTGATTAACAAATTCTAATGGGGTCACAAGTCGTGATTGAAGCATTTTTTGGAGTTTCTCAATAGAAAGTCGTAATTCAGCCTTTCCACTAATTTTCTTTTTGTCTATCACTGATGCTGTTAGTCCCAGGACACGTCCATCTGGTTTTCTCGGATTCCAATAATCTCTCATGACAACAGCCATAGGATGATTTTCTTTGGCATGATGGCACTCATCTAAAACAAGAACATTGACCTGACTGGTCTTCAGAATTCCAGTTGAAAGCAAATTTTTGAAAATGTCTGTTGTCATGACTACAATCTGGTGCTGTTTGAATTCATAATACCAAGTTTTCTCATTCCATGTGTCAATTGTTTTGCTATGAGACCCACTGTACTCTCCAACTGAAACACCTGTATGTCGTTCTAATACTCTCTTTTGCTGAGACACTAGAGTGACTTGATTGACAAGGAAAAAGGTCCTTTTCCAATTTCTATCACCACAACTACACTTACGATCACCGCAACTTTTGTTCTCTTTGCAGGGCCCTTTCCAAGGATCTGTCATGACTTGGTGAATGTAATGTTTGATTAATAGTACAGCAACAAATGTTTTTCCAGAACCTGTTGGCATCATGACAATAGTGTTCTCTTTTTTAGCCCGATTGAGCATCTCAATCTGGTAATCACGGGGAATGAAATCAGGCTGCACATCATTTACCTTTTCATCTTTCTTGTCGCTCCATGGGAGAATGCAGCCATGATCTAGTTTTTGCAACATTCCTGAAATTTTATAATTCCATTACATATCTTATTTGCTGAAAAACATAGATAAAAAATACTGGGAAAATATATCATTAGGGAAACAACATTATGGAATTCATGAATTGTACATAGAGATGTTCTTCTATGTCAACGATTATGTTGATCATATAGGAGATACTCTAAAAGACCTTCATTGGCTACCTATCAGTTACAGAATTCAGTACACGTTATTACTCCTTGTGTCTTAACAAAACAAAATTGCATGTCATTGGACTCTTTTAAAGTGTATCTGAAAACGTTTCTTTTCAAACTTGCTCATAATATTGAATCTTGAATCTAAGTTTTTTAGTCTACTGCCTCTATCATTCTTAGCTTTTCCCTAAATTTTTCTACTGGAATGTGCATACACATTAACATGTTATTTAGTGTATCAGGTTCTAAAGGGTGAGGTAAAAATATCCAGCAACAAACAACTGAATCATCCCAAAAACAAATCTATTCAAAAAAAAATCATATCATAAAGTGATCACAGGAAGATTTATTGATACATACCACACTACGATTGACAATAAACCACCAGAAAACACTTCAAAAGTATCAAATAGGAATCATAGGAAGGTTTATTGATATATTATTACACACTGCACTAACAAAGAAAGATACACCCACCAACAAATCATCAGAACAAAACAATATAAAAGTTTAAATTATCATTATTTATTATTATGTTAACAAACTCATCAGTATGGAACAACAAGTGTTAGCTTAAAATCAAATCAAATCAAGAACGATTACATAAATAAAACAAAAGTTAATAAAATAAAAAATTAAAAAATAAATAAACATTATCACCATTTAAAAAAACAATCTCCATAATTCCTACATTATCAGACTTCAGAGCAGTCGACATTTCGCTGTCTTTCACTGCTAGAGAAAATGTAAGGGACAGTTTTCATGTGCGGAAATGATCATCATTGGTTTTGAGAATATTCTAAAGAAAATTTGAATTGATAAGAAAAAATGAATTGAACTTTCTCTAAAATTTGTTTCTCTAAAACTTCAATAGCAACAAAAAAAATCCATCACAAGCAAGAGCCACTTTGTTCTACTTACTGTGTCTCAGCTACTGTTTTTCCTTTGTTTCACTAATATGATAGTTGGATAATATCCGGTTGAAAGTGATAAGGACAAATGAAAAAGGAAGTTAGGAATGTAGGCAAATTTTCGGCGTCAACACCATAACATATTCAGGCTTAAATTATTTGTTATATAGTAGTGTTTAAAGTATCAATACTTATAACAAATAAGTTAAGCCTGAAAATGGTGTTGACGCAGAAAATTTACCTACATTCATAACTTCCTGTTTCATTTGTCTTTGTCTCTTTGAACCGGATATTATTGATTATCCAACTATCAGTGTTTCAATCATGAGACTAATAATTAACAGCAAACTACTCCAACGTTCGATCAATATGTTTTACTTTTATATTATAGTAGTTTGATTTTAAATTAATCTCTCATGTTAGTACATAAGCTACACTAGGTGTAGAGAATAAAATTTCTAAAACAATTTACCTAAAGCCACGAATGCAAATATTTTGGAGATCCAATAAAAATAAATCGGTTGCGATGAGTCTTGTACATTGTAGGACGATTCACTACTGGGCCTCCGATCTTGTCCATTGTTAACATATTAATCCGGCACGTGCTACTTCGCTCCACGATCGTAGCACTTGCATCGGGCTAATATTTTGAGGAGAAGTAAGCGGCACGCACTACTTCGAAGAAATTTCTAGACAAATATCATCCCTCAATACTGTGCCACGCTGCGCATCAAATAATGCTTTTCGTTGTAGCGCGATGCACTACTGAGCCGCGCGCGCATCCAATAATGCTTCTCGCAACCACGTATGCAGATCGGCGAGATGCGAAGGATTGACATCGTGAATCAATGCTTTTCGTAATTCAACCACTTCGTTAGATTGGCCCTAGATCATAGATGCACTTGCTCTATTTAGATCCCTTGCGCTTGCAGTGGCGCACGCCCGCCTCACTTGTGAAACAAGCGCGCCCGCAGCGGCGCGAAAGCACATGGTTAGGTGAATAGATGCACCATTTGCAAATTGAGCTGAGCAATTTTTAGCAGCGAAAGATTGACATCATTGTAATCAACAATGAGTCAAGCTATTAATGAGCAAATTAGAAATCGTCTTAGAAACAATTTCGCATTGCACTTTTTTTGCGATTATACATTTTAACTTTGGCGCGCACGCGCATACAAATTGTTTCCAGAGTCGTTATCAGCTTAGGAAAACATTGTCATACGTTGTATGACCCGCCGCGCACGAAGTGCGCGGCTCCCCCAGCCCCCTGTATCGTCGAAGACGATACTATAGTGAAGCGACAGTGGGGGTCACCACGTGATACAAGGAAAACAAGACGCTAAGTACTATTATTGTTGTAGCGTAATGTACTACCAACTACTGAGCTGCGCATCCATTAATGATTTTTGCAACATTCGTTTACCTGGGGACCCAGGCTATTATGTTCATAAAGATTTGGCGAAGTGACAGGTTGAGCGCCGCCCAGTAAAACATTCGTTAGATCGGTGAGATGCACTACTGAGCTGCGCCACGCTGAGCTGCGAAGGATTGACATCGTCAATTAAAACTATATCATTAATATTAAGTGCAGGTTGTAGGTTTATAACCTACCAAACCAAGACGCGCATCGAATTGGACTTGTCGACGGTTTTGATATTTGAAATCAATGAAACAATAAGTTTTCAATGAAACAATAAGTTTTATTTTACATTCCTTTAATCATAAATAAATAAAAGATTAAACCACGAATTAGTTAACTAGAAGTAAACTTGAGGAAATATTCTTTAGTGGTTGTAATTTGTATATTTAAAAAAAAACTTTAAATCTTAAAAACTTTTTTGTTAGTATTTTTATTATGGAAAGTGGTTGTAGCGCAATGCATTACTGGGCCGCGCGCGCGTCCAATAATGATTCTCGCAACCACATGCAGATCGGCGAGATGCAAAGGATTGACATTGTGAATCAAGCATTACCTGGGGACCTCAGGCTATTATGTTCATAAACAACCGCCGAATAGAGATTCGGTTGGAGGACTTCGCCGCTTCGACGTGTTAGATGACCTTTAGTTGACCAATAAAACCCGTATTTGTCGTATGTACAAAACCTGTAAAACAAAATACTTTATTACATAATAGAATAACTTTACCACCAAATTAAACCAATTCCAAATAAATACCTAATAACTAAACATTATAAATACTTACCGATTGGACGGTAGTGTGCTGCCAATGTTCCACTCCTCCCCAGTCCAATCGGTTATCCTTCTTTGCTTGTCATTGCTAGAAAAGGTAAACACGGTTAGAAGTATTCTGTCACGAAAGAGAGAGAAAGGTGTGAACAGTAATAACATTCCCCGGTTTTCCTTTTCCAGCAATGCTAGCCCCAATTTCTCTCAAGATTGCACTATTAAATTACACAAAAATACGCTCGAAGATCCCGTCTGAGCTACAGCTGTCCTCAGATTATCACCCGCAGTGACCTATCTGGACGAATCCATTAAATAATTAAAATACAGTCAACAACCCCGTTTGAGTTATAGCTGTCTTCAGATTATCACCCGCAGTGACCTATCTGGACGAATCCATTAGATAATTAAATACAGTCAACAACCCCGTTTGGGTTATAGCTGTCTTCAGATTATCACCCGCAGTGACCTATCTGGACGAATCCATTAAATAATTAAAATACAGTCAACAACCCCGTTTGAGTTATAGCTGTCTTCAGATTATCACCCGCAGTGACCTATCTGGACGAATCCATTAAATAATTAAATACAGTCAACAACCCCGTTTGGGTTATAGCTGTCTTCAGATTATCACCCGCAGTGACCTATCCGGACGAATCCATCAAATAATTAAATACGCTCAACAACCCTGTTGGAGCTACAGCTGTCTTCAGATTATCACCCGCAGTGACCTATCTGGACGAATCTATCAAACAATAAACTTGTACCCACAAATACGCTCAACAACCCTGTTGGAGCTACAGCTGTCTTCAGATTATCACCCGCAGTGACCTATCTGGACAAATCTACTAAACAATAAACTTGTACCCACAAATACGCTCAACAAACCCCGTTGGGCGTTGGAGCTGCAGCTGTCTTTAGATTATCACCCGCAGTGACCTATCAAGACGAAACTGCCGAATATTAAAATCGTCCCTGTATTTTCGCTCAACAACCCCGTTGGAGCAGATGTCTTCAGATTATCACCTTAAGTGACCTATCGAGACGAAACTGTTCAGAACTTATTACAGAGAAAAACATAACAAGTCATATTAAAATTTCTTCAAAACCCCGCTAAAATATAAATGCCACGCGCGCGCGCATTTTCAAATGCTAACACTATAAGTACTTTCTACACCTACGAGCTCAAAATTACTAGCAACACAGAAATTCCTTTGTTCTAAGAAAAACTCACCGAGAGGTTACAATATCTAGCTCAAAAACTAAAAGCGTCCCCATAAAACGAGTAAATAATTGAGATAAATACTAAAAGAACAACTCGGCAAAGTAGATTAGCTTCCTAAATTAGCTACAAACATATTATATACGCAAATATATTATTATGTTTACCTGGGACCACATTCTTTTGCAAATTAAAATGATATATACAAACTTAAAATAAAAAACTGACGAGACGAAATAATATATACTCCTGACATTGCTCAGCAATTAACTCGTAAAAAACGACTAAAACACGATTCTACGAATCATGGAACTGAATTTACATACTGAATATTACTCTTATTTCTTATAAACAGACATAATTGATCTTATAAAAAATATTCGACTCATTTCTATATTTATTATCATAGAATCCGACAATAAAATGCGATAAAAACTTATTGCCTTAAATAAAGACTGAGTACTGTCCTTCTTATACAGTTTGTCCAGTTCGGCAATGAGTTTAGCAACTCCATCTTCTGCTCCTAGCACCTTTAACGTCATGTTTATAGAAACCTCCTGTGGTCTACCTTTCATGTTCATAATCAGCTTACTAGCTTGCTGTTTCGTTGATGCTGCGGTGCCAAGCTGCCATATTAACACTTTCTTCTTCCATGTGCTGTTATCAGCGCTGTCGTCTAAAACTGGTATCTCACGAAGACTCATAGTTATAGTTCGACTAAAAAACTCTAAAACTGTCTCTCAAATTAGTCTCTAAATTAGTCTCTAAATTGTAGTCTAAATAACACACAAACAAAGTGCCACTGTCAGGTCGTTGCGTAGAACGTTTTCCGACTTCCTGCTATCACTGTTAGATGACCTTTAGTTGACCAATAAAACCCGTATTTGTCGTATGTACAAAACCTGTAAAACAAAATACTTTATTACATAATAGAATAACTTTACCACCAAATTAAACCAATTCCAAATAAATACCTAATAACTAAACATTATAAATACTTACCGATTGGACGGTAGTGTGCTGCCAACTCCTCCCCAGTCCAATCGGTTATCCTTCTTTGCTTGTCATTGCTAGAAAAGGTAAACACGGTTAGAAGTATTCTGTCACGAAAGAGAGAGAAAGGTGTGAACAGTAATAACACGACGCGCTGTGCAAACTAGCATTCTTGCAGAGCAGCGATCTCGATGTAATGGATTGACATCGTCAATCAAAGATTTGGCGGAATGACAGGCTGAGAGCGGCCCAGTAAAGTAGGCAATGCTGAGTGGCAGGAATGACGGACCAAAACGCTTGGGGCTAACAATGGCCCATTTACAAACCACTTCAGACATGGCAATGATGTCATTTATTCTTAATTCGTCTGAAACTGACCTTACTGCACTTTTAACATTCTATAAAAATCTTTTCTAAAATAGGTATAAAAATGCATAACACAAAACACACAAACAAAATGTTTATAATCCTTATATAATAAATTTCTATAGAACTTTTAAATTTCTATAAAAGTAATAAACCTATATATATATTAATTTTGCACCCAGAGAAAGATGTGATCACAGAGGTAGTTTCAATATTATGTTCATGACAAGGTATGGGGCTGCTGCAAGTTATACTTTGCTAAGATATTACCGCTTTTTCAAGCTTAAGTAATCCAGGCAAGGTCAATTTTAAAGTTTTTGAATTTTGTCGAACGCTGTTTAAGTCTAAGTTCCAGTCATTTGGTTCTCCTTCCTTTTGAGTGTGAGTGATGGTGATTCTTATAGATGATTTGAGGTGATTGGGCTTATAACAGGTGAATGTAGTTAGCATGAGATTTTGTCGTACTGTATTCCATATTTTCCCAGCTCTGTATATGTAGCTGTCTGATGGTTTAGGTGTGAGAATGAGTGTCTCTTTGCCAAGTCTGCCAGATGTTTCAAAGATGGAGTATAGTGATATAGGGGTTCTATATTTCAAGACCTTGAAGATGTCATTAATACAATGATAGAGGTACAGATTATGCACATTCATGATTTCATGAGTGTTGAAGAGGGGTTTTGTAGGCTCATTTCTGTAGAATTCGTTGCCCAGGATTTGCTCCCCGTAGGGTCTGCATCGCGCACTAGTTTTAAATTTATCCAAGTATGCTTCTTTATCTCCAAACATTATGCGATACTCGTAAATAAATATGTTTTACGAGTATCACCCGTTAAAGTGCAGGTTATCAGTTATATCTCCACCGAAAGCACATTTCCCAAATTCAAAATTGTGCACATTACTGTAAAGTGCAACTTTTTTTAAATTCATGAATCGAGATAGTGATTGATAGGGTTTTGTACGCTCATTTCTGTAGAATTCGTTGCCCAGGATTTGCTCCCCGTAGGGTCTGCATCGCGCACTAGTTTTAAATTTATCCAAGTATGCTTCTTTATCTCCAAACATTATGCGATACTCGTAAATAAATATATTTTACGAGTATCGCCCGTTAAAGTGCAGGTTATCAGTTATATCTCCACCAAAAGCACATTTCCCAAATTCAAAATTGTGCACATTACTGTAAAGTGCAACTTTTTTTAAATTCATGAATCGAGATAGTGATTGATAGGGTTTTGTACGCTCATTTCTGTAGAATTCGTTGCCCAGGATTTGCTCCCCGTGGGGTCTGCATCGCGCACTAGTTTTAAATTTATCCAAGTATGCTTCTTTATCTCCAAACATTATGCGATACTCGTAAATAAATATATTTTACGAGTATCGCCGGTTAAAGTGCAGGTTATCAGTTATATCTCCACCAAAAGCACATTTCCCAAATTCAAAATTGTGCACATTACTGTAAAGTGCAACTTTTTAAAAATTCATGAATCAAGATAGTGATTGACCATTGTTAATGATCTGGCCCGGCCCGTGCTCCTTCGTAGCACTTGCCATCGGGCCATTTCGAGAAGAAAGCAGCCATCGGGCCATTTCGAGAAGAAAGCGGCGCGCGCTACTTCGAAGAAATTTAGACGAGTAACATCCGTCAAGATAGTGATGATGAAAATATTAAAATAACTGGCTACAATTAGTGTTTTATTAAAAATAAATAGTAAAAATCAAAAATTTTAACTTCCAACAGACTATTAATTTTAAATACCCACTATATTAACAGATTACACCCCGCTAAAGTGTTATATAAAACATCAATAATTTATGTAAAATCCGGATTGGAATATTATTTATGAGTCGCATAGTTAAAATGTTTTCTTGGGTAAATTTTTATTGATCCCGTTTGGTATGAAAAAGAAAATTATTTGTTATATAATAATGTTAAAAGTACAGGGTGGGCCAAAAGTCAGTGGGCATACGTTGGCCTTAATAGCTCCGCTGTGTTTTATATTTGAGAGCTGTTGCTTTGCAGATGGCATACTGTAATTACTGGTTCGAGGATTTCGTCGTCAAAAATTGAAAATTCGAATATTATAGACCACGCCCATTCAATATTAAAACACCTATATTGTTTTCTCTGAACATGCTAAACGCCTATTTTTTTTTCAAAGACGATAGATAATTAAATGTTGCATATGATCTGAAAACATGAGGCAAAACGGATTAGAAATGACGAAGTTATCAAGCATTTTCTGTATCTCTGGAACTTGCTACCGTATACGGTAAGAAAAGCTAACAACATTGATACTTTTAAACGGGCTTTAAAAACCCATTTTTTCAATAATCTAGAACATACCTAGTCGTATTTATATTTGTGTTCTTTTTTAGAAAGTTCCTAGAACCTGGCCTTAGTTTGTAAATTATTCCATGGGATTTTTTAACTGTCATGAGTTGTGTGTATAGTTACACTCACACGGAGTCCGGAGAGACTAGACTGCCATTTGCCATGCCCTGGCTTGTTTTTATTTTTTATTTTATTTTTATAAACCTGTATCTTTGGCCGGTACCACATGATTGCAGAGTTGGTAGCACATGCTTCGGCAATCTACCTGTACCTCAGTGAACCGGTGGGTGAACGGCAGCTTGCTTGCAAGCTGTTGGGTACAGGGTGATGTAGTGTGCGAGTTCCCTTAATTGGGTGCGACAATACTCAGGGAAATCGGACTGGGGATCCGTCGGCCTGGTCTACTACCTTGAGCAACTCATTAAATGATTGTGTGGTATTGACGGGGATGCAGGCCTCAGTTTGTGTTTGTTGTTTTGATCTACAAATAAAGAAGAGTGTATAATGAAGTTCAATTAATTAAATTCTTTTGAATAAATAAAGGTAACCATTATGTGTCGAGATTATTATTTTTCTCTTATAGTTTATTCCATCTGATGTCTGATTGTACCACCATGTCTGTCGTATAATATAGTTTTTAGACGTTAGTGTTACTAATAAGCAGTTTAAAGGAAATTGAGAATTTTTTGTTGGAGAATTCTAAATTATTAAAGTTTTATCTTTGTTTTGGACAGCCGCTCTGACATTAGTAGCTAGTACCATTCTTGGTTACTAGTTGCTAATATGAGCGGGATATAAATACTTTGTTATTATTATTATTATTATCTCGTTAACAACATTGACTTGGTGATTATGTGACACCGTGACACGACACCTTCATTGGGCACCCTTAAAAATTCCCATAATGTTTAACGGGGTGGTTAACGGGGTCACCTAATCACGTGATTAGGTAAACCAATCACCTGATCAAATGTAATGAATAAACTCGTTATGCTTCATATCTCTGTCATCTGAGAAGCTACAGTTCTAATTTTTTTCAGGACAAACGTAATTCGAATGGCCAAACACAATTCAAAAAATTTAGCTCGATTTGACTATCAAAACTATCAAAACTATCAAATAAATGCAAAAATGAGCCTTAATTTGAAAAAAATGAACTCTAATATTTATCGATTTGACAAATTCCTCAAACCAGTGGTGGTAGTAAGTCATACCAGAAAGAATTATTTCAATTGGGCACTCAGTGATTGAGCTATTAAGGCCAACGTATGCCCACTGACTTTTGGCCCACCCTGTATTAAAACTTTGTATCACGTCGTGACCCCCACGGTTGTTTCACTAGGTGAGCCGCGCACTCGTGCGCGGCGGGTCATACAACGTATGACAATTAAAACTCAGTTTTTAATACTTTCAACACTACTATATAGCAAATAATTTGAGATCATGAATACGAAGTTGTCAGTTTGAAACGTTGAATAATTCCTTTCCTGATAAAACTTTTTCCTTGTCGTACCAAACGGGATCAATAGAAATTTGCCCAAGAAAACATCAATAATTTTGTATAAAATTAAAGATCTTAACAATTGCTACACTTCAAAATACTAGAATAAATGTTCATAGAACAAAATATATGACTTTACCAGTCACCTGACGTTTCAAAATGAAACTGAGGTTGAAGATGCAGTTACAAAAGACCACTGGTTCCCAATCATTACTGAAACAAACTTTTTCCAAAATATCAATTGAAAGCAGTCCATATCTGCTTTTCTGTGAACTAAACAGCTCAAATATAAAAACTTATTCCCTTGTCATTACGACAATATCTAAATGAAAGGTGTTTGTCGTCGAGATAAAATCTTTTGCAATGTATTCAAAATTAATATATACACTTATACAAATTACCTGGAATACTTTTGAAAGAGAATAGGGAATACAGATTTTTTTTAGGGAACACAAATTTGAATTTTGATCTTTATTACAGACTATACATATCATAGATAACCATAAAAGCTGCACGTCAGCTGATTGCCTCAACTTGGATTAATAGTAATTTCAGTCGACAGAAGCTGAAGGATGGCAGTTCAAAAGGCCCATTGCATCATAGACAAGATCAAGGACTCGAGTGCCAATAATGGCTTTTCCGAATAACAAGCTCAAAAGCGCTACTGACTTATTTCTCCAAGAAAAGCACAATAGCGTGAGTAGCTTTTGTCAAGATGCCTCGAAAGTGATCTTAAACGATTCCCCAGGCCGTTCAATTTTGGTCGTGGAACAAAAACTTAGTGCAGAATCAAGCAAGTTATAGACATATTTCATACGTATCAAATTGGATGTGCTTTCGGTGGAGATATAACCTACCCCTTAATACATAATATTAAACATTAGATTTGAAAGTAATACTTTCAAAATTCAAAATATTGAAGTCAAAAACAAAAGTTGCATTTTTATACATATTCAATGTTAATATTATTTTCAGAATATCTTTGAAAAAGTTAGAATGCATTTGAAAATTGTAACTTTTTGTTCCATCTAGTAAACTACACTTTTTAATAACAAATGTTTGAATAACCAATATTTTTAAAAGTTTATAATTCTTGTAATTCTGATGATTTTCCGTTTATCAAAGCTTTCTTTGGGAATAGAACTTTGAGTACCTCAATCGTGTCTTGTGCCACCCTCAGTGACCTTGTAAGATGGTCATTCAAGAAAAATTCAGTCAAAAAACAGTGAAATTTGGGTAGTGGAGAGGTGAAATTCGAATGTGTCCTACCGGTAGGATATACTTGTGTCACTCTCACCGACCTCACTGATTGGTCATCAGTAAAGTTTTCAATCTAAACCGCGAAATTTCGGTCTAGGGAACAGCAGAAAAGCTCCTCTTCAAAAATCTTCCAAAATCTCTTTTTATATTCTGATGATTTTCCGTTTATCAAAGCTTTCTTTGGGAATAGAACTTTGAGTACCTCAATCGTGTCTTGTGCCATCCTCATTGACCTTGTAAGATGGTCATTCAGAGAGAAAATTCGAATCTCACGGAGAGGTGAAATTCGAAGATGTCCTACCGTGCCCGTAGGACATATTAAAAATTTTCATTGCACCAAAGTTTTCTCCGGATATACTGATTCTTGTACCTTGATGGCGACTTGTGTCACTCTCACCGACCTCACTGATTGGTCATTGGTAAAGTTTTCAGTCAAAACCGCGAAATTTCGGTCTAGGGCACGGCAATTAGGGCCATTGTTAGCCCAAGCGTTTTGGTCCGTCATTCCTGCCACTCAGCATTGCCTACTGTAAAGTAGAAATTTTTCTGAGACAATAGAGAAACTGACCTTGTCTCACTAAATTCAACCACTTTCCATAATAAAAATACTAACAAATAAAGTTTTTCTAAATAATTATATACAACTACTAAAGAATATTTCCTCAAGTTTACTTCTAGTAACTAACTAATTCGTGGTTTAAGCTCTTATTTTATTTATGATTAAAGGAATGTAAAATAAAACTTATTGTTTCATTGAGAAAAGCTCCTCTTCAAAAATCTTCCAAAATCTCTTTTTATATTCTGATGATTTTCCGTTTATCAAAGTTTTCTTTGGGAATAGAACTTTGACTACCTCAATCGTGTCTTGTGCCATTCTCAGTGACCTTGTAAGATGGTCATTCAAGAAAAATTCGGTCAAAACAGTGAAATTTGGGTCGCGGAGAGCTGAAAATGACTAGAAGCAGTATAAGAAAACTTTGATGCAGGCTGCAGGTGATAAGGCCATCAAGTGTCTAACCAGTACATGAATGTGGTTGAGCCTTAAAAGTTGGATGTATTGTATAATATTATTAGTGTGTATGCCCACATTCGATAAACAGTGTTTCTATTTATAAAAAAACTGACCATTTGGCAAATTTATAAACGTTTGCCTAATGGTCAGTTTTCTGTTCAAAAGCTTTTTGATCATGTTTTAATGATTTAAAGACAAGTTCTAATTACAATAGGATGAGATGACCACAGCAACATCTACTCGAAATGGCATCCTCCTAACCTCACAAATAACATGGAACACCTGGGAACCCGGTGGAGAGTACACAAAGGTGATCAAAATAAAAAATGTGGACACCAAGACTCATAAAATAAAATACAAGTAAGTTGTTTGTGTTGTATTTACACTTTCATTTTGAATGAGTTTAACAAAATTCCTATCTCACAAATAGAACTATAACATGGGTTTACTTAATGTTTGACAGTTTTACGCAGTGTAATGATTAAACTTTCATTTTTATTGCAGCTCGGAATATCAAACATCGCTTAACCCTTCTAAAATGCAAAACGTGTTCAACCGTGCGCGTGGTATGCATGTGAAACTTTTTAAGTCTAGCTCTACAAATTTAAGTGAGGACTCGGAGTTATTGTCTACCTCACTTTCATTTTCAGGACTCCGAAGAACAAATGCTTTTCAACCAAGTACCCACAAACGATAACATTATGCTCGGGAAACACAGCAAAGATTCCTATAACGTTCAAGCCATTGGAAAAGGTTTGTGAATCTTAAATGCACTTCAGCTGTTAATTTTGTGAACAAATTGATCATCCATCGTTTTTCATTTTGCTGTATGGGATGAAACGGTTCCCGCACTATATTACTCAACCATCGCAATAAAGTTCTGTCGTAATATAGTGCGATTTGAGCACTATATGTATCACGAAAAGGATCTCATGATTATTTTCAATAGCCCTAACCCTATATTATGTCCTATGATCTATGACGCAATATAGTGTTGTTACCGATCACAGTCTACGACTCTTAACAAACACTCTGAGCTCTTATTTATCTGCTAGGGAAATAGTATAATTTTAATAATTTTAAGGCTGTAAATTTTCCTGACGGTGCAGTAAAACCTGACACGGTACCAAGAATAAACCTGAGGGTTTCATCACCATTTCCATTTATAATTTTATGATACACTGCCATGATGAACTAGATTTTAATTTGAAAGAAGAAGTTGTTACTATCAGTAGCACGAGTTTTCTTGCTGGTAAAGTGTTTAGTGCCGTCATAGTGTTCAATGTTTATAGTGTTCATAGTGTTTTGATTCAAACGGTGTTCACTATACAGCAAATTTCCGGCTGCGGCATAGTGTAATATACAGGGGGGGGGGGGGCTAAAGTCAGTACCCATACGTTGTGTCATATACCACCGCCGTGTTTTATATTTGAGAGTTGTTGCTTTGCAGATGGCATACTGTACCTACTTGTTCGAGGATTCCATCACCAAAATTTGAAAATTCGAATTTGGGGGGCACACCCAATCAACATTGAATTGCATATACTGGTGTTTGTGAACATGTTAGAGACTCCGTTGTAGCATATTGCAATAGTTCATTTAATCCTGAATATAATCTGAAAAGATGGTGCAAAACAGTTGTGGAACACAACAAGAAAATTGAGAATAATCTTGAGCGAGGGTAGGGACCCAGATGTCGTTTCTAACCCAAATAAACTTTAAGGAGGCTTCTCATCAGTAGCCGCACCTCCTTACTCGGTTTCTGAACTGGAATTCTATGGGCTTCCAGACGGCCAGACCGAGTATTACCACCCCATCCTTCTAGAGTTCATCACAAGTAGCACCCACCTTGAAGATCTTTGACACCCAGACACACCCCATTGGCGAACAAACTTTGGATATAATCTTACATGCTCCCGAAGGAATCCCTGGTTTATGGTCTTTCTCATCGTCACCAGCACTTTCACTAGAGTCAGAGGCAAAATTGATTGGGTACTCAATGATTAACCAATTACGACACCGTAACCCGATCACCTGATGACTCGTAATGAACAAACTCGTTATGCTTCATATCTCGGTCATCTGAGAAGCTAGAATTCTCATTTTTCAGGACAAACGTAATTTAAATGGCCAAACACCATTCAATAAAATTACCTCTTGCATGCTAAATATTACGATTTTATTCTCTTACGTGTAGCTATAACACGTGTTTCTTACTTCAGGAGTTATACAGCGACCAAGTAGAATTCTGTACAAGAACAGATAAATTTACGGTAAATGTCCAGGCGGTTTTACCGAGATACTCTATCGATCTTCCTCACTCGTTGGGATTTGAGACTTGTGGTATTCAAACAACTGCCATTAAAACCTTCACTCTTGTCAATAAGAGTATTGAAACTTATTTCAAATGGAGTGTGGCTGCCCCCTTTTCTATTGAGCCAGCTTTGGGTTTACTTCCCGAAAGAGGACACTGTGATGTTACTGTCAAGTTTACTCCAAGCGAGGCCCATGTTTATGACTCAAAAGCAGTTGTTTCCTTCGGTAATGATCAACACAAGGACTTCTTTATCAGTGGTGTAGGTGAGCGGTTTGAAATTCTTCCATTATTCTCCTTTTTGGTCGAATTACCGGTTTTCAAGAACTCCCATCGACAGAGATATTGATTGTGGGTGTTAACCTTAACACACCATGCTATATAATCGTGTATCGTAACCGAAATCACTAAAAAAACAATTACCATTACAGGAAAACATCCGTATATAATGGTCGGTGACGGTAAGATTGAGGAAGAGTCTGTGCATCAGCTCCTCAATTTTGGGGACGTGCCAATCGGTACATCAACCAGTAAGGTATTCCATGTTAAGAATATGTCATCGGTAAATGCCAACGTCTCAATTTCTCACCAAATCAGTGGAACAGTAGCGATGGATAAGGTTTTTGTTTGTAAAAGACGGCAGCACATGATAAAACCATACTCCTCTATCAGCGTGAAGGTTTGTTTGAACATTTTAAAATAGGTCTTAAATCTCTCGTATCTACAATTTGTGGCCATGATCAAAGATTGTGGCAAATTTTCATCAGAAGTGTAAATTTTGTAAGGCGCGCTTGTCAGTTTTATAGGGTTGCGCGCGGATTATCTCGAAAATCCGAGTTGCCATGGCAACCATGTGCAGATATACATTACTGATTAGCTCAGTCGAGTTTATTATGTGATACAACTTTCTGTCACATGAGTACTCAAAATGATGAGGCAATAATTCAAAAATAATCAAACTGAAAAGAAGCTTCTTTTAAAATGTGGATTAATTTTAGGTTTTCCTCAGATAGATTTCTTGCCCACGATTGAAAAGATGGCATACACAGACTACTTCTACATCAGTCCAGCCGGATTCCCCTCGCAGTGCGTCGTGAAGTGTGTCGGCCGAAGTACAGCTCCTGATATAAAACTGAGCACTAGCATTCTGTCGTTTAAGTACGCTGAATTGAACACAGAACACAAACAATACCTCACCATATCCAACCAGTCAAATGTGAAGACTTCCTACCAAATAGTGCTGGATTCAACAGAGAGCGTTTTCAAAGTTGACAAAAATTGCGGAACCCTCGATGGAAAAGAAGAGCGTACAATTGTTGTGAAATTCGTCCCGCTACAAGCTATTCCATACTACAAAAGGATCCCTATCCTACTACACCGACAAGAACCGATATTCTTAGATTTACTCGGATCAGGATACACAAATGAGATACGACCAGCCAGGCTGATAGAGCATGACCTGGAAAACTTCGTCGAGAAAGTTCGAACTGGATTGTCAATGTATCCCCCAGAAGTTCAGGCTGGAATACTGGCCGATGATAAAACTATTCTCAGTCCTGGTGTACCGTTTCAAGACCAACCTCCCAGTTCCCAATATTTTACTGATGTTCAGGTAAACTGGCAGATAATGTCCTTTTGTTATATATATCAATCGAGTTGCTTGTATTTGTTATGTAATAAAATATGTTTTTCGTGGTATTATCAACAGGTTAAATTTTCAGATGATGACAGAGAGCACCACAATGCACGTGACTGCAGATATCGAGACCATCGACTTCGCTAAATGTAGAGCTTTCCAGAAAGTCCATCATAAGACAGTCACTGTCACTAATCACACCAAGGTATATCGTAATTGTGGGATCTTTGTTTATTGACATTGCTGAAACGCATGAATTAACGATTACCGATCACGTTACCATACAGAGTGGCTTGAAATTTGAACCCCTAATCAGTGATAAACAATTACACTTCCTATCTCAGGGAAGAGTAACAGCTATCTGGAATGATAACCCCGACAGCGTATTCACAGTTCTCCCAACAGAGTGTGATATTCAACCCTACAAGAGTGCCTCTTTCAGAGTTAACTTCCACCCTCAGAAACCTAATCAGTTTTATGGGGCTGATCTTGAGTGTACTACTTTCTATAAGGTAGAATTATCATCAATTTATTGTCGGTTGCTGTTTGGTAAATTATTGGTTATCATGATAAATTCAGGCTAATAGATAACGTGCTAGTGCAAGCTTATTTGATATATCCGCTCAACTTCATACTTGCAGTCGATGAGGGATGCACAACTTGTAAACGATGATACGATGTGTGCCTCCTGGTCCCAGTCAGTCTACTGTACTGGTGAAACATTTGAGCCGGGTCATGAGCCGTTCTTACCAAGGTACGAGACTGACACCTCGGCTATACTCTTCCCTCCGGCTCTTCCTGATCAGCCTGTCTACAGGACTCTTCTTCTAAGGAACCAAGGCGATACTCCCATGTCTTTCGTCTTTGAGGATGATCCAATGGGAATTTTCAGGTATAATTCATGATTTATATAAAATAATGAGAAAATCGAGTGTTTTTTAGTAAGTTGAGCATTATAATGAACTAGACTGTAATTTCATTCTTTCTCTGTCGTCTTCAATACTCCTTCCCCGCAGTGTAAAACCTATGACGGGTGTAATTTATAACGAGGTATGTATAGTGATGGTGAGATTCTTGGCTAACCAGAGTAGATCATACCAACACAACCTGGCCTGTACTCTGAACACTAAACACAAGATAGTCTTCCCTTGTGTAGCAGCGGTAGAGCTTCCAACTGCCTGGCTTGAAAACGAGGTGCGATGAACAGAAAAACATAACTTATGATTTTAGATGAAAACAAGTAGTTTTGTGAGAGATGATTTCATTTAAGAATTAAATTTCTCTCCTTCTGAGTGAAACTGTGAGTCTTTGAACTGGTAGATTCACGAACATCTCTGTTCCCAGGGTGCGATGGTGTTCAAGCCGTCGTGTGTAGGAAGTGTGACAGAACATTGCTACGGAGTACGCAACACATCCAGACTTCCTCTACATTTCGAGTGGAAGTTGCACAACCAAGATAACAACCTCACTGTGTCACCTTTAGCTGGTGTTATCCTTCCAAACGATACTCAAGTGCGCAAACTTTTTCAAATTTGATCTGGTTGTTTTTGGTCGAAAAACATTTTGTTTTTCGCGCTCTTAGAACGCATTGTTGTTTTATTTCTCATCTCTGCACAGACAGTCTGACTATTAGTTTCCCAAGTCTCATGAAGTACTAACACTATATTTTTGTTGACAGTATCAGAGTTGGAAGTTTTCACCGAAAGATGAGTCAGTACTAAAAGCAATGAACGTTTTGTCAATATTCCACGTCAAGAATAACAGGAGAAAACTAACCGTGTCTTCCATGGGACAGGCGACTAAAGCTTCTCTTGAGGTACAGGATAATATTATATAGTACTTAACATTATCTTGACTATCGACTTATAGGTTGCAATTCATCTTAATTATAGAACAATAGGTTTTTATTAGAATCACTTAATACACATTTTTAAGATATGGTTACATTACCAAGTATCTTATCCCTAGTGCTTGCCGAAGAAGGTTAATTTCGGGATCTCTGTGGTTGGAGAAGTTTCCTCAGAGACGGTGTCTCTACACAACCCTTACTCCTGTACTGCTGACTACGAGCTCTCTTTAGAATATGACGGTCCGGATCACTGTGGTAAGTGACTGTTTCCAGTTTGAAATGTGATATTAGCAACGCGATGGCATGTTGAGGTGCTTAACAGTAGATTTAGTTATTTGGATAAGACGTGACCGATATCTCATTTAATTGTATAGATTTGTAATAAACTAATCAATACAAAATATCAGATATAAGTCTGGACAAGACGAGTGGATCTCTGTCTGCGTATGGTAAAGAGGAATTGTACGTGACCTACCAGCCTCTATCTCAAGCTAACTACAATGTGAAAGTTATCTGCACCATCAACTCACAACGGCACACTCTACTCACCCTGACTGGTGAAGGAGTGTTCCCCAAACTCTCTTTCATCGACATCCGCTCAGTTGGTGCGAGTAATACTTATTTTTCGTCATGAAATCAAAATATCTGTTCTTATTTATGTAGCTGTAAATTGTAAAATCAAACGTTGTTTTCCTCTTCAAAGATCTCATATTTGACAATAAAGTTCCAGGAATACTGTGCAACGCGAGTAAGAAGCGCATCTGGGATCTGTTCTCCCTTGATCTGCTGAACAAGCACCTTGCTGAAGCACCCGACCCTACCGAGCTGAGGCAACTTATGGAGACACGGAGTAACGACAGAACCAAACCTTTCAGGTACAATCAGCTGTACAAATATACTCTATTTGAACTCGAGTAACATTTCGTGGGCATGAGCAACCATGAACATGATATTTTACAAATCTAGAAACTTTAAATTGTTAACGTGTAACTTATTTCAGCACCAAGGCCCTTGCTGTGGTAGACTTTGGATCAAATACAGTTGGCAGTGACCCAAGCAAAGTGGTGGTTGTCATGAAGAACAGTGGCAAAGTGTCCTCTTCTTTCAGGTAATCATTCATTGGTCCACTTCCAAGTTAAACTGTGACTGCTTGAAACCCCACTTGGTAGCAAAGGTAGTCCCTCCAAAATGATTACAACTTTCGTATTCCAATCACACTGTATCATGAATCAGGTTCCTATTCCCGCCTGACTTATGTCTGGACATGGCAACCTGGGCAGAAGATAAAGTAGAGGATGCAACAAGAGCACAGGAGCGCTTTAACATCGAGCCAAGAGAGGGTACCATTAAACCTGGTGATACTCTGTCTCTCATGTTCACCTACAGGTCAGTGTAAGGCAGGAATCAAGTTAAAAATGTTCTAGAATTTTAATGTGCAATATTTCTTCGAAAATCTCGAATATCAAACATTAACAGTAACTACATCAGACATGGGAGTGAAGGAATAGAAGAGCTGCCTATCCTGCTGAAACTGTCACGTGGTAGAGAGATAATGTTACAACTGAGAGGAGTAACAGTGAAATCTGGACTGGCCTATCCCCAGATAGCCCACAAGAGCCACACTCTGCAGCCTGTTATCATTGGTTCTAATTGCCCACCAATACAGGTATTGTACCAGTCGAATTAGCTTGTTGTGCTACGGTGATCACTGATTTCAGTAAACCCAACCCCTAAATATTAAATTCCGTGTCCAGCAGGAAAAGTCTTCACACTCTAGTTGTGTTATTTGCAGTACAATAAAAACAAATTCCACAGTACTACGAGCTGTACAACGGAGGAGACAGTCAGATGGGTTACGAGGTGATGGACGAGTCTCTAGCTCAACTAACACACGAGAACTACGGGTGTGAGATTATGAAGTGTCTCCAGCCGACTGGCAGAGTTCAGCCACACTCGATCGCTCAGATACCTTTCCTCTTCTCACCACTCGAGGCTAAAACTTATGCTGTTAAGGTAAGAGTATGGCGTGTTTTATTTATAGATTCAACTGTCCATTGGGAATACTTTCAATTTTCATATGTTGTTATCATAATATGTTATTCTGGATGTTTTTAAAACACTACATTAGATACGACATGCATGCAAACGTTACACGTATTAGTGATATAAATAAGAGCAGCAACTCATGATCCTCGATGGTTGATTCACGTAACCACCGCCACCCTTCCCAGGTGCCAATTATGATAGTCGGAGGTGACACCTACACCATCACCATATTTGGAGAGGGTATAACACCCGGACAACATAGCACCGTCCAGAAAGGATCTGTTATCCCTGACAAGCAGGCTGTGCTTCTGGATAATCAGCTGGCAGTCCTTTCTAACGAGGCCATAGACTTCGGTGTAGTGCCTACCTTCTCTGTGTCCAAGAAAATTGTGTTTATTACGAATACTTCCAAAGAGCACATCACTTTCAGGTAAGGTTCACCTAGTTTTTTACTCAAGTAAATATTTATTAAGCTTAATACAAAATAGATATTCCTTTAATTTTACATAATGTTTTCATTCCTGGGCTGCACCACTAGCTTCGTTGAATGAACTTGATATTGCTCATCGCAAACACCTCCGAAGAATCCTCAACATCAGATGGCCTACTGGGGTTATTTCTAATGAGGCACTCTATGCTCGTTGTTATGTCACTCCCTTGTCTGTGAGAGTCTCTAAGTTTCGATGGAGAATGTTAGGACATATCTTAAGAGGACAGGAAGACTCACCAGCATACACCTCTATGTTATTTGCTATAAATTCTGATATTTTTATGGAAGGGAGACGGGGTAGACCATGTTTAAACTTATTAGATGTTATTAGAAAAGACTTGACTAGTAGAAATCTTGATATTAGACTTAAGAATTTGACTGATTTCGAAGACCTTAGATTTTTAGCTTTAGATAGGGAGGAGTGGAAGAAGTTAGAAGATGGTTGATGTTTTTGTTTTCTTTTTTATGCGTTTTGATATCTATAAGGTGCCTAGGATGCTCTTTTAAAGAGATATTTCGTACTTTGAAAGATTTACTACTACTACTACTAATGTTTTCATTTGATCAAGTGATCCGTCCTATCCTAGATGGAACACGAACACGACCCCTCTGTGCGGTGAAGTTATCTCGGTCTCACCCAACTCTGGTACCTTAGCACCAAGTGCATCGACCACGATCGAGGTTTCTCTCCTGCCTTCATCTTACCCCGCCATTTTTGATCTTGATATTATCTGCGAGTTGACCGGTTAGTTGTTTTCGAGTTCAGATATTACTCAGTTACCTAGAAGAGAATCTTAATTTTTAACCTCAGCTGTTATCATTACGTTACACTGAATAACCCCCACCTTCGCTACACTGAATAACTCTTCAGATAACTCCAAAGAATCAGCATACGTGGAGACATTAGCACAATACGCGAATACTTTAGAAGAGGATAGAATCACCTTCACCATCAAGGAAGCCAAGCCTCAAACTCCAGATAAGATAGACAAGAGCAGAGATAACTGGGCAGCAACTGAAACATTGAACAAATACCACGCACTGCCCCCAATTAGAGCCCTCGCTCCATCACCCCTTGACAGGCCTGAGACCAGGTTAATTGGTTTACCGAATACAATGTTGATTCTTTAACCTTTATTTTGACACGTGACAGGTCAATCGTTGTCACGTGTCACAGCAAACTTGCATCACGTCTACATGAGAGAAGTTTCATAAAATAACAATTTAAATGTTTCTGAACTCGTCATATCAAGTCCTAGGGAGTATTGCTGTACCAAGAATACAAAACACTGTTCTACGAAGAAGAGAGAATCGCCCAAGAAAGAACAACCGTCTCCTCCGGTACCAGAACAGCCGTTCTATCTTCATTTGAGGATCATCGGTCAAGTTGCCGACATTAAGTTGTTTTCGGGTGACTTGGGCGGTTTTGATGTTCCTACTGCCGGTATAATTGAACCAGGTAATGTACTGTAAACTATTTTGAAGCTATATGCCAATGAAAGAAAACGTCCGAAAGTTTTAAAATGTTGATTCTATTACTATCTGTTATGTTTAATTTCCCCCTCAGATACGGAAACTGAACTGGAGATTCCTCGCGTGGCCTCAACTACTGAGGTCAGCACAATCAGCAATGTTCTCAGTTTCGTGTTGAAGTCCCTCCTTGATGATGTAGATGTTCACACTGCCATCAGAAACCTATCCAAAGAGCCGATACCTTTTTTCGCTCAAATAACTCGACCTCAGGTAAGTTGGTTCAAAGGATAACTTAGAATGTTTTGACTTCACATCAATGATCATGTTTCGTATTATTTATACGACTTAATTTTCCCTTCTTTACAGGCAACTGAATTGGATGTAATCGAAGAAGAGCGTTCCGTAGAAGAGACCACTGAGGAGTTGGCAGAAGCAGAGCAGTCCGCAGAAGGAAGGTTAGCTGAACCCTCTCCAGTGCCTGCCTCATCATCATTCGACGTGAAGCTCTCACCCCTTATCACAGAGATACTTGGAGAAACAGTGGCTAACATCATTCAGGAAACCGTTCAGAAGGAACTCGTTCTCACTGCCAGATCACGCACTATCGCATTACCTCCACGGAGCCCACATCATATCCAGATGTAATATGTGCGTGTTTGAGATGAAAAAGGAGAGTGTATTTTCATTAAACTTTTAGTTTGTATGTAGCGGAGTTCAACCATTTGGTAGCGATCTTATTTCAAATAGTACGTGTCAGACCTTTAGTTTAATATTTGTTAAGATAGTCGCCTTGAAGTAGCGGCAAGCTAAGAAGAGGTCTGGAGGAAATGTGTAGGGGGACATGTAAATGGATTGAGAAACTTTTAAAAGAGTAAGATTACCGATCCCTATCATGTATAAAGTGTATATTGTAAACTATTCTTTGATTAAACTAGAGTTTTACTTTGTTACTAGTAAGTAATATGTCTCATTATAAACTGAAACTTCTGCTCGATCATTGATATCAGTTGTTTCCAAACCAGTAGTAAATAGTTTAACTGGCACCTTAAAAGTGGTGCGTAAAATATTTGTTTCCCAAAACGACCACAAATTTTCGAAAGATAACTTCTTATGATGTTTCGGTAACTCTATCTAGTTGATCCTTTTCAGTTCAGTCTGTATGTATATTCTCCTCGATAGAGAAAAGAGAAAATTTTCCATTAATGCTTTTATCGCGATCGTAATTTCAAGTTCACATAAATTCGTAGGATTGATAAGTTCAAATGAATGGTATTTATAGTAGTTGTGATGATCTAAATTTGTTTGTTCATGAACCAGCCACCATCTTTTACTAATTACCGTTGGAAAACGTTAGTACAGCCTGCTTTGCTACACGAGAAAAGAGGTACATAATATAAAGCGTGTGTCAAAGCCCGTTTTACTTAATCACCTCGAGTATATGGAAAACATAAAGACATACTTAAACTGCGAAAGAACATTCTTCTCGTACTGTTAAGTGGTAGGAAACGAATTTTAAACAAAGAAGCGATTAACTGATTAGGGCTGGAATGAAAACAACTTTCCTCCTACTTTGTTGTCGTCCAAGCACATACTTTTCGCCGCACTCTTGTATATAGTCAGACGAGACTCAAGATATCCCGTATAAATAAAAAAGTGTATTCTCACTTCTAAATGATCTAGCTGATACGCCTGATTGAAGCGGCGCGCAACATACCGCGCCGCCAGTGGATGAATGATATATAAGAATTCACGTGGTATAAATGCTGGAAAATCGTGCTTTAAGTTTAGTTTTAAACTCGCGCCCACCATTTTGTATGTTTTAGAAGAGGTACCGTGCTAAATCAGATACAACTAAGTTATTAAGCTTGGTTATATAAGTTTCTAATGAACCAATACAAATAATTGTAAATCATACAAATACAATTTCAGATTCTACAAGGGTTCTTTTGCCCTACTCATACTGGATACCAGCTCCAAAATACTCAGGAGTTCTATTAATTCAACGCAGCCAGGTAGTCTTTTACTTCTGTTCTGTTTAATTTTCTGAATCCATCTGATGTACATATGCCAATCTCAATGTTATCCTCCGTCATCTGCCCCTCGAACCCTTCTTTTAGAGTTAGAATAGCGGTGTGGACTGCATCTTCAAGCTCAAGATCAGCATTGTACCTGCGGATAAATTGTACAATAACATGGCTCCAAAACAATAAACATACTGCAGAAATCAGTTTGATCACGTGCATTAATAAGACACAAATGTAGTAACTTCTGATTGCGTTGATAAGTTATAACTTATACCTTTTTTCAAGGAATGTTTTTCCGTTTACATGGTTCTTTCCCATAGCAGTAGCTTTCCATGCGAAGTATGCCCCCTGAAAATTTTAAAAGTTGAACGTCTACCACCACAATCACTGTGGCAATGTTATATTATAACTATTCAGCCAGGTCTTGATATCCATGTTAAAAACGTAGGACCACAACCTACCGAGGGGTCACACTGCACGAGATATGGTGTATCCTGATCGAACCCAGCAACTAACAGTGACACTCCAAAAGGTCGGACTCCGCTGAAAATACAATCAATGTTACATTGATACAGTAGGATTATAATCATTTCATATATCACCACTTTACACAATAACCTGATCTAAAAATTAAGCTCATAATTACAGGCGTTTCTACACTAGACTAACCCAGAATGAGTATACTCCTGCATAACGTTAGCAAGCCTCTGAACCAGCTGAGAAACAGGGATCTCCTCATCAAACTGCAGATAGTACTGCTGTGCTATCTTGCGGGCTTTGCGCACCAACAGTCTGAAGTCGGGTCCCATACCACTGTACGTCATACCACAATGCTTAGTTATCATCTCCATCTGAGTAAAAGCAATTAAACCTTCCAAACCGTCGGATAATACAACTTTTATGTGACTATCTCCTCCTCGTTACAAAGCCGAGAAAATACTTTTATACTTAACAACATTTACCTTGGTGATGGTGGTATCATCATACAGGATACTCTTAGTTTTCTTCTCGGCAGCTAAAACCACACCAGTTTTGCTCTTGATGCCGATCGAGGGAGCACCAGCAGCAACTGCTGCGATAGCATATTCTATCTGGACTAGCTTCCCGGAGGGGGAGAAGGTGGTCAAACTGAAGCTGTACCTTTCAGACATAGTGCTAGACGAATATGTTCGTTAGTAGAGTAATAGAATGGTTCTGTCAAATATTGTGGATTGAAAATCTAAAATTTATCAGACGATTCGATATTATTTTAAACTTTTAAATATATGATCGTATATTTTATACTTTTCGCAACTTGGTAACATAAGAAAAATTAAATGATACAAACGTGTATTGATTGCTAATTTTGGCAAAATTAATCAGGCTATTTCAAAGCAAAGTATGCTATAAGAGGCTTCTTCGGAAAAGTTTTTACTAATCGTCCATTGAGATTGTCTATCCTTTTCTGTTAGCTCGCTACCTTCTTTTATTTCTGGACTCCAAAAGTATCCCCACTCGAGGAGGGTCTTTTCTTTGTTATATGTTGGTTTACCACTCCAAGAAAGAGGAAAAATGGTCGATTTGCCAACTCCTGACTTTGATATAGATAAAGCAAGATGCAGTTTCGGAAGCTGTTCGTGTTGGTAATCATCAAGACCTGGGCGTCGCAAAATAGTGTCCAGAGCAGAAAGTCTCATAGAAAAAGAGTCTGAATTGTCATCTTGCATTGCAATTATTGAGAGAACAAATTGCTTACCAGTGTACTTGCTATTTGGTAACTTGAACATAAAAGCGTTGTCCTTAAAAATAACCTCTTGCAAAAAATGGGAGCCACGATATTCATGAATTGTCTTGAAAGTCAAATCGTCTGATTTTGAAACCAAATATTCACAATTCTTAACAAGTTGAAGGAATCTAATGCTGGGCGAATTTTCGTTGTGGCTGTTGCAGTAATTATTCAGGTAGTTCTCCTCCATTTTGCACCATCCCCGTTCATCTTTAAGAGCTATAATATTATTCAATATATCGTCATCGAAATCATCTTCAGAAGAATTCATCAGTTTTAGCCATATTCCGTCAAAGAACGAGTACAAACTGCCAACATTCTGATCAGCAGAGAGCTCATCAAGGGCTGTTTTGAAATCGAGGTCAAGATATTTCCCAAAGTCATTACTAAAAATGGGAAAGAAGTTTTGCCTTAAACTACATTTCTGTTTGTACAAACTAACAAACAATTTGAAATCCTCTGTTTGAACCGACTCCATATTCTCAAAGTAATGGAATAATCCCTCGTGAGCTTCTGGTTTCTTCCAGTAACAAAGATTTAAGTCTATGTGCTGAACGAGGTATCGTGAGTTTTGATCAAGATGATTCGCATTTTGATTCTCCAGGTATGTTAGCAGTACTTGTACCAAAACATGAACATCATCTTGTGCGATTGCAATACAAGCATCAATCTGGAACTTGGTTGACAGTGCAAGGTTAGATAAAAACTGATTTAGGAAGTTTTCTCGTTGCAAAACAAGAGTAGTGCTCATTTTCTTTACTACCAAGTCCAGGAAATCTCGCTTCTTCAGAGCAGACATAAAATAAACAGCTTCTTCCACAGCGAATAAGATATCAGGATAGCAACTATTGTTGGTCAGATTATCCAGATAGGACACAAAGTACTTCTCACATCTGGCACTCAGCCAGGAAATGCCAAACACATGGCTCATCTTGTTCACATCCCTGAAGTTTCGCAGGTTTCCTGCTTCCACCTCTCCAGTGTAACAAGCCTCAATAAAACAGTCCACCGCCTCCCTGCTGAAAGTCCTCGACATCTAGTGACGTCAAATGAAGATCAGTGGTAAGGTTATCAATCACAGGGCTGTTCAGGGACAATATAATGGAGTTCGCTTTGATTGGTTCTCCATTTTTCATGTTAAAGGTAAGGTTACCGTGACTTGGTGCTCCAATGTGATGTCTTCCGAAATCTGCTGGTACACAAACTTTAGGAGCCATGATAACACACACCTAAGGATGTATAGAGCTGTATTGAATGTATATAATACATAGTTCCCTTAAAAATCTGCAACGAAGTGAGGATTAGTTTTTTGAAGCACACACAGGCCTTTAAAGATATACTTTTAGAATACAGCAAATTAAAAACCCATGTTCACAGAATATTATTTTGAAAATTATTCTTACAGATGCTCTGATCATTTTTTTCCTTTAATTGAGGTAATGATAATGCGTTATATAATTATGAAAAATGGACCTTTAAAAATTTGTGTTTTTAAAATTAACTATTAAGATATGTCACTCTAACAGATAGCAAATTATTTTGTAAGTAGCTTCCTTAGAAACATCTCGATAATGGTTCCATATAAAAAGCCCTCGGGAACGTTTTCTTAAGAGCATGTCATCTGGTATCTTCTGACTCCTTATGTACCCCCACTCCCAGTAAGTTTTATCATCGTTATGTGCTGGTTTGCCACACCATGAAAGAGGAAAAATGGACCTTTTGGCGAGTGTTTCAATTGATAGGGCCAGATGTATTTTGGGAGGGTCCTGGTTGTCATACAAACACGGGTGTTCTCGGGAGGTATCTACTGCCAGCACCTTCACGCAAAACGTGTCTGGAGTATTATCTTTCATCGCATTTATCTATTTATTGAGAGGACAAATTGTTTACCAGCATATCTGCCACTGTTTGGTATTTTGAACACAAAAGCGTGGTCTTTAAAAATGATTTCTTGCAGAAACTCTGTACCAAAATACTCGTGAATAGTTGTACTTGTCGATTCATCCGACTGAGCAACCAACTGTTCACAATTCTGCACAAGCTGAACAAATTTATTGGCTGGCCAATTCTCTTTAGTGGATTTATAATAATTATTCAAATAGTCATCGTTTATCTTGCACCAGCCTCTTTCTTCCTTGACAGCAATAATTTTGTTTATTATACCACTATCAAAATCGCATTCTTCATTCATCAATTTCAGCCAAAGGCGTCGTAGAGGGAGTAGAGATTGTCCACATTATGATCAGAAGATAAATCTGCAAAAACTGCATCAAAACCTTTTTCAGCGCTTATATAATTCCCAAAATAATTGAAGACAGCGGGGGAATAATTAATGGTCAGTTGCAGTCTACATTTCTGTTTGTACAAGCTAACAAACAATTTGAAATCCTCTGTTTGAACCGACTCCATATTCTCAAAGTAATGGAATAATCCCTCGTGAGCTTCTGGTTTCTTCCAGTAACAAAGATTTAAGTCCATGTGCTGAAGGAGGTATCGCGAGTTTTGATCAAGATGATTCGCATTTTGATTCTTGAGATGTGCTAGCAGAACTTGTACCAAAACATGAACATCATCTTGTGCGATTTCAATACAAGCATCAATCTGGAACTTGGTTGACAGTGCAAGGTTAGATAAAAACTGATTTAGGAAGTTTTCTCGTTGCAAAACAAGAGTTGAGCTCAGTTTCTTTACAACTAAGTCCAGGAAATCTCGCTTCTTCAGAGCAGACATAAAATAAACAGCTTCTTCCACAGCGAATAAGATATCAGGATAGCAACTATTGTTGGTCAGATTATCCAGATAGGACACAAAGTACTTCTCACATCTGGCACTCAGCCAGGAAATGCCAAACACATGGCTCATCTTGTTCACATCCCTGAAGTTTTGCAGGTTTCCTGCTTCCACCTCTCCAGTGTAACAAGCCTCAATAAAACAGTCCACCGCCTCCCTGCTGAAATCCTCAACATCTAGTGACGTCAAATGAAGATCAGTGGTAAGGTTATCAATCACAGGGCTGTTCAGGGACAATATAATGGAGTTTGCTTTGATTGGTTCTCCCTCTTTCATGTTAAAGGTAAGGTTACCGTGACTTGGCGCTCCAATGTGATGTCTTCCGAAATCTGCTGGTACACAAACTTTGGGGGCCATGATAACACACACCTAAGGATAGAAATAATCTATACCAAGTTCCCTCAAAATTTGTTCATTTTTACAGGTCAAAAATAACTCTGACTTATACGTCCTTTCGTTACGACAAGTCAGATTCATATAGAAATTGATGACAGAATATGACACTTAGTATCTAATAGCAGTCATAGTTGTTTAATCAATTTCATGACATTAGTTATGCAAGAAGCTTCACGTGATATGATGTGAAACAGAATAAACATTCTCGGACGGTTCGCAAAAGTTGCAATTCATAGCATATTCTAATACATAGTATCACATAGAAATTGTACTATCAAGTCAAAATAGGATTCAACTAAAAGCATTCTCCAATAAATTAGTTTTAAATCAGGAAATTAACCAAAAATGGTTAACTTCAATAAAAGCTCAAATTTGATACATCTTCAAATATAAATATTGGTCTGAACATTTCAAAACTCTAACCGCACAAAATGGCGTGATAATTTGGGTCAGAGAGGAAAAATAAGAAACAAATATTTGTTTATGAAAGGTAAACAGTGGGAAACTTAAATCTTGTTAACGATGAAAAAATTTCAAACCAAACGCTGAAAAGATGAAATGAAACAATTGATGTAGGTAATGAGTACCCAAATACTGGTAATAAGTTTAGAAATGGCGAGTTTGAGACCCCATTATAGTCAAGAATATTCAGTACAACACACAGCATAATCAACGCAAGATGATAATTAGAGCTTCGATTGTTTGGTCCAATAAGTCACAGCGTCTCTCCATCAATTGCTCGAGTAACATTATCCTGTTTCCAGGCACCAGGCCTGTTAACTACATGTAAATCCTATGAAAGTCGCTGGCTCCGAAAGCAGCATTGCACTTGGGGCACTTGCGCTGGCGGGTGTCGTAACGCAGTTTCATGCACTCGAAACAGAAGATGTGATAGCACTTGGTGAGAACAGCGTCCTTCTTGCGGACATTGCACACTGGACATGTTAACTTCTGTTTGTACATCCTCACTTCCTCCTCCAGCACCTGTTAACAGATAACGATTAGAAGACATAAGACTGGAATGTAATTACCAAACTGGTTTAAAGGGGAGGAGCAATTAACGAATATCCGAGAAAACACATAATATAAGAATTTATTAAGATTCTATAAAAGTCACCTCATCAATGGTAGTAGAGAGAGGATTATCCTTCTTATGTCGATCTAGTTTCCTCTTGTACGCCAACAGATCCTCCTCTTTCCTCTTTCCTTTGAAGAGCTCTGATTCTAACACAGCTGTCTTCTCAGCTATCTGCTTCCTTATCTCTGTCGCCTGAAGATAACATGTTAGAGGCCCAATGTTTACAGCAGAATTAATAGTATTACTTATACTGATATACTTAAATACGAAATGAGTCGGGATTTTAGAGTAAAAGTATCCACTCTCAGAATTTTCAAAAACTCAGATTAAAATGATTATTAAATTTGCAATCATCAAAACTAAGAAAGGGCCAGAACCTCAGAGTTCAAAGTGTCGTAAGAAGCTTTGAGTTCGTTGTAATTGAGACAGTGTTTGGAAGACTCTTTCTTGTGAAGGTCTATCGCTTGCTGTTTCAACTGTATCTCCTTCTCAAGCGTGCTTAAACTTCCCTGGTAAAGGTTTTCGTGTTAAGTTATTGGACATGGTTAGTAGCTAACAGATGTGTCAGTTGCTACTTGCTAACCATTATATGGGTGGTATACACTATACAAGCACATTATTTCATTTCATTTCATATGAATAACTAATAACAATATCGCTCGAATATAAAATATAATTGAGACTTAACCAATTAACTATTAACAACCTTTTTTCTTGAGATCACGAAACTAAACATCGAAAACAGACTATTTAACGTGCAAACCTGAATCTGGCGTTCTCGTTCCTCGACCTTCCGCACCAGTGCCATCTGACTATCCTTCTGATTCTTGAGTTGGGTTGTGTACTCTCCCAGTAATTCCTTCTCTTCTCTCAAGAGTTTCAGTAACTCATCCGCCTGTAAGAATGTGATGGCTAACAGTTAATTTAGATAGTTAATTTAACAGTTAATTTAGATAGTTCAAAAATTAATGTGATCTGATAGTTAAGAGATGATTTTCTGATTGCATATATAAACCAACCTTGATTCTCTCAGACATGAGTTTAAAGTTAGCATCATCTTTCTCTTTGAGCTGCTGCTGGAGTCGCATGTTCTGCTCCTGAAGGTCCTCGAAAGCATTGCCCAGCAGTTCTACGTCCTCGCCTAGAGCTACACTCGTCGCTGACTTCTCCTGTAACCAATCATCATACAAATATCTGAAGTTTATAAACAGGGTGTTCTAGAATTAACTGCAAAAATGTTCGTCAACAAGTTGGATTTGAACACAAAGTTTTGAAGCTGAGCTAGGTAGTTTTAAAACATCATTTCTTGTAGTTAATAGTAATTCCCGAATTTAAAATACAATGACTGATATGAGCAAGATGAATTCTTAGTCTCAAGAAATTGTGCACGTGCACAGTCGCGCCGCGCATTCATAGATCACAGACTATCTATACATCACATCTCCGCAAACAATCCTCGCGCGCGCGCAACTTTTTCGTTGCTTGGTAACGAACGGAAGCAAGCAAGCAAGGAACACGACATATATTTGACCCACCTACTGCAATCTCCAAAATCCACGTTTTTCTGCAAAAACCTCCATTCGTAACCTTTCACTATTGCCTTTTTTCAAAAGGGTGAAAAGGAAAAAATAGTACAGTAGAATGTGGATCCATGGAAATGGACAAATCATTATCTACGTTACCTGAAGTTCCTCCTTGATCTGTTCATTGAGTTTCTTCTCAGCAGCAAGCTGTGCTGATATCTCATCGTCTGACAGACCAGCGGCTCTCTTCTGAGCAGTTTCCAGATCTTTCTCCTTCTTACGCAGATTCTGTGTTAGTTCTGATACCTCCTCCTGTAATCTCTTCTCACTCGCCAGCAACTCCACCTGATAAGAAGGATGTTGCATTTAAATCTGTTGAACTTGCAAAAACACATCACTGCAGGGAACTAACAAAGGGATTTAACCAGCAATGTTATCCTCAAAGTTTAAAATTACAGTTCGGACTTTTGGTAAGTAATAAATTGTTACCTTTGAACGTGATTCTTTGACTGAGCCCTTGAACACATCGAGCAGCAACTTCAACTCCTTCTGATTCTCGTGACTTGTTTTCAGTTGTTTTTGGAGATCCTTGATGGTTGAGGTCAGCTCGTCGATACGCTTTTTGTTTTGCTCTTCCTTTTGTTTGTCCTCTGTTACTGCCAACTCTTTTACAAGTTCCATCGCCTCTGTTCCTTCCAATTCCTAAATGATATAAATAAAAACTCGTATGGATATTAATGTTTCTGATTAAATAAAGAATTTATGTTACGGGAAAGTCGAGCTCTTGGATGCTTAATCATATCATAGATTTATAGAAATACAAACATTCGGTGCGAAATGGTCAGACTTCTTGTTTACTTTATAGAATAACATATAACCGAAACAAGGTTGACATACATTCATGATAACTTAAATATCGAGTAAAAATAAAGGATAATTAATAAACTATAGAAAAAATGAGAGACTGCATGAAGCGAGGCAGTTAGCGAAAGAAACAGTAAAAAGGGCTAAAAATAGCTTATTATTCAGCACAACTCTTACACTCTGACAGAAAGTCTGAAGGTCTTCAGAGTGCTGCAAGGTGTAACAAATCAAGTCAACCCCAGCAACCATAGATACCGAAGCAAGAATCAAATAAATGATAACAAGTTACAATTTTAATTTTTCATATCATTTAAGAATATGCAGACAGAAAGGTTTTAAGATCTCATGCAAATAAAAGAAAAGCTAGGTACAGTTTCGTGAAATTACCTGTTTATCCCTACACTTGGCTATCTGGACAGCTAACTCCGAAGTTCGTTTCTTGCTCCGTGTAACTTCGTTCTTTAACAGGGTGTTGTGCGCTTGTAGACTCTGGATCATGTTCCTCATTTCCTTGTTACTTGGACCTGACCATTTCAAACTGTTATACACCTTTACGAAGAAATATACTACCCCTACTTTGTGCGAAAGGAAAAGTAAAACAGGCCGAGCACGTTTTATGAATTCTCCGGGGACGGGAATCGGATGCAAATATTTCTTAATGATCAGTGTACTATCGATAGGGCAGTTTTCTGTACCTGAGAAGCAACTGGGCGAACAATAATGACCAGATGATCCATCATTTAACATTATTGGTGAAAACTGAACAGGTTATCTTAAGTTTGAAGGTGAACTAACTTAACAAACTGACCAGTTTGTTCATTAGCAGCAAGGTATCGCTGGAACTTAAAGTGGAGCACTTGATAATCTTTCTTTATGTTAGCTAATGCTTCTTCTTTTGCTACAACTTCCTGCTTCATTTTCTTCTGAGCAGCATCTTCCTCGACCTGAAGTTATTTGTATACTTTTTGGATTTTTTAACGTTTGAAAGTACAATCATCGATTATATATTTAACAAAGACACAATTATATTGTTATGATATATGTGCACATGATAAATGAACAAATAAATGCCCATACCTCAATTTGTTCAAGTTGAAGTAGATGCTGTTGACAGCGCTGAGCTAAAAGGTGTTTTGTCTCCTCTAGCTGCTGCTTTACTTGCTCATTTTCGTTGTAAAGCAAGGTAAACTGTGCTTGTAACGATTTAAAGTTGTTTTGTAGAGAAGTGTCTGATGCACTTTTTCCAATTCTTTGTTCTAGTTTCATCAGCTCAAGTTCCTGAGTTAATAATAAGTTAAATCACGTGATGTGTTCACTGTTCTTACTGCTTCATAACTGCTTATAATATTGTAATAATATCATGACGTTCACTGTCATGCTATAATATGCTGCATATTAACCAAACTCTTCTTATAGCATGTCACTTTATCCAAGGTTAGTCAGTAGCTAACTTAATAGTTAATACCGTGTACAAATAACAGGAGGTGACCGGGACATGATTTCAGGCCTGACCGGGACCGGGACCGGGACCGGGACCAGGATACAAAATGTGACTTGACCGGGACCGGGACCGGGACCGGGATCATAAATCACTAAAATCAGCATTTGACCGGGACCGGGATGAAAAATGTGACTTGACCGGGACCGGGACCGGGACCGGGATAGCTCAAAATTGCCAATCCCGGTACCGGGATTCCCGGTACCGGTTATTCCGGTCGATTACTGGTTAATTCATGATCATAATTTATTACTCAAACTTGTTTAGCAATTTTAAACATTGTTTTATTTGGCTCAGAGGATGTTTAAAGATGAAATTCACAATGAATGAAAGGAAAAACTTAAAATCACAGTGAATGAAATTATGTAAAAGATCCCGGTCAAAATCCCGGCAAATTTGAGTGATTGACCGGGACCGGGACCGGGACCAAGACCAAGAATCCTGAATTAACCGGGACCAGGACCGGGACCGGGATCATAAATCAGCATTTGACCGGGACCGGGATAGCTCAAAATTGCCAATCCCGGTACCGGGATTCCCGGAACCGGGAATCCCGGTCACCTCCTGACAAATAAGTTGCAGTCATAAAACCTGTTGCTACAAGCTCAAGAAGAGTATGATATATGCTAACGGGTCTTAGAAAAACAAATCTCACAATAAGTCCCCACATGAATTAAAGATCAGAATACCGAAATAATATTAGTATCTGCAGTTGTTAAACTGTTATCACCCACCTTCACAACATGCTCAAATCTAGCTTGTAACTCCTGCAACTCCTTGAGCCTCTCATCAGCTAGTAGTTGCAGTTCTGAAGAATTTCCGGCATCCTCCTCCTCCTCCTTAGTTTCCCCAGCAGGCGCAGCGCTGTTACAAGTTATCGTGTGCGCAAGTTGCTGTTGCTGTTTTATTAGATCTGATAGTCGGCGTTTGTGTCGTTCTACTTGTTCCCTGGCTTTTTCGTTCTCGTATGACAACCTGAGAATAAATCATGTTAGCTGAATTAATGTTTTAATATTAACCAACCTGGTAATTTGATCGTTTATTAATAGACAACTAAATTTGTTTTAACCATTGCCAAATCACCTTGAAACTTGATCATGAAGATCTCTGATCTTGTTGTCTTTCATTCGAAGAGTATCCTCAAAATTTGAAACTTTATGTGAAGCAGTCCTTTCTTTCTCTGTTATCTCGAGAAACTTGTTTTGTAATCTCTCGATTTCTTGTCTCATCTGACCATTTTCTTCCTTAACTATCTCCTCCAAATCACAGTCAGCAGAACCAAACAACTCTCCATTTGCTCTCCAAATCTGCCTTGATTGTTCAATGAGCTCTAGAAGTTTGGAGATGATGGAGTTTGTGAATTGCTGTTTCTCAGCTAACCCCTTTTCAAGTCCTTCCCCAGTGTCATCAGCACCTAAACGTTCTAAAAACATTGCCACTCCTTCTGAGTAAGCTGAAATACATTACAAATTATCTAAAAGATTGAAAATTGAGTACACAATTGAGTGCACAATTAATTAATTCCAAATTAATTAAATTCCAAAAAGTCTCGTTAAAACTATGAGAAGTTGAGTAGCATCACAAAAATTGAGTAGAGGTCTGAATACTAGAATCAGTGAATCTAGGCTTACCGTCATCTTTTTCTGGAGGATTATCATCAAATTGTGACAGTAAATTCAGGACATCATTTTCCAACTGACAATAAGATAGGATTTAAATTTAAAACAAAAATTAAAAACTTGTTTAAAAATAGCTTTGAATATGATCATAAGGACACGTTTTTTTTGAAAAAGTGAAAATGACTTTGAGTGCCATGACACTTTTGACAATGAAAGTAAAATGACTAGTAACTAGAAAGTGTTGCACAGAAATGCCTTCAATCTTAACTGCCCCTGTAAGGAAAATCCATTATATTAGTTAGTTAATATGTCATAATATAGTACCAAGGTAGTGCCAGTTTTCAGCATTTTGGACTATAATGTTTAAAACGCCCGTAAAAAACTGAATTTTGCGACTTTTCTGTTCAAAATTCAGATTATGTCTCAGAATTATTCAAAGAATATTTGGATTGGGGTAGGAATACTTGAACTGTGCTCAAAATAAGCAAAAAGTCATTTGTTTGGTAAAATTTCTAGTTTGGTTGAAGGGGTTGTACAAGGCCCATACTTTCGATCAGCTTGTGAATGAACTGTAACAACTTTCAAGAAACGTTGGTCTGTAATAATGTAACCTAGGAAAAACCTATTGTGTGCCTGTATTCAGTAAAAATTCACTCACAAAATTACAATTGAGTTTTTTTACATTGCAGTAGCTAGACAGCAACAAATTAGAACGTTTTTCAATCATACTGTCGAGATTAAGTCTGCTCAACAGCATTCTGTTCGAAAATCAACTTAAGAGTGTGTCAGTTTTCAGTAAAAAGTCATTTTTAGGTCAAATTCATCACGATTAAAAATTCGAAAGAAATGACTCTTTGCTGAATATTGGCACTATACAATTGATGTCTGACAGCATAAGCAGGTTCATCAAGATGATTCTTTACAAAATCTAACGATATTGTGTGTTCTAATTCAGCAAAAAGTCATTTTATAAATAATATTTTTAGCTTAAAATCTTCATAGAAATGACTTTTTGCTGATTATTGGCACGATAAAGTAGATTTCTGACAACAATATCATGTTCATCATGGAAATTTGGGACATACTATTGATGTTTGAAGTTCATTGTGCCAGTTTTAAGTTAGTTATAGCAGGTTATCACAACACTGCTTACAAAGCACAAATTTTATGTGATTTACCATTGGTATATGCCTAGAAAAAGAAGTCATTTTAAGCTGAATAATGGCACACAGTGCAACAAAATTGTGCCACATTAAACAAAAAAGGCACACCACTCCCTCAAACAATATTCTGAACTAAAAGGAGTGCCATTTAGCAGTAAGAATGACTATTTCTGTCAAATAAGTCACTTTTTACTGATTTTCAGGACACATTTGTTGTTTAAGGGGGCCGGGGGGGGTCTTCATCAAAATTCTCTCGAAATTGACTTTATGGTTGTTTCTGGTAGAAGGGAGTGATATCTACCAGCTGCTTTTGGTCCCATGGAAAAATATTGTTCCTAGCCGAAATTATCGCCGGTCTAAGGTCAGCGCTTATGTGTAATTGTATTGCGCGAGCGATTTTCAATCGCAAATTCTGAAAATCGAGTCTAAAAATCTATCTTCTCCTACATTTTTTGAGAAATCACCCTGAAACTTTCAGGATATGTTCTAGGGACCATTTAGAAGAGATCGTTCAAGCCAAAATTTTGAGATAGGCCTTTAAAAAATTTTTATTAAATTTTGAAAATCTTGGACCTGAAAAAATCGTAAAAAAACGAGGTCCAAGATTTTCAAAATTTAATAAAAAATTTTTAAAGGCCTATCTCAAAATTTTGGCTTGAACGATCTCTTCTGAATGGTCCCTAGAACATATCCTGAAAGTTTCAGGGTGATTGCTCAAAAAATGTAGGAGAAGATAGATTTTTAGACTCGATTTTCAGAATTTGCGATTGAAAATCGCTCGCGCAATACAATTACACATAAGCGCTGACCTTAGACCGGCGATAATTTCGGCTAGGAACAATATTTTTCCATGTGACCAAAAGCAGCTGGTAGATATCACTCCGTTCTACCAGAAACAACTATAAAGTCAATTTCGAGAGAATTTTGATGAAGACCCCCCCCGGCCCCCTTAAATTTTCAGGATATACCTAAAATAAGATTCGTATCTGCAACATAAACAATTTGGTGGTTTGAGATAATTAATAATGCTGATATTGACTTACAATAGTTGGTAATTCCCACGCTGGCTGCAGCAGTCACTACAGCTGATTAGTGGCACTCTAATATTATTATCTGTTTTTGACCCCTTTATGAACACATTACTTTTCGAAATAGATGCTTAAACTAACACTTGTACACCCATGGATCAAGAAATAGACAATTTTTGTCTTTTTACATCATTTATCTATATGACTGATATGCTGAATTTGGGCACTCGGGACATAATTGAGTGTAAGCAGTACAGAGTTCAAGCCGTCTTTTAACTGATTAATGGCACCTTCAATCTAAAAGTCAATAAGGTGACTGAAAAAGAGAACTGAAATTTCGATACTTATTTCATCAATTAAAAAAAGATAAATTTCAAGCTGATACATGTGTGACTTTTTGCTGATGGCTCGCACATAGACATGTAAGAATAAGTTTAAAGACACAACCAAACATTATCTTATCCAGAAAATAGCACAGTCACGCCTTGATCTTTTTAATATTTTGACAAGAACCATCAATAGAGCAGTCGTATTCAGATATAAAAATGACTTTTTGCTGGATTCTGTCACTTACTGGAATTGCTAATAATGACTAAAATGCTGAAAACAGTTACTCGCTCCAATCTACTAGTGTTATGTGAACAATATTTGAGCAAAATATGGCGAAATCAATGGAATTAGGTAATTGGAGGTTAAAATGGTTTGCTGAAAAAAACGTGTCCATAATGTTAAATTTTGATTCTCACGATTTTATCAACAATGTCAATATGCCAGACTTACCCTCTCCCAAAATCTTCCAACTGTGCTTATTGTAGAATCATGCATTTCTTTCGCTTTTTCAAGGTTTACATTCTTTGATTTTAGGTCCTTCACTTCAGATCTCAGCCACTCCAACTTCATTGATAAGTTCTTGTTCTGCACCAAAAGAACCTTTGCATCCAATTCTTCCTGCAATGGGAATAAAATGATAATCATATGTTTATAAGTGTAAAACACTATTAGCATATAATTATGTCTGTACCAGATACTCAGTAATTTTCAAACAAGCAACCACCGCTTTATGTCATGTTAGCATCCATTTGGCCAAATCTGCAATTGAAATAGTGTGTATAATTTATCCCTTGCTGCACACTCTTTAACAGCTAGCAGCAAATACCAACAACTAGTTGTCCAGATCTGCCCCTCAACAATTGAAATAGTACAAGTGTATAATTTATCCCTTGCTGCACACTCTTTGACAGCTAGCAGCAAATACCAATACATACAAATACCAATACAACAACTAGTAGCTGAAATAATATAAAATGTGACTTCTTACCTGATTGGAGACAAGGCCAATTGCATAGAATGAACATTCTGTTGCTGGTCTTTTTGCTACTGTTGAGGCTGCAAATTCAGGTCCTCGCTTGGACATTCCTAGACAAAAATATAATAATAATATAATGGAAAGCAAACTTTCCTTTCCTTTCCTAAATACTCATACATAAAGTGATATTGTAGTGGGATTCATTTGTATTTTTTCTTGATTGAAGCTAAGCCTGATCTGTATTATTGGATTTGATTTGATTTGGACTGTAAGAAATTCAAATTTGGTAAAACACATGCAAAAAAGTAACAAAATAACTACACGTTAGTCTGTATTAAACTTCCCGGCTACAATTCCTATTTTCTAGCCTAACATGAAGGATTCCTACTAGGTTCACAAGATGGGTCACACAAGATAAACAAAATTTAAGGATAATCTGTACGGAACTTCACAGCTACAATTCCTTTGTTTTTTCTAGCCTTGCACAATTTTAGGTTGGTCTGTACGGTACTTCCCGGACATGGATACTATTCTTTGTTTCCGTAGCCTTCCATGAAGGATATCTACTAGGTTAAAAAGATAGGGCACACAACTGTCACTACAGTGATAGAGTTGTGATTAAAACTTCGTGACTAAGAATAAACTACTCTACTCCTCGACTTAAGTGTTGTATCACAATAAACCTTTCATTGATCTTTTTATATTGGATGTGTCGTATCATCTGGCTGTGATGTCGATAACGAGGAGGAGCACATCACACAAGTGAGAAGACCTAGATTACTGGGTGTGAATATCGGACAAAAAGGTAAGTCATCAGCTAATATGTTATATGAGAAAAAGGGGGGGGGGGGGGGGGGGGGCAACCCATGTAGCTGAAACACCTCTCAGCAAGTAGACCAAAGTGGCTCTTGCTTGTGAACTGTGCATCAACTACCCGCCGAAGCAAAAATTTACATTAACTAATCTAGGAGACCTCAAAGCTTGTCTTCTGAGGGATTACGTTTAAGGAAACGTTTTGCAGTTCAAGATGCTGGGCCGTTGATCTTCCTCTGATCCCCTCAGTGCAATGAGTGTACTTCTTAACAGATCAAATCTGAACCGTGTTCTGATGTGATTTTTGACTTGGCTCTTGGCTTTTTTTTTGTGGTCAGCCATCATCTCAGAGACACGATCTACAAACACAGTGCAGAGCAGACCCATACCTCCGGAGGTTGTGAAGACTAGACATTATATGAGTGATTAAATATGAACAAGACTTCGCTTCTTTCTACTTTAGAGTGTTCTCAATGTCGTTCAAAGTGTACATTTTGTTCTCCTTAATGAAATTATCTAGAAAACGAGACATGAGGTTTAAAAATTAATACAGATGGATGATCGGGTAACTATATTTGTGGTAACATCCCAACAACAACTGTTCAATCAAGTAGCGCTCGATTTTGAAATAATTTTCAATAAGCGCCGCGCACATGCGTTTACTTAAAATCTACTAAATAATCATTTGCATTTTATTTGTTATTTTATATTTAATACGGCCAGGTAGCGCAGTTGGTTAGAACGCCTGTCGCAATCGTTAGGTTGCGAGTTCGAAACCCACTGACTGCCTGGTCGTGGGGTGAGCGTCGTCGACGTTCAGCTAAGGATCATAAGTGGTCTATGCAGCCCCCCGGTCTACTCAGCCGAATACTCGAGAAATCGGGTGTGAGGGTTAAATGAGGAGCTGCACATTGCAGCAAAGTCTCGGACGAATAAAGTATGGTACACACTACCTTAACCGTCACTGGCCAAAAAGATCCTTCGGCTTCCTGTAATTGGCTGGTTGCACTTGTGTAACATTGTGGCTGTTGGAATACACCGAAGTAAAATAAGTGTCTTGATAAAAAAAATATTATCAATATTATCAATGAAAGGGTTAAAAACGCATATCATCACACATCAACTAGAACTAACTTTTTTTCACTTATGGGCTTGCCACGCAAATATAATAGTATAAGTGTTTCCCGAAAACACTTCTTAGCAAATAACTATTTAATTGACGGATGTTACTCGTCTAAATTTCTTCGAAATAGCGCGCGCCGCTTCCTTCGTGGCAAAAACTATGAAATAGCTTGCGCCGGGCCAAAGCATTAACAATGGTCAAAAATAACTACAAAAGTAAACATTCATATTGCAATGTAAAACAAAATTAGAAACTGAAATTATTTATTTTTCTATGTTTAATGGTTAAATTTCACCTATTCACATTCGATACGTACTATACACTTATTTTTGAGGCTTGGCTAAATGTTAATTGCGCGGCGTACATGTACATCTGGAAATATAGGAAAAAATCGAGCGCTACCATTAAAATTCCTATAAACCCTTTATCCTGTGACTAAACATGCGTTAAACTTTTTTATGGTTCATTCGTCTAACTTCAAAATGGCCCAATTTCATTAATATGTAATACCATCAAGTACGATCTTATTATTTGGACAAGTTGTTGTCACTATATGATTGTTATACTACATAATTGCAACATACTGAGAGAGTGCTTCCAAAGTAAAAATGTTTACTATCGCCACGACTGGATTAAATAGCATGTTATCAACCTACCACACTGCTAGTTCTCTTGCCCTTATATATATATATATATATATATATATTAATATAATTACGTTCCTAATACTGCCGTATCTAGAGTCTAGACTAGTGTATATATGAAACCTTTACTAGGTTGCCGTTTGGTGTGAGCATTAGCGAACAGCACACTCAACGCTTTGCCCCATCAAACTATATCTAAATTATTTAGAGATTGAAAACCATGATACTACTACTACATGATACTCAAGCATCAATTTAGGAATCCATTTAGACAGGGCGCCTGCCCGCCGGCACTGAAGAGTGATTACAGAATTAAATAGTATTGTGTTAGAAGTTACACTCAGTAAAATTACTCCTGTGTCCCAGTAAAAACGGGTGCTAATATTAATTAAAATTTCTTACAATTACAATTGACAACAGAGTTATTTAACAGCCTTGGGCTTGTGGCTTAGCTCTGGCTGGACCCTGTACCCCTGGCCCTTTGCGCGGGTATCTATAGCTATAGCGCGAGCGTGCACGTACGTTTATTCTTGGCCGATAATCTGACCCCTGACATAATGCTATATGGGGCAGTGACTGTAATTTTCTACAACAATTACTAAATCATCCATCCATAAAGTGATTTACAAAATGACACATAAACCTTGTGTCTCGGTGTTCACTTAAACAGTACTTGGCGGCTGAGCTGTGATCAGCCGCGCGCTGAACCAGTGTTGCAAAGTAAAAATTGTGTATTTTTTGTACATTTTTGAGTGTAAATTAATTTATTAATTTATCACTTGTACACATCATAAATTATTTTATTATTATAATAAAACCACTTCTGTGAAATGTTTATTTTGACTTTAAATATTTGAACTAAATATGAATTGATTGTGGGTAAAAAATAAAATTTTGTTTCACTAAAATTTTGTTTTACTAAAATTTTGTTTTACTATGGCCGCATCATTGCCGGTGGGCAGGCGCAGAGAACTCGTTAATCGAATATTATTGATTATATTTTATGACAATGAATTATGAATTTCGATTAATTTACATTTATTTGGTCTCCAATTATTGAACTGCGGAATTTTGTTGCCTCAACACCGTATTATGACTGAATGGTCGAGCATTGATTATTGAAAGGAAAAGAAATATGACACAAATCATCATGTGCAGTTTAGCAGTAGGGTGTGGCTCACTAGGACCACTGGGCCAATCGGCAAAAAGGGGTTCGGAAAAGCCATTATTGACACTTGAGTCCTTGATCTTGTCGATGGTGCACTGGGCATTTTGAGCTGCCATCCTTCAGCTTCTGTCGATTGAAATTATTATTAATCCATTTGCATTAGTTGGGGCAATCAGCCAACGCGCGGCTTTTATAGTTTTCTATGATATGTTTAATCTGTAATAAAAGATCAAAATTCAAATTTGTATTCCTTAAAACAATTTGTTTGGCATTTGGCTGCTCATAGATGTCAGTTGATGGCTGCCTGCTGCGATATTTCTAATGATTGTAAAAATTTTAGACATGAGACATAAGAACAGTTTTGCAGTTTTAAAAAACTACTCAAAGCTATCAGTTAATACATCCACTGATTTCCAGGGTTTAACTTAATAGATTGTTCATTATTACGCACATGGTGTCTTTCCTTTATCATTAAACTTGCTCCTGCTCTTGTCAAGCCAGTATTACAGCAAACCTCAATCATGTTCAGCGACATTTATTAATTTTACTATTTTCATTTTGTTAATCAATTTGATGCATTTTTGCCCTTGAGTGATTGAAGTAGCAGGTAAGTATACGTGTTTAAATTATCAAAGTAACGATTATGCTTTTTATGTTACTCTTTGTGAATCACTATCAGTACCATGATATTATAATTATTGTTAGAGACTGTTTAAAATGACTTGATCATGCTCAAAAGAGCACACTTATGGCAGACCTGGAACGAACTCTTGCGGATATATCTTATATTATAACTGTAAATGAGCCAAACACTACTAAACCGATTACTCTCCCAGATCCAAGGTAAGGAAATCTTCTTTTTTTGCCGATTTCCATACTCATATTTTGATGATTTTCGTGCCAGATTAGATTTAGTAGTTAGCCAAATTGAGCAATTTGCAAAGGATCATCCAGTAATAACTGTTTATATAACAGATACAACATTAATAATAATACGGAACATTTCAGTGTTCACTTTGTTGTGGAGAAATACTTAGAAGAGAATGAACAGATCAGTTTCGATATCATCTTAAGTGAAAGAATTGGGTACACTCTCTTCAAGAGATTCATATTTGATGGATATTCTGGATTTTCAAAAAAGTGTATTGATTTCTATGAAATGATTTCTGAATACAGGTGTTTAGACTGTACAGTTACACGAAAACCAATTGCCAAAGAGATATACAAAAGATTCATCATGCCTGACTTACTTGCTATGGATCAAAGTTTTGACTCTGAGTTAGCATCATATGTTAATGACTGTTTATCCAAAGATGAAACAGACTTGAACCTATTTGATGTAAGTTAGTGAACTAAAAGTAATGTTCAAAAATAAAATCTATTAGATGACTAATACAACCAATTCATAAATGCAAAGAGAGTTGGCATTTCTTATTATTAACCTGCGTATAGTGTATAGTATTAGTGTTACAATGTAATATAATTGTAATGTATCTAAATTAATAACTTCAATGTCATATGATATTATCTTATTGTCCTTTCCAGGCCTACAACAATGTTATCAAAGAATACCTCATACTGGAAGAGTTCCCAACTTTCATTTTGAGCAATCATTACACTAGATATCTGCAATGGAAGTTCGTAGAAATAAATGGTAAAATCAAAAAGGATGACTTTGTAAAACATCGAATTATTGGTAGAGGAGGCTTTGGAGAAGTTCATGGATGTCTGAAGATTGATACTGGTAAAATTCTACTGACTTAATTTTTCATGTTTGTTATTGCCTAATTAGTTGACTAAATATTGACCATCAAAAAGCTATTATTTAAGAATATTATACTATGATAATATTATAGTAAAATCAAAAAAATAGGATTAGATGAGAAGGATAGTTAATTTGATGATTTCCAGGTCATATGTTTGCCATCAAATATCTGAACAAGAAGCGCCTGAAGAAAAAAGGAGGAAAAACAACAGCATTTGAGGAGCGTGAAATGCTTTTAAAGTTCGACAGTCCATTTATTGTTGGCCTAAATTATGCATTCCAAACCGAGGAGAAGTTGTGTTTTGTCTTAGATCTCATGAGAGGTTAGTCAAGATGATGTCATTTTATGATTAATAGATTACTAACAATCATCTCAGTTTTCAAAGTATAAGGCCTAAACGTTTGTTTTGACACTTGACATCGATAAACAATCAGCTTTCAGTATGTATCAGGTATAGGCTTTCAGATTTCAAAACTGACTTGCCTCACCTCCCCACTATAACCAATGTCTTTGCTACAGTGAACTTTTCTAAAAGTCTAAAACATGGCCCCTCCTACCATCAGCCACGTCTATTACATTTGCTAAATTTGCATAATATTTAACATTTTATTACAGGCGGTGATCTGAGCTATCATTTGAATCAGAGGGGACAGTTCTCAGAAGATGAAACTCGATTTTATGCTGTAGAAATTATTCTTGGATTGGAACTCATGCACAGTAAAGATATTGTCTATCGGGATCTCAAAGTGAGGATTTTTGTCTTTAATTCGCCAATCTCCTTAAAAATATACAGTACCATAATAATTGTATCATAATAATATAGATAAATAAATATAGCAATGTTACTACTTACTACTATATTCATCATTCATATTGTATGATATGATATTGATGACTGATCACAAAAAAATCTCTGATGTTTTAGTCTTTTTGCTCGGGTTCCACTGGCCTTTATTCTCAGCCAGCTAACATTTTGATGGATGATGCCGGACACATTAAAATCTCCGACCTTGGTTTGGCTACAGACTTCCGTAAAAAGAAACCTAAACTTGCCGTGTAAGTTTCCAACTCAAGCAAAGTTTAAAATCAAAGACTGAATATTGGTTTCTTTAATGTGAGAGTTTTTACAACTGCCTGAATCAACATCAATAGTCACACAATTGTGGTTATACTGATATTATTTAATCTAGGGGTACACCAGGGTACAGAGCACCAGAGGTTCTACGCGGAAAACCATACGATTACTGTGCTGACTGGTTTACATTCGGCTGCACCCTTGTCAAACTGCTCACAGGGTAATTACTAATTTGTATAATTAAGTTAATTTTTCTTTCGATCATTTTTTCATTACATATTATTATATTTGTATCCTGACTGTCATGGGGGTGACGGGATGGAATACAAGATTAATGGTTAAATAGAACAAACAGTAAATTGATGCACATTATATGACTAAAGTAATCAGTAATAAAGTAACTCATGTTATTTTTAGAAAGTGCCCTCCTACTCCATCAGCAGAGAGCAACTCTTTACAACCACAGATGGTTTACCCTGACGATTTCACGCCGGAACTTGTTTCGTTGTTAACAGGCTTACTTCGGTACATTCCAGAGAAGAGACTTGGATATAATGGTGCTGCTGAAGTGAAAATCCATGGATGGTTTCAGTCGGTGGATTGGACGTTAGCTAATAAACTTGGTCTTGAACCGCCATTTGCTCCTTCAAAGGGGGAGGTACATGCTCTTGATCCTGTTGACATCGGTTGGTGTAATCTATTTCTTTTAAAACATCTTTGTCAAGAGCAGATTTATTGACATAGTTCGTCAAAGTATATCGATTCAGACATTGAAGGATATTCTTCAGCTTACGATATAAGGCTCATTTTATACCCCAATAAATCTTGCAGATTTTAATCGAAAATTATTATTTCGGTAAATTTCAATTTTTACAGGTACATTCAATGATGATGATATAAGGGATGTCGAGTTAACCAAAGAAGATGAGGAATTCTTTAAGAGTTTCGACATTTCCCCATCGGACCGGTGGCAGCGAGAAGTTCTTGGTGATAGCACATGGTCCTCATTTGACGTTGCCAATCAGAACGCTGACAAGTGGGAGTTGAACAAACGGAAGTCTTGTACTTTTTACTGTGGAGCTAACAGTTCTTTGGAGTGCAAATGTACATTGGAGGTATTGATTGTACAACACAACAAATTATTCAAAAGTTCAAAATGTGTCATATTTTAAAATTGTATTATCTGTTAAAAGGAATATGGTCCTATGGAAGCATGTTTTGCTACTTGATTTTATCATTGTTAATAGGTTAATAGAAATAGTTCAATAGTCACACGTTTTACTGTTTTAAAAGACATCTATAAAATGTTTCAAATGTATGTCATGTTAATGACAGTAGTCAAATATCACTCACTATTTCTAACATTCTAATTCTCAGGGTTATATGCTGAAGCTTGGTGGGATGTTTCTTACCAGTTGGCAAAAGAGCTACTTTAGTTTGTTACTGAATCATTCGAATGGAGAACAGACCCTTTTGTAAGTTTTATAAGACGTACATAATATAATTTATAAGTACATAATATAATTATAATTACTATTATATAATAATAATAAATCGAAGTTTAAGAACACCACTATTAAGTTAACATATAATACTCAGCAGTGTTTAATCTAGCTATCTAGATTCTAGTCATCTCAGAAACTATCATGGTAAAAGTTAGGACTGCTATCATGTACTTGAAAATATATCGTTCATACTAAAATCAGAGAAGAAAGCTTAAGATTAAAGAACTAACACTAAATATAGGCCAAAATCATAATAATGATAAGATACTGCTTTCGATGAAGCGCATGTTTAATTTTAATTAAGTAAAACCGCCCTGATTCATACAGTAAGATGCTTATTGTAAGATTACCACCATAAGTAAATAAGGTAAACGTTCAGGCTGATAAACCTCTGAACACAATCTATCTTGATGAACTTGTAGCGATAAAGGAATGTCGATATAAGGATCACTCTAAATGTATCCGTCTAGATGTAATGTACAGAAAAAATAAAACTCGTACCCCCGATCTAGTCCTTCTCAGATGTGAGGTAGTTATACACTATACAGTGGTTATTTTAAACTAATAACTTTGCTGATTTATAATGTTTTAATAAAACCAAGCTTGGTACAGTAAAAAAATAATAACCTTATGCTCGATCATTATATATGATACTTGTTGCATCTTATTTTATGATTTGTTTCCAAATTAAGTAATATGTAATAATGTAATACCTGCACTCTGCAGACGGAAATGGAATTTGACCAGTGGATGAAAAATTTGACTAGAAATTTGGAAGATTACCGTTGTCAAGTGAAGATGGACAGCTCCAAAAGATTGTCCGCTGATACGGAGACTGAGGATGGATGGGCTCTGGTGGACTCTTTTGAGAGTTCAGAAGATCCAGTATCGTACCAAATTAATTAGTTCTAGACGCTAATGTAGCCACTTTGTATAGTATACAGTATACACGTGGCTAATTTAACCACATTGTACACAGTGTACACGTGTATACTATACAATGTAACCACATTGTATAGTATACAATATACAGGTGGCTAATGTAACCACATTGTATAGTATACAGTATACACGTGGCTAATGTAACCACATTGTATAGTATAAATAGTATACAGTATACAGGACACAGGTGGCGAAATAAAACTAGATTTCTTCTTTTATGTAGATTATAGATGATAGTGTTCAGAATAGGATTTTTTGATTTAAACTCGTTATAATTATATGGTATGTACGACAATGCTCAATCGAACGAATTTACTAGCTTTGATGCTTTAAGGTCTTAAAAGTTTTAAAGAGTTTAACATTTGGAAGAGACTATTTTGGTATAATTTTTGCATTACTGTGAACTATAATAATGGACCCACATTTGCCTCAGCTCTTTGCTTTCCTCAAATTCTGCAGTTTTATAAGTAAGCAACGATTTCAGTGCGGTATACATTTTTTAGTTTAATTGCATTTAATCAACCTACGTTTTTGTTTGTATGAAAAGTAGCGATCATTATTGTTTTTTTATTTCGTATTTTTGATGATTTTTATATCGATTGATTAATGTCAGAATATTTTGTATATGACCAAGTCATAATTTGTGTGTAGAATTGCTGGCCAAAATTTTGTTGTAAATTGCCAGATAAGTCTGACCTGATTTGTTGATGATGTAAATTATAACGATTGATTTAGATTTGTATCAATGCATTGTAAATATGAAAACAATTTTTGTGACGACGAGTTTTCAGATTTGTATTATCCACATTGAGTTAGCATGATTATTAGCAATTAAATAAACTTATTCATTCTAATAACTAGCATATCTAGAAAAAAAAAATTGTCCGAAACTCAAATTTTTATTCAAGAGGTTTCGTAAATGCTTCTGAATAAAAGGTCTTTCATCATGATTGTCACTCATTACCCAACATATACTAAAAATCAGTTTCATGAATATTCTACCAACCAATACGAATGCATTTTAAAACTTGTAACACATTCTAGGTTGTGTCCCAACGCTTTCAAGTTATGTTATCTCACAGAGCTCTTCTTTCATTTCGTGGCCCATGTCGTCGGTTTGTAACTCAATTCAGTGGACGACTAGATGGATCCACAGACGGAGAGGCTCCTTCAAGACAACACTTCGAGGAAGTCAAGCACGATTCTGAGAAATTATTCAACTTGGAACAGTTTCTGGTTTCGGGTGGTAATGAACATGGGTTTCTGATAAATCAGTCTCACGTCATGGGACCGGTGTTACTTTTACCTTACATGGGATTTCTTCATTGGAGGTGTAATGATGTTCAATCAGCTTCTTCTGATTCTTTATTTCTTCTTTCTCGTGTATATCCCAAAGTAAGTGTTGGGGGGGGGGGGGGGGGCAGTGTTTTTTATATTATTTTCAAATGAAACGATTTTTATTGCTCGATCTCATCAGAAATTTTAAGGGTCAAATTCGCTGATGAACGTTCTTGTGCTACTTCGGGTAATTTATAAATTCTTGTGTAAATGAATCACGAATTAAAATGATCTCTTTTCAGATAGACTTTCTTCTAATTGGTTGTGGAGAAGTTATACAACTACCATCACCAGAATTTCGGACAGCTGCCAAAGAACATAAAATAGGTCTTCAAATTGAATCAACTATGCAAGCAATTCAGACTTATGGGGCGTTACTTGAAGAAAATCGTAACTTTGCAGCCCTTTTAATCCCAGCTGCCAATAAATCTCTGTCTGACGACGAGAGAGTTCAACTACAGAGACGTAAAATGAACATGAAATCTTTAGTGTCTAGTTGAATTTTTGAATCTAATTTCGTTACCCTCTTGAAGTTAAGTTTGTCATTGTGGCTTGTTAACTTGCCAATAATCGAGTGTTTTGATTTATCAAAGCCATTCGGAACACACAAAACATTTTGGCATAATATGTCAATTGTCAATTACTGAGCCGTGAACCCTCTACATGGCAGACATTCTATTTACCGGGCACAAATTGTGCATTTGAGATTTGCTCTTGAGTTTCCATTGTGCTTTTACTTTTATAATGTTATGATTTTATGAAGTAATGATATGTTTTATAACTTCGTGATATTTAAACTGTAAATCTGCGTAAATATGTTGTTTACACCAAAGGCTCATTGTTTGCAGTTCGTGTTTCCTTTTTGTGTTGTATTATTGGTGACGAAAATCGCATTCAATTTGTTTACATCAATTATTCCTCTTGATAATAACTTTCTCTGAATGATACGTTCGGTTTCATAAACCATATTATATATAATCAAACATCAACGTTCGTAGGTACAGGTCGAGTGAGTTTTTTGCAAATGTATACAAACCCCAACTTTCAAGAGGACTCGTTCTTCAACAAGTACTGCAATGAACCTCCAACCTGGTTCGAATTCATGCTCGATGGAACAGGAATCAAGCTTCGGACTCACTTAGAAAACAATTATGAACCATCAGCTTCATGTCTGATATCCTCATTCATTGACAAAGCTTCCACCCATATAAGCAACACAGAAGGGGCAGTCAGGCAGTATTCAAACACCCTCTGGAATCTAGCCACAGAAACTGCATCCTTTGTTGGGTGGAAACATGAAATACTGGAGGAGATTCCCACTCCCATTAGGCAAAAGCTATTATCGTACCTAGTCAAAGTCACAGTACCAGCAGAAGTGAGAGCACAAGACATTTCTCAGCTTAACTTGGCAGCAATTCCTAAACAAGGTCTCACTGCTCTATTTTTATACCATCGCTGGATTTGCAGTGCTTTTGTCCATCTCCATTTTTACGCTAAACAATGTAAACAAGATTTTGAGATGCCAGGATTTGTGCCAAATGTCAATTCCCTCCAATTGATTGAGCCAGAACTCTCACATTCAATGGAGTTTTTACAGAAAGTTGCTCAGAATCCTACTGATTTAATCATGCCTCAGGTATTTGCTTTCAACAAATTACCCAGAAGTAAGGAGGTAGTCATCCCTGCTAACGTTGTTGCTGCACAAGCCCATTTCGACTTAGGTGAACTGTTCTTTTACTACAGTACTTATACAGAAGCATACACGCACTTCAAAGAGGCTACCAATCTGTACGATCAAAGTAACGCTGAGTTCTTCTCCTTCTCTCACAAAAAAGTGCTCAGCTATTTGGTTGGTCTCCAATTCCTAACCGGTGCAGCAGACATCTTAGAACACAAATCTCTAGCTTCCAAACTGGAGCTCACCAAAGCCAGTAACTATGATGGATGTGTAGAAATACTCCTGAAAGATAATTACATGAGAGAACTAAGTCTGTGCCACAGAAAGACTTTTGTGAGAGAGGTTCATGAATCCTGTCCTGATCGTGGTCTACACAAACAAGCTTACCTGTGTAACATCATGTTGGAGGTGATCATGGGTAAGGGAACATGTCAGCTATTCTGGGATATGTTAAAGGGAGACAAGGATCTGGTTTTGGACTTTGTGATCTCTGCTACTGTTATCTATTTGGAAAATGTTGTTTCTCAGTCGGCCAAAGATAATCTCAAGATGTTTTTCTTGTCTGTCATCTCTAAGAGATACATGAAGAATAGAGTGATTGACATTGTGAACAGAATTGGTGGTCAATTGGACATAAAGGTTCCCAAAAGTAGCACTCCATTACAGATAGAAAAGACAAAAATGCTTCGTTACAGGAACGGAGAACTTGCTGAGTGTTATGATAAGTTATCGTCAAGCTCAAGCTTCTCAGTCATCAAGGACACAATTTCCAGAATCTGCCAGCTGCAACCTAACTTCCATGTTCAGACATTTTGTGACAGGATTTTAAAAGATGTTAGAAAGGTTGGATTATTTTTGCCTCTAGTTGATGCTCTTGCTTGTCCCCGACCTTTGGCTCATATTCTCAGTTACAAGCTGGCTCATCTGTATCACTACAAGTCGTATGATAAAGCTTTGAAACTACTGAGGGATATCAAAGAATATCTCAAGACAGCTCAGTATGCCGCTTTTAAGCGGGGCCACAACTCGAGGCCTCTAGACAAACTTGAAGTTATATTGAGTGCTTTTGTTCTCAATCATCAAGCATTTGTATCTCACCACAGAATAAAACCATCCGAAGAATTTTTGGAGAATGTAGAGTTGCTGAATGTCGCCCACCACTCCAATGCTGGATCTCAAGCTGTTACCCTCGAAACAAGTATTGCGTCTGCAGTGCTGTTGAATCTCGACAAACAGCCGACAATCCTCGAGATTAATGATGGCTTTGACTTCATTGCTGGTCAACTGTGGAGCTACATCCAGAACAGTGACTTTGACCTTACAACATTATTCAAATTCTTGTTGCCCATGCATCAAGCTAAGCCACCAGAGGGCTCTATGACTAGGTCAATGCTTCTTGAGTTTTGTTATCAGATAACGGATGAGATGACACTAGAACTATTGATTGCTATTATCGTCAAACTGTTTAATGATAGTGAGAAACCGGAATGGCACAACTTTAATTGTGAAATCATTACCAGAGGATGGCCCAAACTTTCTAAAGAGGTCAAGTATTTTACAATTATATACATTATACAATACAAATAGCACCGTATCCATATCTTTGTTAAGAATTTCTATTTCCTAAAACAAGTTTGCCTTTAAATAGAAATTTTGATTTGATCTATTCTGAATAATAGATGTTTTCTAACGCACCTAAAAGCACTCAATATTCAATAACACTTTCCTCTCTTTGCAGGCTGACATGAGTGCTTGCCTGTCAACTCTAACCAGACTACTGGACCACGCCCTCTCCGTGCATCCCCACAATCTGAAGCTACTGACACTCAACGCAAACTGTAAAATGTACCTGGGAGATAATGAGAGTACAGTCAGACAACTCTTATCTTGTGGAGCCCTTCTCTCTGGTGAGAACTGTGCACTGTCACATGTTACTGCCACATGTTACTGCCACATGTTACTGTCACATGTTACTGTCACATGTTACTGTCGCATGTTACTGTCACATGTTACTGTCACATGGTACTGTCACATGTTACTGTCACATGTTACTGTCACATGTTACTGTCACATGGTACTGTCACATGTTACTGTCACATGTTACTGTCACATGTTACTGTCACATGTTACTGTCACATGTTACTGTCACATGTTACTGTCACATGTTACTGTCACATGTTACTGTCACATGTGACAGTAACATGTGACAGTAACATGTGACAGTAACATGTGACAGTAACATGTGACAGTACCATGTGACAGTAACATTTGACATAACATGTTACTGTCACATGTTACTGTCACATGTTACTGTCACATGTTATTGTCACATGTTACTGTCACATGTTACTGTCATATGATTTGTCTACTGTCACATGTTACTGTCACATGATTTGTCTACTGTCACATGTTATTGTCACATGATTTGTCTACTGTCACATGCTTACATATTTTTCAAAAATTACTGACCATTTTGCTGTATTTTAAAAGTATTTAATGGTTGCAGGTTTTAGCTCGATATCTTGAAATCTTCACAATATTTATTTTTCTGCTGAATTTATGCATTTCTATTGTTCGTCAAGTCTATAATGTCTTAACTCTTCAGACGGGTTCACCAACCTCGCGATCTTAGACAGATGGCTGGAAGCCAGTTTTTACAATCTTGTCAAAGCTTGTATGAATATAAACGCCCATATTGAGGTAAGATAATAGTATACAAAAAACCTATTATATAATATTTATTATATATGATATGCTATATTCTATTCAATAAGCAACAAAATGATTAAGCTTAACGATTCACTTGCGTAATCTAATTATTCATTTAGCACAGTTTATCAGAAGGGATCCTACTGCCTGTCGTGATATCATGGATCGCTTAGGTTCCACCAGGATCTGGTAGTCCTCATAATTCTGCGGCCTCTATGTATCGTCATCTCGTACAACTCTTTAAGAATCTTAGGGATTTGGCATGTGAAAATTTGCAGCCTTCCAGACATTGATTGGGTTAACGAGGTGTCGTACGTCACCTCAAGATCGGGTGACAGGGGGCTGACCAGGCCAGAACCCAATTGATTGGGTCTGAGGTCACGTGATTATGAGCCTGAGGTCACGTGACTATGACGTCACCAGACCTTGTTCTCCGTTTCCCGCTCATTGGACCAGGTGAGCTTGCATGCTTGTGAATGTGGGTGTAAGTACAGCTGTACTGTAGTTTATACCTAATTAACCCCTATAGAAACCGAAAATTTATTTTCTGGCAGAAAGCTAGAAATTTACCAAAATATCGACATTGTTATAAATTTATTTTGATGACAATTCCTGACCTAAAATTGCACGAGAAATCGATTAAACTTGGTTTCAGGACTCAACAATGCTTCTTTATGCCTTAAAATCCATGTTTTATCGATACAATCAACATTATGATCCCGTTGATTAATTAGTAACAGGTACCTAACAAATACGCAGAAACAACCATCACACCTACATTGCATTCCTAACGGGTCGATTTCGAGTGACCAATAATCGTCGTGATGATACGTCATGTGTTCCTGATCATCATCAGCAATCAAGACTTCAAGAGACAGGAGCGGCGGTAGCTTTAAATCAATGGTTTACGTTATTTTTGTGAATTCGACCCCTGTTGAAACAGTTATCTCACTTTGTAACTGCATATGTATCGAGGACAGCTTTACAAATAAGAGTATCAGTAAATAAAATTGCCACAAGTGTTTCTTTCACTCACTTTCGATAAGACACATTGGAAATTCTTACTTCCATAAGATTCGGAATTTTTTTAAACGCCGAAGTTTATCGGAATTTTATAAAATTTAATCACACTTATCAACCTTTGAACGGTTAATCGAACACAATAATTTTCAAGCTTGTCAACGCTGAAAATTACATTTGAACTACATGCAAAACAACATGAGCCCCCCCTCCTCCCTTGTACATTATAACAATGTGGGTGTGTACAGTGTAGTGTATTTTGTACTTCACAGACAGTCGATTGTCTACATTAAACTACCTTACACCCCGACATACTTCACATCATTATTCCTATTTAATATTTATAACCGCTGCATACCAAGTATTTCATGTTCATTTCATGTATTCGTAACATTATCACGAATTTTGACATAAATATAATATTGTAACTACACTGAACAGTTATCTTTGCCTAAAAAGAGCAGTTCCCCGTCCTTTTTACAGATTCATCATAACAATATTACGACGCATAAATATATTAACTGTCCGGAAATTACTTAAATATAGAATGGGAGTGAGTATTACAAACCTCGGATCAGTTAACGAGTAATAAAAGTTTCCAAGGACCGTGAATCAGTAGAATAAGCATCAGTAGAATAAGCATTTTTAGTCATTGGTCATGCAACTTGAACGTGAGTAATTATAGAAAGTGTTTTATTTACATAGTACCTAGATATAAATGATAAAAACTCAAAATTGGTTAGACAACTTTGCATGTAGTTAAAATGTAATTTTCAGCGTTGACAAGCTTGAAAATTATTGTGTTCGATTAACCGTTCAAAGGTTGATAAGTGTGATTAAATTTTATAAAATTCCGATAAACTTCGGCGTTTAAAAAAATTCCGAATCTTATGGAAGTAAGAATTTCCAATGTGTCTTATCGAAAGTGAGTGAAAGAAACACTTGTGGCAATTTTATTTACTGATACTCTTATTTGTAAAGCTGTCCTCGATACATATGCAGTTACAAAGTGAGATAACTGTTTCAACAGGGGTCGAATTCACAAAGATAACCTAATAACGTAAACCATTGATTTAAAGCTACCGCCGCTCCTGTCTCTTGATTGCTGATGATGATCAGGAACACATGACGTATCATCACGAAGATTATTGGTCACTCGAAATCGACCCGTTAGGAATGCAATGTAGGTGTGATGGTTGTTTCTGCGTATTTGTTAGGTACCTGTTACTAATTAATCAACGGGATCATAATGTTGATTGTATCGATAAAACATGGATTTTAAGGCATAAAGAAGCATTGTTGAGTCCTGAAACCAAGTTTAATCGATTTCTCGTGCAATTTTAGGTCAGGAATTGTCATCAAAATAAATTTATAACAATGTCGATATTTTGGTAAATTTCTAGCTTTCTGCCAGAAAATAAATTTTCGGTTTCTATAGGGGTTAATTAGGTATAAACTACAGTACAGCTGTACTTACACCCACATTCACAAGCATGCAAGCTCACCTGGTCCAATGAGCGGGAAACGGAGAACAAGGTCTGGTGACGTCATAGTCACGTGACCTCAGGCTCATAATCACGTGACCTCAGACCCAATCAATTGGGTTCTGGCCTGGTCAGCCCCCTGTCACCCGATCTTGAGGTGACGTACGACACCTCGTTAACCCAATCAATGTCTGGAAGGCTGCAAATTTTCACATGCCAAATCCCTAAGATTCTTAAAGAGTTGTACGAGATGACGATACATAGAGGCCGCAGAATTATGAGGACTACCAGATCCTGGTGGAACCTAAGCGATCTGTGATATCACGACAGGCCCTACATATTGAGGTAAGATAATAGTATACAAAAAACCTATTATATAATATTTATTATATATGATATGCTATATTCTATTCAATAAGCAACAAAATGATTAAGCTTAACGATTCACTTGCGTAATCTAATTATTCATTTAGCACAGTTTATCAGAAGGGATCCTACTGCAAAAAAATGTCCAACCTGTCCAAAATTGTATTTAATTATCGTGCAATTCTGCTACTGCTTCTGCAGGTAGCTCTGCTGTGTTGTATGAAGACCCCGCCAGACTATGGCACCAGTTTTCAAGCTCTCAAACGAACTACTGACCACGACAGTCTCCACGTGTACTACCCCCTCTTCTGGGATGTAAATCTGCTGGAGTGCGCTATTGCACAACATCACAAACGAAATGAGACTCGTGAGTACTGAGTACTTGAGTAGGACTAAGAGTCGATCAATTTATTGATCGAAAATTGAAATTAAATGATAAGTATTAGAGTTTGAGCAGCACTAAATTGTCCCATTTTAACTTTGTTTATCATTTCAGTGTTACGAGACTTCGTTATCGGGCTGATGGGACAACCTGAAATCAATGAGAATAATCCACTCATTCTGTTGAAACGGACAACTGAGGCTAAAAAATGCGTTTTCTTAAGAACTCTATTTTTTAAGTTTTTTGCAAAATAAATTGATAAATGGTTTTCAGACTTTGAGCAATCAATCAGAGATTGAGCACTATTCAATGAAATAACTAGTCGTACTCGTTTATCTTAATATATTATAAAGTTTGTGAAAATATTTATTGTATTCAGGTCGAGAAATATATTTCAGAATAGATCTCTTAATTGACCATCAATAATAAAAGGGCAAAATGGTTGACGCTCAGAGATTGACTTGATACTCAATTAAGGACCCTCAATTATGCACCACAATGAATTATATTAACACTGTATGTATACAGACCAGATATTGCTAAATTTTCTAGCTCCGATGAAACTGTTTTTATTCGTTGTTAAATTGTAGCAAACACTTATATTTCTTGAAAGAAGTTATAATAACATGACGTCATTATTATGACATGTTTTTGTTCTTGCAATTTAAAAAAGTTAGTATACTTTATATACCTGTTCTGTCTTTATTGCTTTATGGCTTTAACATTCGAAATAATAAATATAAATTTGATCTGTGCATCATTTAATCTTAGTAAACATACTTCATACATTATAGTTGGCCTTCTCAAAATGATAATCTTGATTATAAAATTTGTTATCCTCACAGAGTATTTTTTCAGGATGAGGTTAACTTCAGAAAAAGAGGAAAGTGATCTCCAGAAGTAAGCAATGGATGAAAATGTGGTAGAGAGTCAACAATTTGATGACTGTAAAGATGGGAGATCACAGGACTCAAACAATGATTCTTCGGCCGCTATAACTATTCAGAACTCCAACAGGCATTTCTGTAAAACCAATAGTTCTCAAGTTTTAACCGTGGGTTATGAATGCAAACATACTTCACTTGTTGCACCATCAGATGGTTTAATTCCAGAAATTGACAGTATAGGACTCGGAGATGATAACAGTCATGTTTCACGCCAAGATATTCAGTCTTTATTCTCTGACAACAGACTTACTGATGTTGAACGGTCTACAGAGTTCGATATTACTTCAAATAAACCTGAGGATGAGCCACTAATAGGACGTAACATTGCTAACAAAAACGAATCAAACTTTGTCCCTGTTAATCTTATAGTCTCTGTCGTTCCTGAATTGTTCAATGAGAGATTTCCAAAGTTGGATGAACGATATGACGAAAAGTATAACTGCAAGTGGTGCACTCAATCGAAATCTGTGACAAGAAATCAAATTAATAGGTTCACTTATTCTCACATCGAGCATCTCCTAAACCATTACATGGAAAAGCATAAAGAAATTCACATCAAGGATTATCAAATCCAGTGTCAGGATTGCTCTGCTTACTTTTACCATAAAACGAAATTGGAAAAGCATTTGGTTGATGGTTTATGTATCAAAAATTTTAAACGGCCTCAGTTAACAAGGCTTCCTCAAAACATAACAATGAAGTCATGTGAATATTGTGAAATTGTATTTGTTTCCGAAAAAAGATTTAAGAAGCATCTGCTTAAAAATATTGAAGGTTGTATCTTTGAGGATATTGAGCACCCTATGGAATTAGGCAAATTCGATTACATGAAGTGCAAATACTGTGAGGAAAAGTTTTTGTTTGAAAACGACTTTCTCAAACACATCAAACCCGGAAGTGGACTCACTAGTTCCCCCTTCAAGTGCAAAGGAGTATCTCTACAAATATTGGATTGTTCAGTTTGTTCCAAACAGTATGTGAAACATCATACTTTCTTGAAGCACATCCACCTAGATCACACAGTTGAGGAATTTAACTTGAAATGTGAAAGATGTGATAGATATTTCCGCCTCGAAGAAGAGCTTGAGGAGCACAAAGTAAGCAACTCGGGATATCCATTTTGTGTCGATTTAAATTCTTGTCGCACCATTCCGAGAACACTGCCTGATGTGCCCTTTTTAAATATAAAAGGAAAACGATGTCCTGTATGCAAACGCAACTTTAAAGCAGGGCGAATTAAGCTCTTAAATCACCTGAAGAAACGCCATCCCAACTACAATCTTTCTAATTTGACATGTCCGGAATGTCACGAATCTTGCATCACTCTTGAAGAATTCGAAGATCACATGACTAAATGGAAATGTCCTTTTTGTGAAAAAATATTTTCGATGAAACGTATGTTTATAAAACACTGCAGGATCAAGCATTGGGGGAAACATGTTTGTGATATTTGCAATAAAACATCTAAAAATAAGTGGTCTTTAATAACCCACCAGCGAGTTCACCAATTTTCACTGAAGATCTGTCCGTTTTGCGATAAAACATGTAAAGGTGAAAAGAATGTTTACATGCATGTGAAAAATATACATGCATACCAGGATATTGATCTTCTGAAAGAAAAATATACCTGTGACCTCTGTGCTGAAGGAGACACATCATCCTTTATAGATCAAGTCAGACTAAATAGACACATAGAAACTGTCCATAAAAAGGCACAAGAAACTGAGTGTGACATATGTCACAGAAAGTTTTCCCAGAAAGCAACAATGATGAGGCATCGCCGCATTCACCTTGACATAAAACCATTCAAGTGTGGAATATGTGAGTTGACTTTCACTCAAAAAACGGGAATGAGAGCCCATGAAGTCAGGCACTACAACAAAGACGGGACTTTGAAATCTGCTGAGGAGATAAAATCGCAGGTTGAGATCATCAAACTCCAACGCGAAAAACAAAGTGATCCCAAGAATTGTGATAAAGAAATAAGTCATTCAAGTAAAAGGAAGTCTAAAACTTTGAAAAAACACACGAAGACAGAAAAGATTGTCTGTGATCTATGCTTTTGTAACTTTGTGTCCAGGGATAAGTACGATTCTCATTCGTGTGAGGGCCCTTCTGATAAGGCTGATAAATCTCAAGGACATTCTGATGTTGATGAACAGGACGAAGTGGCTTACTACAACTTCAATTGTGCCATTTGTGAAAAAGAATTTGTGTCCTGGTCTCGATTACAAACACATAGGTGTCGAAGAAATGTTAAATTTTAGCAATTTCATGCATTCAAATTTACGTAATACAATAATCAATATACATCCATCTGTTTGGTAGTATAAATTATTATATATTATAGTATTTATTTAATAATATTGATAACATTGTTTTAACCCTTTAATAGCAAGTTGCCTATAGGAATTGCTGGTTTCATTTGCTCCTTCGCCTAACACATCCATGTACAGTTGTGCCTTGCACAGGACCTGAAATCTATATTTAATTGTTTAGGCACGTGCACCGTACTCTTATGTAATTCTAATTTTTAAATTATATTAAGGGGGCAGGGGGGGGTCTTCATGGAAATTTTCTCAAAATCGACTTTTTAGTTGTTTCTGATAGATGGGAGTGATATCTATCAGATGCTTTTAATCCGATAGAAAAATATTGCTCCTAGCAGAAATTATCGCCGGTCGAAGGTCAGCGCTTGTGTGTAATTGTATTGCGCGAGCGATTTTTGATCGCGTGCCCTGAAAATCGAGTCTAAAAATCTATCTCCTCCTACATTTTGTAAGCAATCACCCTCAAACTTTCAGGATATGTTCTAGGGATCATTTAGAAGAGATTGTCCGGGCAAAATTTTGAGATAGGCCTTTAAACATTTTTTATTCGATTTTGAAAATCTTGGACCTCGAAAAATCGTCAAAAAACCAGGTCCAAGATTTTCAAAATCGAATAAAAAATGTTTAAAGGCCTATCTCAAAATTTTGCCCGGACAATCTCTTCTAAATGATCCCTAGAACATATCCTGAAAGTTTGAGGGTGATTGCTCAAAAAATGTAGGAGAAGATAGATTTTTAGACTCGATTTTCAGGGCACGCGATCAAAAATCGCTCGCGCAATACAATTACACACAAGCGCTGACCTTTTACCGGCGATAATTTCGGCTAGGAACAATATTTTTCTATCGGATTAAAAGCATCTGATAGATATCACTCCCCTCTATCAGAAACAACTAAAAAGTCGATTTTGAGAAAATTTCCATGAAGACCCCCCCCTGCCCCCTTAAATGATTAGTATGTTTGAATGTATACTATTTGCAAGCTATGAATTGATATTTAAATATTTATTTTTTTCTGATATTGAACTTTTGTTGACAGGATGATTATAAATAAACAGTTACAATAATTTTCATCACATTTAATCATTTAATTTTAATCACATCTTACCACAAACTTTTCAGTATTATGTCGAATTTTAATCTTGGGTGGGCCAAAAGTCAGTACTTATACGTTGGGTCTTATACCTCCGCCGTGTTTTATATTTGAGAGTTGTTGCTTTGCAGATGGCATACTGTACATACTTGTTCGAGGATTCTGTCGCCAAAATTTGAAAATTCGAATATTATAGACCACGCCCATTCAATATTAAAACACCTATATTGTTATCTCTGAACATGCTGGACGCCTAAGTTTTTCAGAGACAGTAGATTATTAAATGTTGCATCTGATCTGAAAAAATGATGTGAAACGGATTAGGAATGACAAAATTATCAAGCATTTTGTGTACCTTGTTAGCAAAATTGATGGGTGGTTATGTGACACTGTGACAGAACACCTTAATTGGGCACCCTTAACAATTCCCATAATGTTTAATGGGGTGGTTAACGTGGTCACCTTATCACGTGATTAGGTAAGCCAGGCACCTGATCACACGTAATGAATAAACTCGTTATGCTTCGTATCTCGGTCATCTGAGAAGCTACAACTCTAATTTTTTCAGGACAAACGTAATTCGAATAGCCAAACACAATTCAATAAAATTTAGCTCGATCTGACTATCCAAACTATCAAATAAATGCGAAAATGAACCTTCATTTGAAAAAAATGAACACGAATATTTTTCAAGTTGACAAATTCCTCGAACCAGCTGCTGTAGTGGTACTAAATCATAATAGAATTTTTCAATCGGGCACCCAGTGACTGAGCTATAAAGGTTAACGTATGGGTACTGACTTTTGGCCCACCCTGTATTTTGTATGAAGTACAGCATCACAGTTTGAGCCAGAATTATTTATGATTTAACTATTATTTAATAAATATAACAAATATAACGAGGCCTGATTTTGTGCATAGTACAACATGAATTTATTTTGAATGCCATTTTGAGCTACATTTAAATAATATTCCAGTAGTATTCAGGTCGAGAAATTTATATCTCAGAATAGATCTCTTAATTGACCAATGATAATGAAAGGGCAAAATGGTTGACTCTCAGGATCAGAGGTTGACTTGATCCTCAATTATGCAACACGATGAATTATAACACTGTATGATACAAGGATACAAGGATACAAAAGCGTTAACTACTTTATTGAGTACACAATAGTTATAATTCTGAAATGATTTAAGTTAAACAATTATAATTATTTACAAATGTGTAGGGATAATTTAGAAATGTTATTATATAATACTAGTTTTTAAAATATAAATCCAGTTGGTATGGTTAAATTTTATTTTAATTTCCTATAGCATT